GTTGCAGCTGGAAGGGCATCCACTGGGTAAATATTCTATGCATTCCAGCATATGCTGGAATAGTTGGCGGTTCACTCTGCTGTGGCGATCCCTGATAAATAAGGGACTAAGCCAAAGGAAAATGAATGAATGAATGGCTTAAGGGGGTCACACACCAGAAGCGCTGCTCAGCGACGCGCCATGCATTTTTAAATTCTAATCATAGGTTTCTATCAGGGTACACACATCAGCGCCGCATGTCGATGATGAGCATTTTCATTTTTTGGGTGAAAAAACCCCTTTAAACTCTAGCCTTTGGTTATTGTTGAGTTAGCTGTCATAATTTCGGGGAAAACAAAAGAATGCACATGTAATTTAACATTAGTTAACATACACACTACATGCATGATGGGTAATTAGGGAATATTAGTCAAGCAGTAATGCATAGTAACTCCTTACTGCTCATTTAAAACTTCTTTTGCAAAGATTTCTGTTAAAACATTTCTATAGTTTGCATAAAATGTGGCCTATAAAGAAGCTTCACCTGCATTAATCCTGCATTAATATGTCATTTTTGATATTAGTGTTTTAGTGCAAATATTTGAATGATTAAACATAAGCACAATGAGAATGAAATCAGAATGAGAATTGTGGAGACATGAACACTGCTTTAGATTTATTTTTTTAGATGGGCATGTTATATTTAGCTTGGTTATATTTTGTGTTTTTTGAACTAGATAATAAGATAAGCAATATTGAATTTAAAATATATATATTTATTACTATAATATTACTTTAAAAATAGTAATATGTTATGATATTAAAAAAATTGTGGACCTAAAAGAAAGTAAATACTTCCAAGATAAAATGCTAAATGTTTTCTTTTTGTGTTGCAGATTTAAACATACCTTTTTTTGTGGGAAAAATGGGTCTTTTATAGTAATTAATAGTTATTTTTTGTATTTATTTTACAAAGCATTTCTAATATATGTAGCTATTGATTGTATTCGTTAGCTTATTAGATTTTTGTGTGTGTAGGTTTTCCAGACGGCCAGTGAGAGGGTGGAATCGGCTGGTCTTTCGGCTCTGAGCTCACTAGTGTCCTGTCTATCCCGTTCTGTGCTTAATTCTGACTCGGAGGATTCACTGCAAGTCTTTCTGAACCTTGTCCTTAAAGGTGTGTGTGTGTGTGCGTGCGTGTGTGTATGTATATATACATACAATTAATTTATTTATGAAGTAATCAACAAATAAAGGCTGATTTATACTTCTACGTCAAGCACACGCGTATACTCCGGCGAAGCTTTCGCATAGTTGCAGATCTCTTGCCATGGCTTACGCCAATGCTGACGTGCACCTCTCAAAAAATTTAACTACTCATCACAACGGCATGTAGAGCAAGCTCTATGATTGGTCAACTTGGGAACGGTGATGAGCATGGGCGGTGCTAAGAGCCACAAGCCCGATGAAAATTGTTTACTAGTGTGGAGTCCTGTGAAGTAGTGATGGGAAGTTCGGATCATTTTACTGACTCGGCTCTTTGATTCTCGTTCATCGAGATGAACGAATCTTTTTTCCGAGTCATTTCGTTCATTTGGTTCAATTTGCCAAAATATTATTAAAATGTTATGAATTGCTTCCAAAAATATCTACAACTAGCCCAAAAGGTTGATCACACGACAAATAAGTCATTAACAGAATATGAGAAGGAGAAAATAATAATTCAATGTTGGTATTGTCGTCTCTTTGCTCAGCTCACCTCTTCATGTCTTCAAATGTCAGTGGTTCATTCAAAATACACAGACAGTCACATATAATCTTAACCAATGTACACAGTCTGAGCCGATAGGAGCCATGATCGTTCGTTGTTTACGTGACAGAATGACTCAAATCCGAGGAGTCGAGAGATAAACGATTCAATTCTTTTTCGGCTCTAAACGCGTATGATTGGCCCGTGATGAACGAGTGACTTAGACCCGATAGAGAACTCGAGAGGTGAGCGGATCAATTCTTTTTCCGGCTCTAAACGCGTATGATTGGCTTCCGCCAATGTGATGAAGACTTGATGAACGAATCACTCCCTGAGAGGACTCGTAGTTCCCGAGTCATATTGAAGATTCGTTCAAAATGAACGAGTCATTCATGAACGACCCATCACTACTGTGAAGGAGCTCCAGATGTAGACTTCTGTTTTGTGTGTACCTTAATATTAAAGTTGTTGCACATCAGCCGGTTCCCGCCTCTGAATGAGTGAGTTTTAGCTACTTCTACATTAAGGTAGCATTCAGAAAAAAAATCAAAACACCAGCAGAGAAACTCAACACAGAGGAACATAACCCGCTGCCAGCCTGGTGTTTCAGAAGTGTTATTGTGGAGCGACACAAATACGTGCAAGACAGTCGCTGTGGGTCACACTGATCACTCCACGCAGAAGTATAAACCAGCCTTAACAGGTTTCATTCAAAACAACATTTGTGTTTAGAAGGTTAACCGAACATTATGTTTGCAACATGAAAGCAACTAAGTGATGATCGAAATGAACTCTCCCTTCCTGTCAGACTGCCAGCATCATCTCTGTGAGCCGGACCTGAAGCTGGTGTGGCCGAGCGCTAAACTCTTGCAGGCCGCAGCCGGAGCCTCATATAGAGCCAGTCTAATCGGGACGCAGGCCGTCATTCCTGCCTTGCTGGACCAATACAATAACAGGACACAGGTACAGTCTTGTGCGTACACGCTCAGTGCTTACATTTACTCAAGTCTTAAGTTAATTTTGAGGAGAATAATAATTGCATTGAAAAATAGGGGTGTCAAAATCGAAATCGATCGAAATTTATGCTCAATTTCGATTATCGAATCAAAAAATAGAATCGTCGATGATGCCACGCCCCCATGTCATGTCAGCTTGGCTGACCAAGCGGGAAAATAACAGGCTTGTTGAAGTGCTTGTTAAACTGTAGACGCAGGAGACCCGTCGACAGAGCTTAAACCCTCTCCTCTTCCAATGAAGTCGCCGGTGTGGAAGCATTTTGGATTTCCAGTGAGTTATGTTGACAATGTTCGTGTTGTCGACAAAAAAAACACAGTTTTGCAAGCTCTGCTATGTACGTATTACGTACGGTTCGTCCGATAGACAAAACCGGCATCGCAATCCTCCGCCCGCCCCTGCTGCAAATCCGCTCGCGAAAAGTACACACTCAGGCCCTGTTTACACTGTCTGTGTTTGTACCTCTGAAAACACACATCACGTGACCGAACAGACACAGACGCACACAGCCATGCGCTCGAGACAGCAGGTCCAGGCAGTCAGAGGACTGCTTCAATCTTTCACTCACTTGTACTTAGTCATTTTAGCGAACACCTCAGATACTGTTGGCTGGTTCCTGTTGGTTGTGCGTCTTTTTTACCGACGCCATTATAACGACACAGATCACTGCCTATTCACGAGTCCCGCAGAAAAAGTGATTGACAGGTGGTAATTATGTGTGTGTCTTGCCTTTATTCATTTACTGTATGATTTGGTTATGGGTAAAACAGACCATGCAGGTCAGGTAGTTTAAACGGTAGGCTACAAATAATTAATTGGTCATTAATTAATTAATTATTCATAATCGAAAATCAAATCGTGCCTTCAGAATCGAAAATGTAATCGAATCGAGAATTTGGAGGATCGTGACACCCTTATTGAAAAATAAATATGCATACGATAGAAGTGTGAACCTGGTCTCACGATTTGGTTCGGTTACTGTTATCATGTCGTATTTGCAATAAAACTCGGTCCTTTAAACAAGCAGTCAGATATATGTACTGTACCTTTAATTTGACCTGCTCAAAGAAAGCACTCTTTTTGAATGCATTAAACAAAACTCGGGTACATGCACAGAACAACATGAGCACTTATAGCAAATAAATAAATGTAAATATTGTCCCGCTTGCTTTTTGAGCATTGTCAAGCAAGTTGTTAAACGCCTATGATTGATTGGGAAATAATTCAAAAATAAAAATCACAATTCTGACTTCAACTATATATTAGTATCTTTACACATGGTGTGTTGATCTGTGTGCAGTGTGCTCAGCGGCGCACCCTTCTGGAGGTTCTGCAGGGTTTCGTTCAGCCCACTCCGCTCAGCCGGCCTGCAGATGGAGGTATGTGAGAGGAGCACATGCTCATAACACATTCACCACCACAACAGACTTCTGCTGCGTCCCAATTCACCTACATAAACTACCTTATAAAAGTATCCACTTCATTTTGTGAGGAGAAAGCACATCATATTGTTTAAAACAAACCATATTGATTTTGTTTAGTTTGTCCCTCGTAATCTTTAAGTGAAATCTTAAATGCACTTCCTATATGTTTTGAGTTCAATTCTCAGATTAGGTCTGTCTGAGGTATTTGGTCGTGGCTAACACACTAAATATAGGATATAAATGTTTGTTTAACATGCGGTGTCGTTGTGTTTCTCTCTGTCTCCTGTATATCCACACACACACATGAAGAGGAGAGTGTGTTGGTTGCGTTTCAGCAGTCGTTATGCACTGTGGTGTTTTCTGCATTAAGCGAGACGAGCGCTGGTCTGCAGGTCACAGCCACACGAGTGCTCACTGCACTATCACAGCAGCCAGGTGAGCGCATGCACACATTTCTGATCGTCATATATGTAGTCAACAAGCTTTCAAAAGTAAATGTCAAGGCATTTCTAATACATCTTGCGATATTGAGTATTAGGGTTGTCATGATACTGGAATTCTGTACCATTCGATATGGAAATTTTCCAGCTAACATTTGAGCACGTTCTTAAACAGTGATGATTTGCCATTGTGTTCACATGCGCAACAGAAATGACTGTGATTGGTCATGAAGGTCATCAGGTTACCAAACTCACCACTGTTTACCGAGTGCAACAACAGATGAAACACCACTTTATACTGAGTGTAACCGCAGATACAGGGACACTGGAGCGTTTTAAAGCCACGTCAATCAGCTGGTTTGTCTATAAGCTGACATACGAGTGATCCACTGATGAATTGACTGATCTTCACTGCTTTAAAACGCTCCAGTGTCCCTGTATCTGTTGTTACACTCAGTATACAGTGGTGTGTTTCATAGTCTTAACAGCCAATCACAGTCGATTCTGTTGAGCACGTGAACACAATAGCTAATCAGCGCTGTTTAAGAGCGCACTTAACAGCGCTTAAATGTTAGCGGGAAATGGACATTTTTTAAATTTCAGTATTGATACATACCGAATTTCAGTGTTGTGTCAACACGACTGATTTAAAGTTTTGTTCAAATGTAAATAAAAGCTGAGAAATATTTTTGTTCCACAATGATGCCTCTTGCATGTCATGTATTTTGGATGAAGCCTGGGTCATTTCCGGCAAAAAAAAAAAAATAAATAAAAAAATTGATGGTTGAATAAAAGTAACTTTATGTCAAAATTTGCCAGGGATGTGAATCATTTCGGGCGTGACTGTAAATCCTTGCGCTGTAATTGAATTCTGTGAAGGAAGGAACTTGATTGTGTGACAATGAAGCAGGCAGAGATTGTTTCTTTTGTAAAACAATGACCTAAATCTTTATGAAATGACCTAAATCTTTGTATAAGGGCCCTATTTTGTTTTATATTAAGCATACTGATCATTTTTGTGTGTATTTAATTAATTATATGGGTGTTATAATGACCAAATCAACAAAATAAAATCCAAATTATTCTTATGATTTTGTTTTCACTATAGTTGGACAAAATTATATTGTTTAAAACATCAAGTTTATAAAATTAATTATTTCAGATTTTGTTGCAAAATAAAAAAAAACATGTAATTATGTATGTATAATAATTCTTCTTATTATTATTGTTATTATTATTATTATTATTATTATTACTTGTCTGTGCAGCAAGATTATTATTAGTAACAGACTATGTAAATATACTATGTAACTATATACGTTTACTATATGTAAATATGTAAACAAACTATTATTTATGTAAATATGTATCAATTCTATATAAATTCTAACAAGAATATATATATATTTTTTATAATAAAAACAACCAAATAGAAGTTATAAATGTCGCCAATGTTACTAACTAAAATTAGTTTAACCCCTTAAATGTCACCATCTCGTAACCAGGATGTTTTTCAATAAACAAATTTCTTAACCTGAACTTATCTTGAGAAACTGTATTATATGGATATTTCACCTATCATTTTCAAGTGTGAGATCCAAATATGGGGTGACAGTAAAGATATTAAATTAAAGCAATAATTGTATATAAATTAAAAAATAAAGTAAATAAATATTATATACAGTTAAAGTGCAAATTATTCGCCCGGTGAATTTACGTTTATTTTTTTATACATTTATAAAAAATTATAAATTTTTTTTTTGTTGTTTAACAGAGTCTGGAATTTTTCACAGTATTTCCTATAATATTTTTTCTTGTGGAGAAAGTCTGATTTGTTTTATTTCGGCTATAAGAAAAGCAGCTTTTATTTTATTATTATTTTTTTTTAAACATTTTAGAGTCATTATTATAAGCCCTACTAAGCATTTTTTCTTCTCGAAGGCCTACAGAATAAACCACTGTTATACAATGACTTGCCTAATTAAGCCTTTACATGTCACTTTAAGCTGATTACAGGTATCTTAAAAATATCTAGTGAAATATTACGTGCTGTCATCATGACAAAGATAAAATAAATCAGTCAATAGAAATGAGTTATTAAACCTATTATGTTTAGGAATGTGCCAAAGAAATCTTTCCATTAACAGAAATTGGTGAAATGTATACGGAAGGGCTAATAATTCTGACTTTAACTGTATATCATGTTCACAATGCTTGCTGGCACTCTTGTCTTGCTCCTCACAGGCTTGCTGTCTCAGACCGATGTCGAAAACGCTGTTGATCATTTGACCAGACTCATTTTAGAAGAAGAGGAGGCTCAAGTCAGGTAGTTCAGGGTCTCAGCAACGTTTACACTCATTATTCCATCACAGTTTTCCCCAGTCTGACCTTTCTGTCTCTCAGTTTGGCAGTGGTGGAGTGTTCAGGCTCTCTGGCTCATCTGCATCCCCATGCCTTCGTCTCCAGGATGATTCCTCAGCTGAAGGAAAAGATCCTGTCAGGTGGGACTCTAAGAAGTTTGGGATAAAGTACATCGAGGATGGTTGTTCTCGCAGAGTAGAGTCCGACAGGCTTATTTACAGTGTGAAGTAAAGCAGAGCAATGTTGAATACGACTGAGGGGGGTTTATTCTGTGAAAACAACCGTCCTGGATTTACTGTATCCTGCTTATTACATGCAGGGTTCATACGGTCATGGAAAAGACTTTGAGTGGCTCTTTATTTAAAGGGTCACGAAACACCAAAACACATGTGTTGAGCTGTTGACAGTCCTATATGTGTCCCACACTGCTAAAAACACTATTAGGACACCTATATTTCACTAAAAAGTGTAAATTGGTTGTTTTTTGCGTTATTTCAAGCAAATTCGTACTTCCGGTTTGAAACGAATTTTTGAAGCTGCGTCACGGTCATGAGATAATAGCGTGTATTCCAGCGTGCAGACTGGACGTCTGTGCCAGAGTGTGTCTTATTACGTCTTACAGCCTGCTGCATTAATGCATGAGTAAAGCTTGCTTCAAACCAATCAGCACGCTCTATTGTGCAACTTCATTAATATTCATTACTGTCACAGTGTTTAGACGACATAGACGCCACTTTGTGTTGGCAAAACAAGCGTGAAGTGTTGCTTTTATAGTTTGCTGCCATTAAGTTTTGTTTTCATTTTCTCTCTGTGAGAGCTCAGCTGGATCACGTGTGAATTAACAGTGTACGCGACGCTCGACAACAATAACTTACGTGTCTAATGCTGTGTTCACACCAGATGCGGAACGCGCGTCAAGCGCGAGTGATTTACATGTTAAGTCAATGTAAACGCGCGAATAGACATCCTGCGACGCAATACGCGTGAATGGCGCGGAGCGAATGATGCGAATGGCGCGGTGCGAATAGAGCGATATAGAGCGATATAGATATAGAGCAAATCTTTAGAGCGAATTTTTAGAGTTCGAAAATCTGAACTTCAGCGGACATTCGTGCCGCGTTAACCAATCAGAAGCTTGCTATTGTGGAGGCGTGATTGTGACGTAGAACCTGTTGATGGTGTCCCGGAGCAAATCCTCCAGGCGACACCGACAACAAGTCATCAAACTGGGCTTGGCTTAGTCAGAGGCACCGCTGAAAATCTCCATCATCCAGGTTCAGTTTCTGGAGGAGTTTATGAGCTCTGAAAGGATGCAGTGGACTCATACAGGACCCTAAATGTATCTACGCTGTTTTTCAGCCTTTATAAAGCACATAAACACTGTTATTTTCTTCATAAAATCCATGGTAGCCATTTAGCTATGAAGCTAGAGTCACCGGGTAGACAGAAGCCCTGCCCATCACGCGAATCCGCGTCTGTTCTGAAGTGAATTTGACACGCGATTGAAGCGGATTTAACGCCCGAATAAAGCGAGTAAACTCAAATGTTCACGCGGCAATTTACGCGCGAATAGCGCGATTTATCCGCGCGTTCCGCATCTGGTGTGAACTCAGCATAAGGAGGATTATTGTTTACCTGAGAGCTGTCTAATGCTGTTCTCATCTGCAAACGCTGAGATCCAGATTCGCTTGTAGTCTCCTCTTAATAAAGACGCGGCTCTAGTTGCTGGTGATTGTCCTGTCTCTGCAGATGTGGTAAGTGAGCGACCAGTGCTCTTTGTTTATTCAGTTTGTTCGTATCGAACAAACTATTGCACCGAGTGTAAACATGTTAGCACCACAAACAAACTTTAAACTCGTGTAGGGTTTTCACCGCATTTTATGACCCGAATAACACACGCGGCTTTCTGACGCTACCTGCCGTGTGCATCTAAGTTTCCGGGAAATGCTGAGTTTTTTTTTTCTCTCATTCGCCGTGCGGTATCAAACATTGCATGAAAAATACACGCTTAGAGCAGTTCCTCGAATCAAATATCTCGTTTGTCGTGAGGGACATGAATGAATTCCCTGAATGAAAGAGCCAAACTGCAGTTAAAGTCCAACATTTAATAATTTGGCAAATAATTCGACGACAGATGTCCATGTAAACACAATCACATTGTCCGCTGTGTGTGTATTTTGACTCTGAAATTCAGCGCGCCCAAATAGACACTCCCACACCATCCCACTTTAGTTCCTCCGACACTCCCCCCTAAACAGAGCTGGACACGCCCACTTTTCTGACTTTTTCCAAAGTAGAGGTGTGAAAACACCCTGCTGAAACGAGGGGTTTCATGGCTCTTTAAAGGCACAGGAGCAAAATCTGCTCCCTCTGACCCAAATATTGACATTTTCAGCATGGCATATTAAATGATCTGATGGATGCTTTGACCTGACACTTTCTGGATACACAAAAGACGTATTTTAAACTTGGACGTAAAATTGTAGCTCTTTAATATGTGATGTTGCTGTACTCTTCTTTACAGATGAGTGTAGTGGTGCAGTACGTCGGCGGTGTGTTGCAGCTTTAGCGTCAGTATCCTCTCAGCCCAGCGTGGTGCAGGAGAGCTCTCCGGTTCTTCTCCAGGTGCTGACATCAGCCCACACAGGTACACAATACTACAAAGCTTCACGTTTCTGAAATACTACATGATAAATAACGCAATAAACAGAACGTCAATACGGTATATGCACAAGCACTTTTTAATTTTCAATAAGCCAGCTCAAACCCTTCTGATGAACTGTCATGCCATAATAAAAGTATCCCATGTATTTTACTATAGTATTTTCTTTTTTTATATAGTATTTCAGTATTTATGTCTCTGGTGTAATCCTGAAATGCTGTTCATTACTCAGGCTGCTGCGGTTTCTCTGTGGAGGAAGTGATCGCCGTGTGCATCAGTTTGCAGAGGATAGCAGTGCATGCTCGCGATAATGAGGCGATTGGCCAATTCTTCCATGACATCATCATCCCGCGACTCCTAGGGCTGACTTTACAGGCGGCGCTGCAGAGTAAAGACTCCGGTCAGTGTTTGGCATTATTTGTGACCCTGTTGGAAAAATGTGTGCACCGGCTGATTGCAAGCTGAATGCAAAACTAGTGAAATATGACAATGGATATGAAATATTGAGGTTTTCACAATAATCAGTTTAATAATTCATCCCCCAACTTTGAGTATGTTTATATGGACGCCAATGCTCCCTGATTTTAATATGATTAAGACAATACTCTGATTAACAGTCTACCATGTAAACTGCGGTTTTTAATTACCTTAATCCGACTAAAGTCATAATGGAACTAAACAGATATCAGATTAAGATGTGGAGTATTCCTGCTTTTGTGGCATTAATGACGTCCAGCTCAGACATGTAAACACTACAATCAAACTATTACCGTCATGTAGGAATTTCACGCATTTTGTGACAGGATACTCTAGACCAGGGGTGTCCAAACTTTTTGGGCTGAGGGCCAGATGCAAAAAAAAAATCAAGTTGTCCCGGGCCATATATTACACAGACACGCGCATATATATATGTGTGTGTGTATATGTTTATGTGTTTGTGTGTGTGTGTGTGTGTGTGTGTGTGTTATGGAATAGTTTTAATTTGTTATTTTAATTCATCGTCCAGCTGTGTTTCTAGAAAGACTTTTGTTTTTAAAATCTTGAATCTTCTTTGGGCAAATTACACTTGCAACACTCATCCTTTATAAATTCTCCTTCAGAGAAAGGTTTCCTGTGCTGTGCGATTAGCTGGGCTACATCATAACTAGCCAGCATAGAATTTTCTTGCACTTTATTAGCATGAAAAAAACTGCTGTTGTTGAGCTGATAGGGCAGCTGCTATTTGTTTTACTTTTTGATCTCGTTCGGCACCAGTGTAAGAGCTGAAGGCCTGGGGCCTCATGTACGAAGACTTGCGTGGAAATCTTACTAAAACATTGCGTACGCACAAAGCTGTAAATGTGCGTACGCAGAAAAAATTTCAGATGTATGAAACACTGCGTACGCCGAATCTCACGCATATTCTTTTGTACATCTGAATGAACGTGAAACTGAGCGCAACATGCACGAGCACAAAACCCCTCCCTGCCTCCTCCCCCGTATGAATATGCTAATGACTATGCTAATGGAAAAACCCAACAAAAAAGCAATGGCAAAATCAAGCAAAAAGAGAAACTTTGAACAGAATGTGAATTGGAGGTGCTGCTTTCGGAGGTAGACCGGAGAAAAGCGGTGTTATTTGCAAGTTTGTTCTCCGGAATTAACAACAAAAGAAAAAAAATAGAGTGGCAGAGTTTAGCTGATACGGTTAACACAGTTGGGTCTGAACATCGCACTGAGTGCATTTAAAAAAGAAATAGTGTGGTTTATAACTGAAAAATGTTGCAGTACCCATAGCAGTCTCAGTAGCGCACCTCATAAGAAGCATGTGATTATGTACTGACATGTTCGAGCATGAACTCGGCTCGAATCCAGCGTCTGATAAATTCTTTCTTTTTTTCCCCGCTACATATCAGATTTTGCCAACTATTTATCAAGAGAAAGACAAGTAGGAATCATCAATAAGTTTGTGCATCATATTTTATTTGCACATTCATTGAATGGAAATGTTTCTGATTCACGCATGCAAATTCATCTTCAGATAGTGTCTTTATAGCAATGTGCGTGCGGTAGATCGCTCAGATTACATTGGGAAAACAGGCGACTGCTGCAAATTGTGCTTTAATGTTTAGCTGCTCAACTGTATGGTATGGAAATCTTACATACCTACTATATGAACCCGTCTCATACAGCTGCCATTGCAAGGCTCAGACACTTTGTAGAGAAGAATTTAACACAACTGCCTCTAGGAGTCGCCAATGGAAATAAAACACACACGCACAAAAAATGTGCGTACGCCTGCCAGAAAGCTGCTGTGGAGCTGCGCACATTCCCACGTTCAGTTCATTGTTAGTAAATCCAAACGTGAGCGATTCTGAGCGTGAAACCTGGCGTACGCAAAGTTTTTGTGCGTACGCAGCATTGATACATGAGGCCCCTGGTGTTTTATTTTATAATGTCTTTTAATATTATTTTCCTGCATTACTGCAACTGATTCCTGGCAAATTAAACAGGCACATATTCCACTGACCTCTGTGAAGAAATATTCTTTGCCCCATCGTGACTGAAATTTCCTGCACTCACTGTTGATTTTCCTTTTTCTTGCTTGTGCCATGGCTCGCCAAAACGTGATTATCAATTATGTTTCTTTCAGTTTGTTTGGTTCGTTTTACTTCATAACAGGAACTGCTGCCTAATTCAAGGCATGTAATAGCGACAGCCAGTGGTTATTTATTGAATTACATTCATTTTTGTATAGCGGGCCAGATTCTATTAATATTCATAAAAATGAGGCATACAGGGCCTGAGTTATATACTTTCTAAATCAGGCTTTAGAACTAAAAAACCTTAAAGCGAGTTGTGTTGAGGTGGTTCATCATAGGACAGACAACATATATATTAATATTTATCACTTTCAGCAGTTCTTTTTGTAATTTGAAAGGGTTTTCTGTAAAATTACATTGAGATATTGCATTTATTATACTTTATGAGGGTATGGGGAGAATTTAAAAATAGGTAGGCCTTTTTTGTGTGTTTATTATAACACAGACAATATATACAACAATTGTTTTCAATTTCAACTGTGTTTTATGAAATTTTAAAGGGTTTCCTTTCAAATGATACCAAACTTTTGTATTAACACCTCTGCATGTGGGTATGGGAAGCTTTTTAAATCGGAAGGCCAAATTCACGCCGAATTACCCTAGAGCTAAACTGGTTAATCAACCTCAATCCTGATCAAAACTCCTAAATTGCTTAGAAAATTACAGGGTTTTAAATCTTTGATTGCCAAATTCACAAATGATGTCACTGGTTTGGTGAAAAACACACAAAATGACTATAATTTAGCAGCAGGCATTAGACTTTATAGTGCCAGTAAATGATTTGGTTGATTTCTTTATTAATCCCACTGAAATTCCATACATCCACTAGCCCATTGTTGCTGGTTTGTGTTGTGTATCTGTAACTGTGGCTTTATTCTGCAGGTCACATCAGTCCACTCACAGATGAAGCCGTTCTGTCTGCTATCGTCCCTGTGATCAGCACAGCCTGTGCCGCTCTAAAACCAGAGTGAGTCACACTAACAGTTGAAGTCAAAATTATTCGCCCTCCACTGAATTTTCTTGTCTTTTAAAAATATTTTCCAAATGATGTTTAACAGATTACGGAATTGTTCACAGTATTTCCTGTAATATTTTTTTCTTAACACATAATAGAACATGCATGTCATTCTTAAAAATATATCAATAAATTAGTCATTTTAACTGTTTTAATAATCAGACATTGGAATCAGAATGTGAAAACGCATATCCTAAACAAATAAATAATAATAAATGTTAACAAAAAAGTGCAAGAGTAACAAAGGCTGGTCGTCCTTCAATACAGATAGAGATGTTGCACAGTCAGCTATAATGTTGCTACAATTGGTTTTTACGTATGGGCGATATATATTGCATCATCAAAAATGATTGCGCTCATGTCCATGTGCTGTATATTGTGCAGTCCATATATTAATTATTGTGACATCCTAATCAAATGTTCAAATACAAGCCATATTGTTTAACAGATCGGCTTCTCGTATGGCGGCCCAGGCAGTTTCTTTGTTTCTGGATGGAGACACATCCTTTCTGCCAGAAAATGCCTTCCCTTCACAAATCCAGCCACTTCAGGTGAGACCAAATCAGTCATTGTGAACCAGCAGGATTAAGTTTACCAATCTGGTTGTGGAGGGTGCTGCATGTACTGCATGACTGGTCTAAAGTAGGGTTGTAACAATATACCGGTATGACGGTTTACCACGATTTGAACGTGCACGATTATCATACCATGAACAATTGCATATCAACGGTTTTAACCCTTAAAGACCGAGACAGCCGCCCACCGCTAAAAATAAGTATTGCTCTTAAATGTTTAATAACTTTTGATCCGCTGATCCGATTCATACAATTCAAAGATTGGCATAAAGAAGAGAATCTCAGCTTTCCAGTGCTGTATCACATAACATTCGCGGACTTTCAGAGGCTCCGGAATCAGTGCGGTTACGTCATCAACATTTGACAACGCTGATTTGACAAAGAAACGCTCGTCACTGTGTCTCCGGACAAATCAGACACGATACATTGATGCATTGTCCCTCCTCCATGCCCAGATTGGTTCAAACTCGCTATATCACAACCAATAAGCATAGGTTTCGCTTTTGTTTGTGGACCAAGCTTTTTGAACAACACGGAATGAGAGAAAGGCATACATTTATGCGCGGCTAAATAAAACGCAAAAAAAAAAGTTTTGCATGAAATAATTCTCATACTAAGTACTTTTGCATGCACAGCAGCACAGAAACATGACAAAACAGTGACACAGCAAAGATGAACTGCTGCTCTTGGTCTTTTCAAAAGACGCAAATGAAGATGCAGCTGTTTGTCTGCATTGCAGACATCCATATCCACAGACAACCATTTCCATGCTGGCACATAAAACCTAAGGATGTTCCATATTGAATCTAGTTTCGTTATGTAACTATTTATAGTATAGTAAATATTTATATCTATTTTTTACTGAGGATTTGCACCATGTTTATTTGGACTTTATTTGGACTTTGACACATTATTTATTATTTTCTTATTTTTATTTGTTCATTGTAAGTGGTGTTGTTTATAGTAACTAAAATATATTATTTGGAAAAAGTCAAATTTGCTTCACTGTTCTATTATTTTGTAAAATTTGTAACATACCGTATACCGCGAAACCGTCAAACCGTGGTATTGTTTTAGACGATTATCATACCGTGAAAAATTCATACCGTTACAACCCTAGTCTAAAGCACAAAAATAACATGTTTGCAAGTGAATATACTTGTTTATCTAATAAAAACAATGTTAAAGTCTGTTATCCTTCTTTCAAAAACATGCGTTCTATGTCTATATGTCCGTCATTGTTTTGGTCTCTAAAAACAGGCCACTGCCAGTTTACCCAATTATATATCAGCACCCCAGTGTTGCCCTAGTGGAGATAACAGGATGTTTCATTTCAATCATTAAGGCTGCTGTATGTAGACGTGGACGAAAATGTGACCTACAGATGAGAGTAGCAGCCTCGGAAATAGATTTAGAGTTATAAAAATCCACATGAGGTGGTTTTTAATTGGTAAATAATACAGATATTACAAGGCAAGGCGGTGTTGTTTATATAGCACATTTAATGCACGATGGGAATTCAAAGTGCTTTACATAAACAAGAATAAAATATAAAAAGAAATAAAATCACAGAAAAAAATTGTTAAGAAAATATTATAATGTGTTAAAACAAAACAAAAAAAGTCAACATTAGATTAGCAGCTCACAGTGTAATGACCCGTTTCCACTGAGTGGTACGGTTCGGTTTGGTATGCTTTTATGGCCGTTTCCACTGTCAAAAGGCGAACTGAACTGTACTGTACCACTTTTTCGGTACCCTTTCGAAAGGGTACCAAACTTGAAAAAGGGTACCAAAAGGCGGAGCTAGATGCGAAGGTACGTCATTCGCTTGCGCAACAAGCCAGAATGAAAACAAAAGACCCGCCATGTTTAAAAATACACAGCTGAGAGATCTTTTACAGCGTAAATATATATACATATAATAACGAGCCACGGTCGACCCGGGCTCAAACAAACCTTGTCGTCATCTTGATGAACAGCCACAAAGCCATGGAGTAGAGCAGAATCTACCCTGTGCCTCATATTTGTTTACGAGCCAGTCTGAAGCGTAAGCAGTTTCGCTTTCTTGCTTGCGCTCGCCGCGCGTCTATATTTGAAATAACAAACTTCTTGAGCTGATGGTAATAACGTGCGCTTGATTATTGACGTGCTTTTGAAACCCGATCCTGTCAGACACTAAAAAAACGCGAGAGTGACACACGAAAAAACAAAGGAGAAGCGGGAAAAAAGGAGCACGTTATTTCTTCAGCAAACGTGAACAAACTGCTTGTTTTAGTTTTTATCATCACCTTTTGGACTTATATGAACTGGGAATGATGGAGTGACTCTCTAACAGAGGCTTCATGTGCTGCTGAAGATTACAGACACAGATCAGAGGTTTTCACTGACTGTAGGCTATATTTTGTGTTGTTTTAAACCTAATTAAGGACTAAATGTCTGCTGTGTGTAGTTTTTCTGTACTTGGTAACATATCGAGGACTGTAAGGGTCGAAGGAGGGGTCGGAGGAAAAAAATCCCTTTCCGATATGTTAAATTTGGACTGCAATACCTAGTTCAGCCACTAGGGATTCAATCCTACATACTGCACCTCTAAGCCATTACATCTCAATCAATGAAGGTTTGTCTAACCTAAATATCTCTTAGCTCATCAGTCACTAGGTTACCTTCTATTTGCATGTGGAGCTTTTGTCTGTAATTGAATGCAGTGTTAGATTGTGTCTTGTTTTCTTACAGAGTCAGGCAGACTCCCGGGGGCCGTCTCAGCTGGTGTGTTTACTGATGGCCTGCGTTTGCTCTCTTCCACGCAGTGTAAGTTACATCAAAGCCCTAATCAGAATATTCAAGTACAGCTCAGGTTTATTTTCTTATATTCATTCATATTTTTTATGTTCATACTTGTAAAACTGTATAGTTTGAAGGAAATCAAACTGCAAGTTAAAGTGTGTTTTGGGTGGGTCAGTCAGCAATAGCAATGCAAAAAGTTGATTTATGGATTATTGCTCTTCATAACATTTTTACATCTTTACTTTTTTCCTCATTCTTTTTGTTAATATTTTGCTTTTAGAATTAGAGATTTATATAATCAAACTAAAGGCCAATCGATATTATTATTATTATTTTTTTAAAGACATGTATGACTGTATGTATGTACATGTATGATATGCATATTCAATATATATTGTTTTAATTTAAAACTTTTAGTCTTTATTCTTTGGCCCAGAAGTCTACTGTGAAAACATGCAGTGAATCCGGAAAGTATTGATAGCGCTTCACTTTTTTCACATTTGTTTATGTTCTAGCCTTATTCCAATATGTAATGGCTTCATTTATTTCCTGAACATTCTACACACAATCCCCCTTAATGACAATGTGGAAAAAAAGAGTTTTTGAAATTGTTGCAAATTTATTACAAATAAAAAAGCTGCATGTCAAAGCACAAACCAATGATGAAGACAAAGGAATTGTCTGTAGGCCTCAGAGACGGGATTGTCTGGAGGCACAAGGCTGGGGAAGGTTACAGAAACATTCCAGTGAGCACAGCGGCCTCCATCATCAATAAGTGGAAGATGTTTGGAACCACCAGAACTCTTCCTAGAGCTGGCCGGCCATCTAAGCTGAGTGATCGGGGGAGAAGGGCCTTAGTCAGGGAGGTGATCAATAACCTGATGGTCACTCTGTCTGAGCTCCAGCGTTCTTCTGTGAAGAGAGGAGAACCTTACAGAAGGACAACCATCTGTGCAGCAATCCACCAATCAGGCCTGTATGGTAGAGGGGCCAGACGGAAGACACTCCCCGTCTGGAGTTTGCCAAAAGGCATCTAGAGGACTCTCAGACTAGGGCTGCACGATATTGGGAAGAAATTGACATTGCGATATTTTTTTTTTCCTGCGATATATATTGCGATATTTAGAAATTCAGAATCAGGAGTTTTGAACTGCTCAAAAATTTAATAATAAATAATTCTATAATAATTTGGGTAATTTTTTAAGCATTTTTATAGAATATAAAAAATTAATAAGTAAAAACACTGAACAAACATTTTTATAGTTTCTTTTGGGTTGTTTATAAAAAAATATGACTTAACTGTCAATTCAGATAAATCAAGCATCTAATATGTTATGATATTAATACTAAATGTTGTTTTTACTGTGATAAAGGTGAGCTCATTTGGTGAATGCAAAGATGACACTTTATTAACACATTTAGGAATTAACACAAGTGTCAAAATAAGTAACTTAACTTTTTATTCAACAACTACAAACTATTTTTATTACAACAATTACAAAACAGAAGGAAATATCTTGTCACAAAATTGTAAAAATATAAAAACAGCTAAACACTAACCCCGTGAGTGGATTAAAAAAATAAACATGTTATAAAACAAATAAATTGTTGATAAGATAAACTTGTTCTAATAATTACCAACAATTAACTTTACAATGAATAAATATGGCATTTCGATGCTGAAACTATGTATCGTGCAGCCCTACCTCAGACCATAGGAAACTAAACTCTCTGCTCTGATCAGACTAAAATTGAACTCTTTGGAGTGAATGCCAGGCCTTACGTTTGGAGATAACCAGGCAGCGCTCATCACCAGGCTAATACCATCCCTACAGTGAAGCATGGTGGTGTTGGCATCATGCTGTGGGGATGTTTTTGAGCAGCAGGAACTGGAAGACTAGACAGGATAGAGGGAAAGATTTGGCTTCAGTACTGTGCTTCCTGAAAGTATTCATAGCGCTTCACTTTTTCCACGTTTTTTTATGTTACAGCTTTTCCAAAATGGTTTAAATTGATTTATTTCCTCAACATTCTACACACAATCCCCCATAATGACAATGTGGAAAAAAAGAGTTTTTTAAATTGTTGCAAATTTATTAAAAATAAAATCACATGAGAAATCACATGTACATCAGTGTTCACAGCTTTTGGCGTGAAGCTCTAAATTGAGCTCAGGTACATTCAGTTTCCACTGATCATTTATTAAAAAAAATTATTTATTATTATTATTATTTTTTTTAATTAGAATATGCAAGAAGTACACAAAATGGGAACACATACAAACAATTTTTTTTACAATTACTAATGTTTCAACTGCTGCTGCTGCTGCTACAGCCACAACCACGACTACTACTACTACTACTAATACTACAACAACTGATACTACTACAACAATGACTACTACTACTGATACTACTACAACAACATCTACCACTACTACTACTACTACTGATACTACTACAACAACATCTACCACTACTACTACTACTGATATTACTACAACAACATCTACCACTACTACTACTACTGATATTACTACAACAACATCTACCACTACTACTACTACTGATATTACTACAACAACATCTACCACTACTACTACTACTGATATTACTACAACAATTACTGCTACTACAACATCTACATCGACAACATCTACTACTTCTGATGCTACTACACCAACGACGACGACTACTGCAATCACTACATCTACTAATTCTAATACTACTACCCCAATGATGTCCACTACTACAACTACGACAACAACCACAACTACTACTACAATCACCACTGCAACAATGACTTCTACTATTACTACTACAACAACAATGACAGCAACCTGAATAATGACAGTGGTAGACATATTTATAATAATAATAATAATAATAATAATGAGGAGATAACAGAAGGACAAGTCAAGATAGTAATAATAATAATGGTAATAAAAGTAGAAGTAATAATATTAATGATAATAGTGAGGAGGTGAGGTCCTCTGATCATTCTTGAGATGTTTCAGCAGCTTCATTAGAGTTCACCTGTGGTCAATTCAGTGGATTGGACATGATTTGAAAAGGCGTACACCTGTCTATACAAGCTCCCAGGGTTGACAGTGAAATTTCATGGATTTCAAAAGAAAAATGATGCCAGATGTAAATTTAGTAATTTTCGCAACAGGTGGAGATTCCTGACATGGACCGGCTTCTGGTGCAGCTGGAGGATCTGAGCTGTACATCTCCACATCTGTTTTCTTACACTTTTGCATCAAAATGCATCGCTGGTCTGGTCAACAAGAGGCCGGCAGGTACAAACAAACCGATCGATCTCATGTAATCTCTGCAAATCTCATGGCCTGAATTTTATGTGGATGTACAGTACGCCAGTGGAATAATAAATGAGGTATTTGAGCCGTGGAGTTGATTTACCCGATCTGTCTGTGTGTGTTCAGGAGCGGCTCTGAACGCAGTGCTGGACCGAGTGTTAAAGAGGGTCAGTCTGGAGCTGGAGGAAACGTCATCCACGCACAGAACACAGGCCTTCACACTGCTGATCTGGGTAATAATCACCACATCACTGGACCAGCAGCTTTTAGCATTCAGAATGAACTGACCCTTCTAGGGCTTTGGGATGTTTATGGTCTGTGATGATGTAGCGCTGTGCAATGGGGTATACATGCACAGGGACTTTTAATTTCGAATTTCCCAGCTCAGGTGGAACTCTTATGCCACTATAAAATTGGTTAAATAAATTATGATTTATAAAATAAATGATTAAGCAATATTTTTTTGATGATTGTTTTTTTTTTAGGTGGCCAAAGCTCTGCTCTTACGGTACCATCCGCTGTCAACAGCCCTGACCGACAAGGTAGTGTGTTTTCTGTGTAATGGTCCTGCTGTTTCAGTCTTTCTCTTGATATGTTTGTGTGTGTGATGGCTGTTGTGTGCGTGTTCAGCTCTTCTCTCTGTTGAGTGACTCTGCGTTGGGATCTCTGGTGGCTGATGGTTTCTGTGTCCTCATGAACGACTCGCCGGATGTGCTCAATCGAGATTGTCATGCTGACGTTCGCATCATGTACAGACAGCGCTTTTTCACTGAGAACTCAAGCAAGCTGGTTCAAGGTTTCAACTCGGCAGAGCAAGGTAGCGCCATTACCACTTCCTGTCCTCATTACCAATATGACTCAAACACCCTGTTTTCATTTGCATGTACATTTTAAGTATACAATTAAAGTCAAAATGATTCGCCCTCCTGTGATTTAAATTTTTTTTTATTTTATTTACTTATTTTTTTATTTAATTATTATTATTTTTTATATTTCCCAAATGATGTTTAACAGATTCAGGAAATTTTCACAGTATTTCCTATAATATCTTTTCTTCTGGAGAAAGTCTTATTTGTTTTATTTCAGCTAGAATAAAAGCAATTTGTAATTTTGTAATCGTTTTGAAGTCAATATTATTAACCCCCTTAGGCAATATTTGTTTTTGATTTGTCTACAGAACAAACCATCTTAATACAATGACTTGCCAAATTACCCTCGTTAAGCCTTTAAATTACACTTTCAGCTGAATACTATCATTAGAGAAAAAATATTACAAGAACATAATCACTTGAGAAATATTGGAAAAAGAAAAAATTTCACAGGACGGCTGGTATTTTGGCCCTCAACTGTATTTTGTTTAGCAGATAAGCGTTTATATGGCTAATAAATCTTTTTTGTTTAGTTATTTATTTATATAAAAAAGGCTGTAAAGGACAATATTTACATCTTGAAAGAAATGCTTTGTCTCAGATCTTTATAGAACGAGTAAATATTAAAACTTTTACTCTAAACCTTATAAATCCAATAATTGACCTTATAAATCCAGTAATTGCCGTAATAAATTCTATAATTGCCCTAATAATACAGTAATATGCTTAAATCCAGTAATTGTCCTTATAAATCCAGTAATTGTCCTTCTAAATCCAGTAAATGTCCTTATAAATTCAGCAATTGTCCTAATAAATTCTATAATTGTCCTAATAAATTCTATAATTGTCCTAATAATACAGTAATTATGCTTAAATCCAGTAATTGTCCTTATAAATCCAGTAATTGTCCTTATAAATCCAGTAAATGTGCTTATAAATTCAGCAATTTTCCTAATAAATTCTATAATTGTCCTAATAATACAGTAATTATGCTTAAATCCAGTAATTGACCTTATAAATCCAGTAATTGTCCTTATAAATCCAGTAAATGTCCTTATAAATCCAGCAATTGTCCTAATAAATTCTATAATTGTCCTAATAATACAGTAATTATGCTTAAATCCAGTAATTGTCCTTATAAATCCAGTAATTGTCCTTATAAATCCAGTAAATGTCCTTATAAATTCAGCAATTGTCCTAATAAATTCTATAATTGTCCTAATAAATTCTATAATTGTCCTAATAATACAGTAATATGCTTAAATCCAGTAATTGTCCTTATAAATCCAGTAATTGTCCTTATAAATCCAGTAAATGTGCTTATAAATTCAGCAATTTTCCTAATAAATTCTATAATTGTCCTAATAATACAGTAATTATGCTTAAATCCAGTAATTGACCTTATCCAGTAATTGTCCTTATAAATCCAGTAAATGTCCTTATAAATCCAGTAATTGTCCTTATAAATCCAGTAAATGTGCTTATAAATTCAGCAATTTTCCTAATAAATTCTATAATTGTCCTAATAATACAGTAATTATGCTTAAATCCAGTAATTGACCTTATAAATCCAGTAATTGTCCTTATAAATCCAGTAAATGTCCTTATAAATCCAGCAATTGTCCTAATAAATTCTATAATTGTCCTAATAATACAGTAATTATGCTTAAATCCAGTAATTGTCCTTATAAAACCAGTAATTGTCCTTATAAATCCGGTAATTGTCCTTATAAATCCAGTAAATGTCCTAATAAATCCAGCAATTGTCCTAATAAATTCTATAATTGTCCTAATAATACAGTAATTATGCTTAAATCCAGTAATTGTCCTTATAAATCCAGTAATTGTCCTTATAAATCCAGTAATTATGCTTAAATCCAGTAATTATCCTAATAAATCCATTAATTTACCTTATAAATCCAGTTATCGTCCTAATTAATCCAGTATTTTTCCTAATACAAACTGGGGGCTAATAATTCAGGGGGGCCATATATATATTTTTACTTTCCGAAGGACTAAGGATCACATGAATAAATAAAATGTTACAATATATTGAAAGAAAAATCTTTTGTTTTAAATTCTAACGATATTTCACAATATTACTGTATGTTTTTAATAAATAGTAACTGTAATGAACATAAAACACTGTATTTAATATAAAATAAAGTTGAAAGCCAGCATGAACTGGAAGTCGCAGAGACTTTTAATTCAGTATGTTGATGTGCTTCCAACTGAAACGGTATATTGAGTAGGGGACGGGGCTTTATTTATGATTTCACACAGGCTATTTTAAACGTCTGACTTCCATTCTTTTGTTCTCCAGCAAAGAAGTCTTGCTATTTGAAAGCGCTGTCACACATCGTCAATAACCTACCTAGAGAAGTGCAATTGACGGAGCTTCCTGCGGTGAGTTTGGTTTCTTCAGAAGCTTTCAGATGTGTGTTTCAGATGGTGTGTAAGTGTTTGTGTGTTGTGTGCAGTTGCTGCCGCTGCTATTGGAGGCTCTGTCGTGTGTGGATCAGGGTGTTCAGTTGTCCACACTCTCCTGTCTTCAGCCAGTGTTGCTGGAGTCTCCTGCAGCTCTCAATACTCAGCTGGAGGCCCTGTTCACTCGTCTGCTCGCCCTCACCACCAGCCCTGCCATGGTGCTTTATTTTATTTTGAGTAACACTTTACTATAGGGGTGTTCATAAGACTGTCATGGAACCTTTAAAACCAAGACATGCGTCAATTACAATGTGAATGAGATTTTATGCATGCTTATGGCATTTGCTCTAGAGACTGAAATCACAAATTTACAACAATTTGGTGCCGTGACCCGGATATAGACTGAAATGGCAAATTTACTACAACTCGGTGCTGTGACCTGGTACAGACTGAAATCACAAATCTTCAACAATTTGGTGCCGTGACCTGGTACAGACTGAAACCACAGATCTCCAACAATTTGGTGCTGTGATACGGATAGAGACTGAAATAACAAATCTCTCAACAATTTGGTGCCGTGACCCGGATAGAGACTAAAATCGCAAATTTCCAACAATTTGGTGCCGTGACCCGGTACAGACTAAAATCACGAATTTCCAACAGTTTGGTGCCGTGACCCGGATAGAGACTGAAATCACAAATCTCTTAACAATTTGGTGCCGTGACCGAGATAGAGACTGAAATCACAAATTTGGTGCCTTCAACCGGATAGATACTGAAACCACAAATTTCCAACAATTTGGTGCCGTGACCTGGATGGATACTGAAACCACAAATTTCCAACAATTTGGTGCCATGACCCGGATAGATACTGAAACCACAAATTTCCAACAATTTGGTGCCGTGACCCGGATAGAGACTGAAACCACAAATTTCCAACAATTTGGTGCCGTGACCTGGATGGATACTGAAACCACAAATTTCCAACAATTTGGTGCCATGACCCGGATAGATACTGAAACCACAAATTTCCAACAATTTGGTGCCGTGACCCGGATAGAGACTGAAACCACAAATTTCCAACAATTTGGTGCCGTGACCCGGATAGAGACTGAAACCACAAATTTGGTGCCGTGACCCAGATAGAGACTGAAATCACAAATTTGGTGTCGTGACCCGGATAGATACTGAAACCACACATTTCCAACAATTTGGTGCCGTGACCCGGATAGAGACTGAAATCACAAATTTGGTGCCGTGACCCGGATAGAGACTGAAATCGCAAATTTGGTGGCGTGACCTGGATAGAGACTGAAATCTCAAATTTGGTGTCGTGACCCGGATAGATACTGAAACCACACATTTCCAACAATTTGGTGCCGTGACCCGGATAGAGACTGAAATCACAAATTTGGTGCCGTGACCCGGATAGAGACTGAAATAACAAATTTGGTGCCGTGACCCGGATAGAGACTGAAATCACAAATTTGGTGCCGTGACCCGGAATAATACTGTAATTACAAATTTCCTACACAGTCTTCATCTTTGTCATGACAACAAAACTGGTCATAAATCTGTCATAAACATGATTGTCATGAGGTCATTTTAATTGTGGCTTGAATATGTTTTTGATCACATTTTCAGTGCAACAAACTGTATTTGTCATCAAAATGTGTCATTAAAAGTGCCATTACTCTGTCAAATAATTTTTAAGAGCGACATTAATATTTAATGACAGTTCAATGACAGATTCAGCTTGTAAACTATAGTTGAGGTCAAAAATATATTAATGACGTTGTTATAAAATTAATCTATAGTGGCTTCATCACAATCGGGTTTATGACAGGTTTATTGTATTGGTAACGTCAAGTTGTCATGACAAAGGCAAAAGTAATTGTGATTAGTGATGCGCGGGTCGTTTTTTTTCCAAGTTGTCATAACAAACAATGCCATCTTTGCATTTAAACTGACAACAGAGCTAATGACAGTTGTAATAAGCCTTCATAAAACCTCTTTCACATTCATGTCATGATTATAAAGGGTTAATGACAGTCTTATGAACACCCATTCTGGTAAAATGGTAACATTTTTGTTTTGCGTTCAGACGAATCTGAGCTAATTTTATTGTTCGCTTTGACAGAAAGTGAGAATGGCGTCGCTCCGCTGTGTCCATGCTCTGTCTCGTCTGCCTGAACATATGGTAAGGGAATCAAACTGTGTGTATGAAACTAAATCTACACACAATTTTCTGCAAAGCAAAGAGGGTAACAGTAGTTGTTTGCCAAGCCATACTTGTGTTATTCTGTAAAAAACTTATGACATCTCTTGCTAAATTAAAATAAAAATGTGATTTTGAGCCTTTTTTTGTGTAAAATAACTAAGGGTGGCAAGGTGGTTCAGTGGTTAGCACTGTCACCTCATAGCAAGAAGGTCACTGGTTCGAGTCCCGGCTGGTCCAGTTGCCATTTCTATTTGGAGTATGCATGAACCCAAGTGCGTTCCAATTGATGCATGATGAGAATCTGCAAACTGTAGTAATGAAATACTTTGTCTTTAAATCACGGGTTTGATTGTGTGTTATATGGCTTTGTTGTGTGTGTGTGTGTGTTTCAGGTCATGCCGTTCCGTGCCCGAGTCCTGAAGGCTCTCGCTGCTCCTCTGGATGATAAGAAGAGGCTGGTGAGGAAGGAGGCCGTAGCGGCTCGAGGAGAATGGTGAGAAAAAACATACTGTACCCAAAACACAGATTTAATCACGGCAGAGTAGGGGTGTACCCATACACTCTGACAACGATTTAATTCATATTTGATTATTTCCTTGATTTTTATTTTATTTTTTTAAACAAGGACATTAAGATTAAAGACATTATACAGCACATCAAAAAGTACCTTTTATTAGGCTGTGTAAAATAAAAGTTTACATTGTTTATTTTGCTAACACACATTGTTATTTTTAAGGTGAACAATTAATGGCGGCGAGTTCATCTACTGGGAAAAAGAGTTTGTTTTGGTAGTCCTCCATCAAATCTGAGCATCTGCTACTGTGTCTGGATTGGCTCCTCCTCTTGTCAGTTAGATTCTTCAGCACAATTTTTCTAGCCACGCCCCTCTTACCGTTAGTTTGCTTTGATTGAATAGTGTGCAAAGAGAAAGCCACGCCCCCTACTCAATATTCAGTTTCAGTCAGCAGTACATCAACATACTGAAACAAAAGTCTCATTGGTCACTTCTGGTTTACAGACTTTTAAGGTCTCATGAAATGAAATGAAAGTTTTTTTAGATGTTAGTATCAGCATGTTCATTTTAAAGATGTCCATAATCTTGTGTGCTCCAAAACGGTGACAATACTTGCAATTAGACGACATAAACCTGATATAAACATCCAAAGCTTGCAGTTTGTCACCTAAATTGGTCAACTTTTTTAAACATCACCTGATTCATTAATTCATTTTCTTGTCGGCTTAGTCCCTTTATTAATTCGGGGTCGCCACAGTGGAACGAACCGCCAACTTATCCAGCACATTTTTACGCAGCGGATGCCCTTCCAGCCGCAACCCATCTCTGGCAGACACACACACTCATACACTACAGACAATTTAGCCTACCCAATTCACCTGTACCGCATGTCTTTGGACTGTGGGAGCACCCGGAGGAAACCCACGCGAATGCAGGGAGAACATGCAAACTCCACACAGAAACACCAACTGGGCTGAGGTTCGAACCAGCGACCCAGCAACCTTCTTGCTGTGAGGCGACAGCACTACCTACTGCGCCACTGCCTCGCCAAACATCACCTCACCTCATACTTCAGTTTCTCATCAAATCTTCTGACCAATCAAATGCTCTCTTGTATCTGACATGCCCCGCCCCCTTCAAGACGCTTCTCTTTTGCTTTGCATTTGCTGCACTTGAGAGATGCAGAGCTGTGATTAAAAACCAAACGCTATTGGCTGTTTGTTTGTTTGTTTTCTCAAAAGAGGAGGAGCCATCCATGTTTTACTCGAGATCACACTTGAAATAAATAACTGCACATTTATAGCACTTGACAGGACCTTTAAACATTACAAAAGATGAATTAAACCTTCATTTTTATTATACAGTGGGTGTTTTGAATCTCAGATCTTGATGAATGACTTTAAGAAAACGTTCTTGCTAAAGTGGGTGGAGTCTTAGAGCCACGCCCCCTCGTTACATCATCACTCCTGACCAATGGGAGTTTGAATGTGCCAAAGCTAACGATTGTGTTAAATGAGGTCACAGTAGTTTTATTCTTTAATTAAAACTGAAATGTCCTCCTGTTAGACGGCATCTGATGCGACTTTTCTCATCTGCAGGTTTTTGTTAGGAAGTCCTGGTGGAAGATGAACAACAGGTCAGTGCTGCTATCAAACCAAGAGCCCAGAACAGAGATGATCACCGCTCACAGCCTTTCATTTTACTCCTCTATCCTCTTTTTTTTTAATGAGTTAGTCCTGTTTGGGCATAGAGATTGCTCAACAAACTGCGTAAACTGAAGCCCTTTTCAGCCGGACCTTCAACAACTAATGCTGAAAGGAGAACACCTCCACTCGTCTTTACAGGAACGCAAGTCTGATGCAGAATAAAACAACCCATCGCCCTGAATGTGCCGTCGACGGTCCTTATGGTAGGATTTGTTAGTCTGTTGTCCATTTTCGCAAGACTAACCTAAAAGTCTAACGGAGAAAACTGATGCCAAGAATATAAAACAGTATTTAAGTGTCAATAAACCTTTTGTAAATGTGTAGATCGTGACAAACTTGGGATTTAACCTGGTCTGCTTTGAAGGAAAACGTGAAGACAGATGCACAGCCAGTCAAAACCCTTTCAAATTGATTTATAATGAGCTGATTCTGCTTATAAAGGCTCATTTATTGAACAAACACAGTAAAAATGGTGGAATGTTACTGCAATATTAAATAACTGTTATTTTATTGAATGTACCTTAAAATTGAGTTCATTCTAGTGATTTAAAGCATGATTAGTCTACATAATCCTTAAAATATTCTGCTCAAGAAGAAATGTAGTATTATTCATTTTTCTTCAGCTCAGTCCTTTATTTATCAGGGGTCGCCACAGTGGAATGAACTGCCAACTATTCCAGCATATGTTTTATGCAGCGGATGCACTTCCAGCTGCAACCCAGTACTGGGAAACACCCATACACTTTCATTCACCCTCATACACTATGGCCAATTTAGTTCAATTCACCTATAGCGCATGTGTTTGGACTGTGGAGGAAACCCACGCCAACATGGGGAGAACATGCAAACTCCACACAGAAATGCCAATTGAGGCAGCCGGGACTGGAACTAATAATTATGGCATAGTTTTAAAACTTTTAATATAAAATAATCCTAAAAGACAAATATCATTAGTGATTTAGTACCGATATTAACCGATCATCATAGAACGTCAAATCTGCATATTATAATGATGTGTAAAGGATCAGGTGACACTGAAGAATGGAGAAAAGTCAGCTTTAAATACACTACCTGACAAAAGTATCGTCGTCGATCTTATTTGTAAGAGCAACAATTAACACCTTGATTTCTAGTTGATCATTTGGAAAAGTGGCCGGAGGTGAATTTTCCTGATGAATTATCTGTTGATCTGCATCCCAAACATCACTAATACTGCTGAAGACCTACTGGAACCAGCATGGACCCAAGATTGTCATAGAAATCAGTCAAGTTTGGTGAAGGAAAAATCATGGTTTGGGGTTACATTCAGTGTGAGAGATCTGCAGAGTGGACGGCAACATCATCAAGACATTTGTGCTGCCCATTACATTACAAACCACAGGAGAGGGACAATTCTCCAGCAGGATAGCGCTGCTCCTCATACTTCAGCCTCCACATCAAAGCTCCTGAAAGCAAAGAAGGTCAAGCTGCTCCAGGATTGGCCAGCCCAATCATCAGATATGAACATTATTGAGCACTTCTTGGGTAAGATAAAGGAGGAGACGTTGAAGATGAACACAAAGAGTCTTGATGAACTCTGGGAGTCCTGCTGAACGCTTTCTTTGCCATTCCAGATGACTTTATTAATGAGTGATTTGAGTCAGAGATGTATGGATGCAGTCCTCCAAGCTCATGATGAAGTCAGACACAATACTCACTCTGTCTCCACTGCAGCAGGACTTTATATTCTATACTGGACATTATTTCTGTTCAGTGACAAGACTTTAGTCTGAGCAGAGTCAGACCTTACTGTCCTAATTAAATATTTAACATTCAAGACATGATCATATTTTATTTTGGTAAAATAAGCGTCATCTAGAGGCCTTTCATATTACCGCTTCTGACACCAAATGATCAACTAGAAGTCAACTTATTATTACTTGTTCCTAAAACTTGGATAGCCGACAAGACTTTTGTCAGGTAGTGTAAATAAAATCTGAAGCTACATTCAATAATAAAGGAGTTAATTAAAATTGTAATAATATTTTATATGCAGTGTGAACTGTATTTTGGATCAAATAAATGCAGGCTTGGTGAGCAGAATCTGCTTCTTTTAGAATGTTTTTTACCGATGACAAAAGCTTGACTGGTCGTGCACATCAAGTCCAACATATTTTATGTTTAAAAGCTGAAGATATTAATGGTGTGGTCAGAATTTCCAACTAGAAACTTGTTTTATTGCTGTTTTTTAAATCCCAGCAGTTCATCTGTACAGTGTTTGCTGAGCTGGCATTGATAGATGATGTTACAAACGATTCACATATTTACAGCAACGTGTCATACAATAAAAAAAAAGGTCTTAAATCCTGAAAACACGCACACACAAAACATTGGTCACTTGCTTGTTTACCAGGGATCCAAAAGTCTCAGGACTTTTAACACTTAGTAAAAATGTTGTCAGGAAATTATCAGTTGTTGTCATGAGACTGGAGTTCAGTTCTTAAACAGCGCTGATTTGTCATTGTGTTCACATGCTCAACAGAAATGACTGTGATTGGCTGTAAAGGTCATCAGTTCATCGAACTCATTACTGTTTACTGAGTGTAGCCACAGATACAGGAACATTGGAGCGTTTTAAAGGCGAGAAGATCAGCGGGGGCTTCATGTATCAACGCTGCGTACGCACAACTTTGCGTACACCAGGTTCCACGCTCGCGTTTAGCGGTGAGTTCGGTGAACTGATGACTTATTCAGCCAATCACAGTCATTTCTGTTGAGCATGTGAACACAATGGTAACTCAGCTCTGTTTAAGAACGAGCCCTAATGTTAGTTGGATATGGAAGTATGATTGGTATTGAGTTCCAGTATCATGACACATTAGTTCAGGTTTAGTTGCAAATAAGCGAATCTCCAAAATAAAATTAATGAATGGCTTAATTGCAAAAGTTCGTCTAAAATATAATAAATAAACTTAATAAATGTATAAATAATAACATTTTATACCAATTTTGACCATGATATTACTTTTTTTTTTTTTAATTCTGAAATTTTAATTCATCATCACGCATGTAATGTCATTTATACAGTAATTAAATTGAAAAATCATTATGAAATATCCAATATGTAGCTTTTTTCCTCCATAGTCTCTGACTTCTGGACCCCACAGTCACAGCTTCTGTACATCTAGACCTGTTTCATAAACAAAAATAATAACAATATAAAATTTTCAAATATAAAACATAACAAAATGCAACGCGCGGACCACTCTGGAAATGTTTGGACATTCAGATAGGAAGTGAAGACAGGAGTTTGTTAAAAACACAGCGCTCAAAGATAAATGATGATGATGATCATCAGTCTTTAAGTTATATAAAAGATGGAAATATTCCACAGATGTCACTGTCAAAAACCTTTGGCACCAAGTACGACGAGGAACTCGGCACATCTAGAAAAAACACAGCATCTCACACTGCAGCAGAAACACACACTTGATATAAAGCTCCTCATTTGAGTGTGTGTGTGTGTGTGTTCATATGGCGGTGGTGCTGCTCTTGTAAGCAGGACAGTCCCATGTCAGGCCATCTCCAAGAGGAGGATGAGTTGAGGGCAGGAGGACACGCCACAGCCAATCACTGATGAGATACAAAAAGTACTTTAATTTTACATTTCTGATCATAAATAGTTTTAATAACTCATCTCTAATAACTGATTTATTTAATCTTTGCCATGATGACAGCACATAATATTAGACTAGATATTCTTCAAGACACTTCTATACAGCTTAAAGAGACATTTAAAGGCTTAACTAGGTTAACTTATGTTAATTAGGCAATTCATTGAACATCAGTGGTTTGTTCTGTAGACAATCCAAACAAATATAGCATAAGGGGGCTTATAATATTGACCTTAAAATGCTTTTCAAAAATTAAAAACTGCTTTAATTGTAGACTAAATAAAACAAATAAAACTTTCTCCAGAAGAAAAAATATTATAGGGAATACTGTGAAAAATTCCTGAATCAGTTCAACATCATTTGGTTAACAATTGAAAAAGAAAAAAATATTGCACAGGAGGGCGAATATTTTTCCTTTTTACTGTATATACACACTACACTACCTGACAAAAGTCTTGTCAAAAGTGGATCCCAGTTGTGAGAGCAACAAATAATAACTTGACCTCTAGTTGATCATTTGGGAAAGTGGCTGAAGGTGGATTTTTTTTTCTGATGAATCATTTTAAGCTGCATCCCAATCATCCCAAACACTGCAGAAGACCTTCTGGAACCAGCATGGAGCCAAGATTCTCATAGAAACCAGTCAAGTTTGGTGAAGGAAAAGTCATGGTTTGGGGTTACATTAAGTATGGGGACGTGCGAGAGATCTGCAACATCAACAGTCTGAGGTATCAAGACATTTGTGCTGCCCGTTACATTACAAACCACAGGAGAGGGCAAATTCTCCAGCAGGATAGCGCTGCTCATACTTCAGCCTCCACATCAAAGCTCCTGAAAGCAAAGAAGGTCAAGCTGCTCCAGGATTGGCCAGCCCAGTCACCAGAAATAAACATTATTGAGCACTTCTGGCGTAAGATGAAAGAGGAGGCATTGAAGATGAATCCAAAGAATCTTGATGAGCTCTGGGAGTCCTGCAAGAAGGCTTTCTTTGCCATTCCAGATGACTTTATTAATCAGTGATTTGAGTCAGAGATGTATGGATGCAGTCCTCCAAGCTCATGATGGAGTCAGACACAATATTCACTCCGTCTCCACTGCAGCAGGACTTTATATTCTATACTGGACATTATTTCTGTTCTGTGATGAGACTTTAGTCTGAGCAGAGTCAGACCTTACTGTCCTAATGGAATAATTAATAATCAAGGCATGGTCATATTTTATTTTGGTAAAATATGTGTAATCTAGAGGCTTTTCATATAAGCCACTTCTTTATATATTCTTTATATGTTGTTCCTAAAACTTGGTTCGCCGACAAGACTTTTGTCAGGTAGTGTATATGTGGGAAATAATAAAATATTTAGCATCTCACCTTCCTTTTTCCACACCGAAAAATATCCTCCAGTTGTTGATTCTTCCATGATGGTACGGGTTACGGAAAAGCTGCGAGAGTTCATAACACAAAAGGGTTAATAAAAATGTGAAATGACAATGAAAATCTGTGTGTGTGTGTGTGTTTTCATTCTATCAAATATTTCCCAAATGATGTTGAACAGATTCAGGAAATTTTTCACAGTGTTTCCTATAATATTTTTTCTTCTGGAGAAAGTCTTATTTGTTTTATTTCGGCTAGAATAAAAGCAGTTCTTAATTTTTAAAAAACATTTTAAGGCCAACATATTAGCCCTTTTAAACAATATTTGTTTCCGATAGTCTACAGAACAAACCATCATTATACAATAACTTGCCTGATTACCCTAACCTGCCTAATTAACCTAATTAACCTAGTCAAGTCTTTAAATGTCACTTTAAGCTGTAAAGTGACATTTAATTAACCTAGTCAAGTGTCTTGAAGAATATCTAGTCTAATATTATTTACTGTCATCATGGCAAAGATAAAATAAATCATTAGAGATGAGTTATTAGAGATGAGTTATTAAAACTATTATGATTAAAAATGTGCTGAAAAAACCCTGTTTAACATCACTTGGGAACCATTAGAAAATAATAATTTCACAGGAGGATTATTAATTTCATCTTCAACTGTATATATTGAATGTAGTATGTATAATAATGGTATTATTAGTGTTTGCAGTACTACAAAAATTTAGAGACTCATTTTTTTTTATTTGCATTATTTGCTGCTAGAACAAGAACAACAAACTAATATTAATAAAACTAATAATGAGCATAAATAGTAATGAAAACCGCAGCACTTATGCAATCACACAAACATTTCTAAAATCTATTGTTTTTATTATTATTATGTATTTAATAATAGCAAATATTTATCCAGCTACTTTTGTCCTGCTAAGTTTGCATCAATTGGTATCGAAAAATGAAGAATGAAATAAAAAATTAATAGAAAAACATAGAAATAAGTCCAAAAAATGTATTATAATAAACAATGTATTCAAAACATTGTATTCATAAATATAAATGTATGAATAACAATAGATATTATTAATAATAACTATGCCAATTATCGGCAAGACTAATATTTCTAACAACAAAACCAGAAAATAGAAGAATGAAAATGAAAAAATGAAAGCCAAATAATAACAGATGTGTGTGTTTTTTTTAAAGTTATCGATTGCATTGTGCTGCTAGTTTCAGAAAGGCATTTGTGAAGTGCTCTTCTCTCTCCTGAGTGAGTGTGTTTGGTCAGCTCGTACTTTCCCCCTGAGTTTGAGTCGTCGTCTCTCCTTGCGGTTGATGTGTCTCTCCACGCTGGTTTCTCCTCTGGTGATCAGAATCGCGTGCCACAACGTCAGAGCACCCAAAGCCACTGCCACTGAGCTGAACACACACACACACACTCATCATACTGAGGACATTACATAGACTTCCACTATTATATATCAGGTTACAGATTAAGGCAGCACAATATATGGTTTCAGCATCGATACCACAACGTGCACATCTGCAATAGTCACATCGCAGGGTCGGCAATGTTGAGTCTGGATTATAGTTGACAACAGAATTGTATTTATAAGGATTTTAAATGAAAATCTTTACATTTACTTGTCCTGTTTCTAGTTCTAATATCTACATTTCAAAGCGAAAACATAATTATAAACACACACACGCATGCACACAATGTTATACAGCTATCTTTATGGGGACTTCTCATTGCTGTAATGATGTTTTTACTGTACCGGCTGTAAATTCTGTCCTCTACCCTCACATTTACCCTTAAACTCAACCCTCACAGGAAACAATCTGCACATTACATTCTCAAAATATGTAATTCGGTGTGATTTATGAGCCGTTTTCTTTATGGAGACCAAAAAATGTCCTCTTAAGGTCAAAAATGACTGGTTTTGCTATATTTGTGGGAACATTTGGTCCCCACAACACACAAAATAAAAGCACAAACACACACACACACACACACACACACACAGATCTCACCTGGTCAGCACCCACAGGTAAACCAGACTCTTGTGAACCATTCGTTCCTGATGAGTGAAGGCAGGTGGAGGAGTTTGATACGAACTCTACAACAATAATATTAATAATTAATAATAAGACACATGCTCAAATCACTGTTTTAGAACATAATCATACTGTTATATAATCAACTATATATTCCTAATAATAATAATAAAGTACCACTACAAATCTGGGGTTGGTAAGAATTTATAAAAGTCAATTTATTTGATTTTAAAATACAGTAAAATATTATCACACATTTAAATAACTGATTTCAATCTTAATATAATTTAAAATTGTAATTTATTCCTGTATTTCAATGCTGAATTTCCTGCATCCTACTTCAGAAATCACTCTAATACGCCGATTTGATTATCAAGAACAATGCATTATTATAATCATCAATGGAGTTTTTAAACGTCTATTTATTTATTCAAATACAGTAAAAATATTAATATTGTGAAATATTATTACACATTTAAATAACTTGATTTCGATCTTGATAGATTTTAAAATGTAATCAAAATAATAGCATTTACTTGAAATGATAAATGTCAAATGAATACCTCTATTTCTTGTGTTTAAATCAAATCTCACTGACCCACAGGCATCTGAACATTAACAACATCTCTGAAGACTAAAACCATCAGATCTACTGTAACAATCCTACAAATGTACTACATGGCTACAAACATTAAAGGAACAGTTCACCCAAAATTGAACATTTCCTCACACTCATGAATTTCTTTCTGCCGTTAACCACAAAAGAAGATACTCTGAAGAATGTTGGGGAGAAAAAAAAATCCATTAGCTTCAAGAGTAACTCAAAGGCTGCTTTTTTCCAGAATATCCTCCCTTTTTGTTCAACAGTAGAACGAAACTCAAACAAGCTTGAAACAAGCGGAGAATGAGGAAATTAAAGAATTGAGATTTTTGGGTGAACTGGCCCTTTAAGAAGAACTAGTGACTCTTCCTCTACTGTCTGTGGCTGCAGGGTCACTGGGCAGAGGCGAACACTAGCTACAGTTTGAAGTGGTTCATCACCTTTCATCAAAGTTGTTCTGAAACTATTAAACAAAACCCAGAATGAAGCCACAGCTGCTGTCTGGGCTTTCCATGTCTTTCTAGACCTCCCTTTCTTCATGTGTTCAATACTTTTCCCCCTCATCTTATTACACAGAACTTCATTTGTAAACTAAATAGTTTTGTTTTCTTTGCCTATATGGATTTCCAACATCTGGGGAAAATTTCAAGTCAACAGCACCTTTAGAAATACGTTTCATTGCTTATTTCTCCCACAGTGCAAATAGTCAACACCATTTCGCACTACAGACCTCCATTTAACACAAAAATGAAAAATGCTTTGCGGAAATCAACGTGTTTTAACCACAGAACATTCTTTACAGTAAAAACATGTGAGAAATGTCAGCTTTTGCCCTCAAGGAGTTTTGCCCAGTGAACCTGCAGCCTCTGTGAAGCTTCTACCTGATGCTGGAATGAGATGTAAATAAGCCCCGCCCCTGGCACCGCCTCCCCCTGAGAGGCTCCGCCCTTATACCTGCCTGACTACACAAATACACACACACACATGCATATAAGCCCACTGTAATGAACACATAAAGGCTTTCTGAAGGAAACATTCTTATACTCAGCATTAAGATGATCAAACATGACAGTCTTGTTACAAATTCAACAGGAGTTGCCACAACGGATTGAACCTCCAACTATTCCAGCATACTTTGTTAGAATATTCTGCTCTAGAAGAACTGACTGACCTCAATGGCATTGTAAGCGTCCAGGAACATGTCTTTGGCACTGATGCTGCAGTAGACGCAGCCCATGGTCATGAAGAGACAGAAACTGAAGAAGTAGCGGTGGTTGAAGTGACCCACGCAGTTATTCAACCAGGCTGAGCGGAGGATGTTAAGACGGAAACACGCGTGCAAAAACACTACATTTCATCTACACATCGCAAGGTCAGTTTTATTTAATGGTGGATTCGGAAGGATACGACAGTGGTGGTCCATTTTCAAAATACATCTGTAATGGGAAACAAAACAACAGCACAATATTAAAAGTTTTTATTAATATATATATATATATATATATATATATATATATATATATATATATATATATATATATATATATATATATATATATATATATACAGTATATACAGATGAAGTCAGAATTATTCGCCCCCTTCGAATTATTATTTTTTTTATATTTCCCAAATGATGTTTAACAGAGCAGGGAAATTTTCACAGTATGTCTGATAATATTTTTTCTTCTGGAGAAAGTCTTATTTGTTTAATTTTGACTAGAATAAAAGCAGTTTTTAATTTTTTATGAACCATTTTACAGTCAAAATTATGAGCCCCTTAAAGATACAACATAGATTTAATAAACAGCAACATTACATAAACAATAAGTATATGAGACATCTCTCAATCGCCCCCCTCCCCCCTTTAAATGTATTTATTTACTTATTTATTTTTATCTTTTGTAGTAATTTATTTTATATATTTTTATATTTAACTTTAACACAATATATATTGTTTTAAAATAAAACTGCAATTTTTTGTCCTTCTTTTAAGTATCCATCTGTTATGGATAGTAACATATAGATGTTGTTTCCTTACTGACTATTTCTGAGGCATCTCTGATTTTGTGTTGTGTTCTAATTAGTTAAAAAAGTTTAAAAATGAATGAATTAAAAACTATTATGTTTAGAAATGTGTTGAAAAAAATCTCTCCGTTAAACAGAAATTGGGGGAAAAAATAAACAGGTGGGCTAATAATTCAGGAGGGCTAATAATTCAACTGTATATATATATATATATATATATATATATATATATATATAAATTAAAACCAGACATGAAAATAATGAACTTTCAAAACTGGTGATTATTTATTACATTACCTCTTATTCATTAATTACAAAATCCAAAAATATCACAATAGTTAAATTAAATTGAATCTAATTTGACAGTTATGATGATTTTTTTTATCAATTACACATTTCATTTAAAAAAATTACATTTTATTTTATGTGATATATATTTTTAAATGTTACTTAGAAAAAGGAATTATTTCTTTTTATATTAAAATTATTGATGTAAAAAATGTCATTAATTTTTATCCAGTATTTACTAAATTGTTATTCCACATGCTGCCACCAATGTTCGTCCATCATTGTTTTTTTTTCTTATAAAAAATGTTTATTTATTTATATTAATTCATTAATGAGTCTGACACACTGCACATGAGAAGAGTTCAGTCCTGGTGTGTGTGTGTGTGTGTGTGTGTGTGTTGTGTACCTGTTGCAGATGCTGCAGTGATGAGTTCGGGCTGGTTTGGGAACTATACATTTTTTACAGATGGTAACAGTCGGAATATCAGTCTTTTCCTAAAAGAGAAAACAGAAGCACAAAACAAACACTAATGAAAGATTCACTCCTAAACACACACGCGCAAAGTAAATCAACCAACCCATCTGTACATCCATCTCTCCATTCATCTATCCAACCATTAATTTATCCATCCATCCATTCATGTTTACTTATCTATTCATTCATCTACCCATCCAATCATCTATCCGTCCATCTATTCAACCAACCACCCATCTATTCATCTCTATCCATCCATTCGTCTGTTCTATCTATCCATCCATCTATCTATCCATGTATCTGTCTGTCCAGCTATCTATCATTCCATTCATCTGTCCCAATATTTAACCATCTATCCTTACGCCCAGCTTTCTATCCATCTCTCCATCCATCCATTTATCAATCCAGCTATTTATCCATCCATCCATCCATCCATCCATCCATCCATCTATCTCTCTCTCTCTCTGTCTGTCTGTCTGTCTATCTATCTATCTATCCATCCTTCCATCGGTCTGTCCATCGGTCCATCCATCCGTCTGTCTGTCTGTTCGTCCATCATCCATCCATCCATCCATCCATCCATCCATCCATCTATCTATCTATCTATCTATCTATCTATCTATCTATCTATCTATCTATCTATCTATCTATCTATCTATCTATCTATCTATCTATCTATCTATCTATCTATCTCTCTGTCTCTCTGTCTGTCTGTCTATCTATCTATCTATCTATCTATCTATCTATCTATCTCTCTGTCTGTCTGTCTGTCTGTCTGTCTGTCTGTCTGTCTGTCTATCTGTCTGTCTATCTATCTATCTATCTATCTATCTATCTATCTATCTATCTATCCTTCCATCGGTTTGTCCATCGGTCCATCCATCCGTCTATATGTCTGTCTGTTCGTCCATCATCCATCCATCCATCCATCCATCCATCCATCCATCCATCCATCTATCTATCTATCTATCTATCTATCTATCTATCTTTTTATCTATTTATCTATCCATCCATCGATCCATCCTTCCATCGGGTTTGTCCATCGGTCCATCCATTGGTCCATCCATCAATCCATCCATCCATCCATCCAGCTATTTATCCATCTATCCACTCGTCCAGCTATCTATATATCTGTCCATCCATCCATCCATCCATCCATTCAGCTGTCCATCTATTTGTCTATCCATCAATCCAGCCGTCCAGCTATTTAACCCGCCACACATCAGTCTGTCTGTCTGTCTGTCCAGCTATCTAGCCATCCATCCCTCCATGCATGCACCCCGTCTATCCAACCTTTTCATTGCAATTTTCCCCTTCACTTTCTAAAGATTTGTTGTTTTATTATTTTTATACCTATATCAACCGTATTAACTGTGTACAATTTTATTGAAGGCATTTATGTTCCTTTATTAAACCAAACGAGAATACTAATTTTAGCTTAAAAATAACATTAGCTTTTCCCAGAGATGGGTTGCGGCTGGAAGGGCATCCGCTGCGTAAAAACTTGCTGGAGAAGTTGGCGGTTCATTCCGCTGTGGCGACCCCAGATTAATAAAGAGACTAAGCCGACAAGAAAAGGATTGAATGAATGAATGAATGAATACCATTAGCCCATAAACACATAAGCCATCTCTTCTGCAATTTATTTTTGACAACAGGAGTTTATTATTGTTTGTGCATTGTGTTTTTCTCAACTGCATAAATGTAAACTAAACACATATGGCTTCCTTAACATGCAAATCACAGCTCACTTCAAATGTGAACTAGACTGTGCAAAAACAAGTGTAACGTAGTGCAGCACCTGCGGAGGGAATCCAGGCTGTGTGGTCGTGGCTTTATAGTAATGAAAGACGACCATGAGCAGATTCCAGTGGCCGTAACACAGATGCCAGAGGATCCAGTAAACGGGATATGAGCTGAAGATGATGGGCAGAACACACAGATACACGATAACCACCACTGAGCTGGTCAAGGCCATCACCAGACACACAAACACCTGGATGGAGGAAACACACACCAGACATCATAACAACTTCCACGTTTCTTTCTAGTGGCGATTTCTCAGTTAAATTTCATTACTTTGCAATTGATTTGAATAATTAATAACAACAACATGTTTTAATTCGAATAAAATGCTGTATTAAAAAGATGAATGTTATGTACCACTCCGAACCAGCGGGTCATGTTGTCCACTAGCCAGTAGATGGGCTCAAACATACAGTCCAGCACCGTGTCTGAATTGGTCTGGACGTTGTAGTAGAGGGACTTCAGCACCACCATCCCATAATTCCACAGGTCTCGGACTCTGCTGCGCTTTCTGTGTCCCCGACGAGGACAGAGTCTGAACCAGCGCAGGAAGAGACGCATGATCCTGGAGACGGACCACCTCCAGCTGCGCATCCCCCTAAAACCCATGCACGCACACACAGACACACACAGTAAATAAGTAGTGATTAAGAATTGACAACAACCACATATTACCTAATTAGTTGTTTATAATAGTCAAATAATGCATTTTTTTCTTATTAGTTTTCTTATTATTTTCTTATTCTTATTATTATTATTATTATAAAATATAAGAATGAATTTCATTCCCAATAAAAGGCAAAAAAATGACAATATAAAACACACAGACATTATAAAAGGACATTTTTGATATATATATATATACACACATTCTTTTGCTTAATTGACTTCTTCATATATATATATATATATATATATATATATATATATATATATATATATATATATATATATATATATATATATATATTTTTTTTTTTTTTATTAGTACAAATTAATTATAAATTTATCAAAATAATTGTTGTTTATTTTTAAGGCAATATTAATTATAACAATAATAATACAAATTTTAATAATACAGTATATATATTTATAAAAATAAACAACAATATTCTGATAAATTTATAATTAATTTATAATAATAATATTAAAAAAAAAATATATATATATATATATATATATATATATATATATATATATATATATATATATATATTCAGAATATTACCTAAATTTTAATTAATTATCAGCGTTATTGAATTTAATGTATCAGCTGAATTTAGTGTATCAGTTGTATGTGCATTCACACAGACGATAAGTGCAGAAAAATAAACAAGTAATATATATATATATATATATATATATATACATATATATTTAATATTTTAAAATATCTATTAAAAACAGAATGATTTACATACACTTAAACACAGAACATATTCCAATAAATAAACTAAAACGTTAATCTTAAAATAAATCATTTAAATAAAAACAAAAAATAAATACTTTTGATCGATACCCATCTCTAGTTAACATGCTGCGCACATATATTGAAGATATCCCATGATATTCCATATAAACAAGTGAATAAATAAAAAAATAATAATAATTACATTATAGAAACAAACTAAAAAAGTAAATGAGTAAACAATTAATATTTTATTTAAAAAATTTAAACTTTTATAAAAATAATGATGTATATACACTGACTTAAATACAGAACCAATTCCAATAACTAAACAACAAATAAAATAATGGAATAAATCAATAAACCAAAACGCACATACAAATAATTTAACATAAAATGGACAAACAGGGAAGTTTAAATGTGAGGGATTCCAAAATATTGCCTAAATATGTTGATTAATTATAATCAATATATCGAATTTATCAGTATTGAATATTTTTTACCAAAATCCCTACACTGAAAAAAATTAATTCAGCAAAACTGTTGCAAACTATTTATATGGGCTGAATTTAAACAAACAAATTAAATTAAGTAAAGTTCAACTTGTTTAAATCAAGCCCAAATAAATTGTTTAACACCACTTAACTTTAAAAAGAAAAATGTAGTTAATCCAAGGAATCATCTTTGAATAATTTTTATTCAGTGTAGTTAACATGCTGTGCAGTGTGCACATATAATGAAGATATCCCATCATATTCCATATAAACAGGTGATTAAATAAAAAAATATGAATTATTATCTAAATTATTAATTTATTTTCACACAGACGTTAAAAATCCAGAAAAGTAAATGAGTAAATAAATTATTTTTTCTTAAATATTTTTAAAAGTCTAATAAAAAGAGAACGATTTACACACACACTTTAACTTAAATAAAGAACATATTCCAATAAATCAACTAGAATATTAATAATTAAATAAATCAATTAACCTAATGTTTAAAATAAACCAAATTGCACATGCAAAAAATAAATAAATAAATGAACAAATAAATGTTCATGAATAAATAAATGTACAAATAAATAAATGTACAAATAGGAAGACATTTCAAATACAAATACAAAACTGCAATTAATCATAAGTAAATCACATAAAAACCCCACACACTTATCATATTACAGTAAAAAAGCTAAATAAATGTGTGAGTATATCAATCAATTTTAAGAAAGCAGATAAATAATGAAATAAATAATGTAAAAAAGCTAAATAAATGTGTGAGTATATCAATCAATTTTAAGAAAGCAGATAAATAATGAAATAAATAATGTAAAAAAGCTAAATAAATGAGTGAGTATATCAATCAATTTTAAGAAAGCAGATAAATAATGAAATAAATAATGTAAAAAAGCTAAATAAATGAGTGAGTATATCAATCAATTTTAAGAAAGCAGATAAATAATGAAATAAATAATGTAAAAAAGCTAAATAAATGAGTGAGTATATCAATCAATTTTAAGAAAGCAGATAAATAACGAAATAAATAATGTGAGAAATATCTTTCAAGCTCACACGGTGTGCAGCAATCCTTACCCAATTCTTATTTTACGAACTCTCAAGCGAAAAAAAAAGGAGCCAACAAAAACTGCTCCTATCTTTGCACACCAAGACAAAACCCGTCCTTCAGCCCGATCTACTCCAGCACTGAGACCCTACACACACTCACTCTCACACACACGACGGCATTAGTTTGATTAAATAAAGCATGTCCAGATCAAACTACCAGCTCAGCATTATCAACGAATGTCCAATGCAGGACAGAAAAAAACACACGCTAAATATTTGATCACGTCCTTGGCAGTTCACCTTATGTAACAAACAACAACCAACTTAAGAAAAGTTTCAGGTCTCCAGAGCAATGTAACCCAGCACTGGATGCACTTCCTCAGAGGATAATAAGAGTCCATCTGATACGGCCAGAGACTGATGAAAGTGAGGATTAGTTACAAGACTGCAGGCGCGTGTTTTTTTTATTTGCATCCCATATACGAGCACAAGCAGCATCTTTTTTTTTTTTCCAAAGGTCACAGGTGGAAGATGAGCTCGTGGTGAAGAAAACAGCATGACATGAGAAGATGAGCTCAGTATATACGTTTGAATATAACGTAGAATAGGGCTGGGCCGATCAATCGTATTAAAATTGAAGCTCTGGACATTTTTACTCGATACTGATCCAATGAGACAATCATACAGGAGAAATATGGGTCACACTTTACAATAAGGTTCATTAGTTAATGTTAATTAATGCATTGACTAACATGAACAAACAATGAACAATACATCTACTACTGTATTTGTTCATGCTAGTTAACGTTAGTTAATGAAAATACAGTAGTTCATTGTTAGTTCATGTTAACTCATGGTGCATTAACTAACGTTAACTAGCATGGTCTTGGATGTTAATAATGCATTAGTAAATGTTCAATTATGATTAATAAATGCTGTACATGCGTTGTTCATGATTAGTTCATGTTAGTAAATGCATTAACTAATGAACCTTTTTGTAAAGTGTTACCGAAATATGCAACAAAAGGAATCTATTATTGTGCTGATATTAGAGATTCACTGATTTTTTGAGCGCTGAAAATTATTGGTGGAAAAAATAGGTCATGCTGTGTCACCCGGTATTGCTTAGTACACTCGTTTCACTTTCCCGCCATGCAGCAGTTCTCTTTCCTGCCAGCAGTATCCGCCTTCAGTCATGATTGGGATACTCTTTTAAAAGTGGAAGCATTAACAACTAATATAATATACAGCTGAAGTCAGAAATATTAGCCCCCCTGAATTATTGGGCCACTTGTTTATTTTTTCCCAAGTTCTGCTTGTCGGAGAGAAGTTTTTTCTTGACACATTTCTAATCATAATAGTTTTAATAACTCATTTTTAATAACTGATTTATTTTCTCTTTGCCATGATGACAGTAAATAATATTTGACTAGACATTGTTCCAGGCACTTCTATACTGCTTAAAGTGACATTAAAAGGCTAGGTTAATTAGGTTAAATAGGCAGGTTAGGGTAATTGTTTTTGTATGATGATGGTTTGTTCTGTAAACAGTCGGAAAAAAATATATAGTTTAAAGGGGCTAATAATTTTGTCCTTAAAATGTTGTTGAAAATATTAAAAACTGCTTTTATAATATCCGAAACAAAACAAATAAGACTTTTTTTCAGAAGAAAAAATATTATCAGAAATGCTGTGAAAATTTCCTTGCTCTGTTAAAAATCATTTGGAAGATATCTTCAAAATGAAGAAAAAAAAAATCGAATAATTCTGACTTCAACTGTATATAACATTATCGTTCAATATAGAAATAACTATCGACATTGTATTTTTGCCATTTTGCCCAGCCCTAACTTAGAACATGTTGATCAAAATTCCTATACATTTTTAATAATAAAAAAACATTATTCTTACTTAAAAATAAGGATTGATTGAAAATATAAATCTAAATGTGTGAGTGTGTGTGTCAAACCGGACCATTTTTATATTCTCTAGAACAATTGAAAGGGACCAGAAAAATATTAATTTGTCAACATGTTTTGTACTTAAAATGTGGAAAATAAACACAAAACTTAAAAAAGTAAAACAGTATCGACAGTATACAACATACTTTGTGGAAATTCTGGGAATTAAACTGCACAATCCAAAAGAAATATTGCTAATCAAAAGGATAAGATATGTCTCTCTATAGAACAAAAACGATTGGCTATTTTATTTGACATTTTTGCATTTATGAGGAAAAAGTGTCGTCATGGATGTGACAGATGTGAAATTGCCACTTGTGTGACTTTGGTAAATCAAATATAATTGTTTGAAAACAATGACAGAATTTTTTTGAGCATTTCTAAAAGTACTGTAAAGTACAAGAAAACACAAAAAAAACATAAAAACGGTTTGCATATGTTGGTGAAATCTTAAATTTTTTTTTTCATGGTAAGGTTGACATTTGCATGGAATTGCTCATATATATATGTATATATGTACTACATGTATGTATAGTATATATTGTAAAAAAAATATGCAATATATATTCATATAGAATTTGTAAATTAATTTTTTAATAGATTAAAATTGAATTTATACAGAAAACTTTTTATTTATGTTTACATATATATTTATATATAATTTTTATTAGACATAAATATTTTATTGATAATTATTTATTGTTTTATTGATTGATTTAATTTATATAGGAAACTTTATTTATTTTTTAATTTATAGACTAAAATAACTCAAACAAAAATAATAACTATCTAGACTTAAATAATAACCATATAATAACAATTATATATATATATATATATATATATATAAAAAGATGGAAAGTCACTAAAAACTATTGTTTAAATAAAATATAAATATGTGTTTGTGTTATATTAGCTTTTTTATTCAGATTAAAGAACTCTGAAATGTACAATATCCAATCAAATGCAACCATTAAAAACTGGTCCATCCATATAAATGATCAAAAATATACAAATATAATAATTATTCATAAAAAGAGGCATTATACATACACACACACAAACACACACATACATGCATATATAATACTAATATTTGATCATTAAGTATTTATTAGTAAACAGTATTTACTTTATTAAACTGCATATAATGCATATATCAACATAATTAATAGTGTATTATCACTAAAATCACAACTAAAATGATTAATAAATAAAATGAAAACAAATACACTTGTACTGTAAATATTATATTTTGTTCAAATAAATAATCATGTTTTGCCCTTAAAAACTAGCAATTAATTAAGTGATTAGGTGTTAATAATATTCATTATTAGGTAAATACTTCAAAAGCACCCATCAAAATAAGAACACAAAACAATAAACTAATTTTTAAAACGTAACAATAAAAGCAAATTATGAAAAAAAAAACACAAACATTTATCTAAATAAATGACAAATTGTTCTATGGAGTAACATGATTGATTTATGTGTGCCTACAAGCACTTAAATATTAAATATTCATGATCCTCTCAATGGTATGCTGGCAGACTTAATTAATTGAATATATTCTGAGGAACGCAGATGTCAGTATAACAGCTGGTCTTAAAATCGATGATGAATAATGAGGCTTCAAGTGCCTAAAATCTGCAGAAGATCTCTTTTTTATGGACTTACAACATAAAAGCGTGCTCGCAAGTGAATTTCCTTCTCCCACAAAAGTAAGGAGCTTTGTACTGTAATTGGAAAGGATTAACCTGTGTCACGTATTACAGCAGAAACTCTCACATATCCTGTTAGTACATTTACTTAACGTTACTCATGCACTCTGAGGAGCATTTCAGGACATATACAATGAATATATATATATATATATATATATATATATATATATATATATATATATATATATATATATATATATATATATATATATATATATATTATACTTATTACAATAGAGCCTTAAACACTATTGTTTCCTCGTTCTCCTGTAAATCCCATACGTGTAAAATCCAGGTAAAAAATCTGAACAAACACATACTGTTACATTGCACATGGGATTATTAATGCTGTGTGTACGCCCAATGTAGCGTTTGATTGGTCACAACTTTTCCTAGTGACATTACAATAATAATCTTCCCCATTATTTTTAGGTTTATGGGCGGCACGGTGGCTCAGTGGTTAGCATTGTCGCCTCACAGCAAGAAGGTCGCTGATTCAAGTCCCGGCTGGGCCAGTTGGCATTTGTGTGTGGAGTTTGCATGTTCTCCCCGTGTCCATGTGGGTTTCCTCCTGGTGCTCTGGTTTCCCCCACAGTTTAAACACATGCACTATAGGCGAATTGAGTAAACTAAATTGGCCGTAGTGTATGAATGTGAATGAGTGTGTATGGGTGTTTCCCAGTACTGGGTTGCAGCTGGAAGGGCATCCGCTGTGTAAAACATATGCTGGATAAGTTGGCAGTACATTTCACTGTGGGTACCCCTGATGAATAAAGGGACCACGCCAGGTAAATGAGTGAATGAAGTTTAAGACTATATTAATTAAGTCTATATTAAACTAACTGTATATACATATATGTGGGACTCTTATTTTGAAAAACGGAGAAGCATGGAGACTAAAATCTGAACGTAAAATGTAGGATATATGGTTTATAAATTTATTCAACGGCACTCTGACATCGAATAAGGTCTTTTTAATTGATTTTTTTTTTATATTGTGAAATTTGCAGAGTAAGTTTGTAATGAGGCAACAAACACATGTATAACTAAAACAACTTGAATGTTTAAGGTGAGATACTGCAGGCAAACAGTGTTTTAACGCAGCCGTCAATTTAGAGATTTTTGGCTTTTTCAGTCTAACGTAAAGAAAACATCCAAAATATACTCTTTAGTGTTTCTTTTGTCCTGCTTTATTGATTTTTGCCGGTAGATAACAATAAAATTTTTATGCATTTTTTTTAACAGTGAGCAATAAATGTCCATTGCAGCAACTCAGATACAACAAACTATACATTTTTATACATGTTTTCTTAAAGTTTTTACAGTTGCATATGTCCATACATAATATGTCTAAATATTTATTTACAACAGCTTACTCTACAAAAAAAATAAATAATAATTATTATATATATATATATATATATATATATATATATATATATATATATATATATATATATATATATAATAGCTGGCTGTATGCTGCATTCTCTGAATTATATATTCATCACAGGCGGCAACACCAAAGCTCCAAAAATACAAATGTATTATATTAAAAAAGCTGAATTATGGAATGATAAACAAAAACAACAACAACAAAAAACACTTGACTGTAATAATGAGTACAAAAATTAAACAAAACTTTGAAATCTGACCTCATAAACGTTTACATGTTTGTGCCAGAACCTAATTCTTAACTATTTCATTAAAGACTGCTATTTGATTATTTTTAACAAGCTATTCTTAATGTAATCAATCAAATGTGTAAGTACGATACACACACACACATATACATATATATATATAGACATAGACACACGCACACACAAAGATAGATAGATAGATAGATTTTATACCTATTAATATATATATATATATGTATATATGTATATATATATGTATATATATATATATATATATAGAGAGAGAGAGAGAGAGAGAGATAGATAGATAGATAGATAGATAGATAGATAGATAGATAGATAGATAGATAGATAGATAGATAGATAGATAGATAATACTTACTAACCTGCAGTGTTCTGTCTTAAAAAAAGAACCACTTGAGTGTGGGTAAATGTTATTTTTTGGAAAAACTAACCTTTTAAGTGGGACAAAAAGCAAACATGCTCAAGCAGTCATAATAGTTGAGACCAGCTGTAAGTCTATTGAACGTCTATGGTCAGGTTTGCCATCTGTCTGCAGTGGAGCAGCACGGAAACCCACACTTGACCTGGTTCTGCAGTCATGGTTATGATTGACACCTTGTAACACTGAGACACTGTAGTATGAGCTCAGGTGTCCAATACACTTTCACTTCAGACCACAAGGTAAACTTTCCACTGCAACTGGAACAAATACAACCCGGGGAACAAACTAACAGCGTAATAACAGTAAAATGAACTTTAAAAATCATATGACAGTACAGAGAGTGACGTGTTTGTAAGTGGATGAGCAAGAAGATGCACACTCAGGTGAAACAATTGTCCAAATTCAGCATTAATACACTTTCAAATGATACGTACCGAATCTGGTCCCGTTCAGTTAGTCTCCCGAAGAGTTTTTTAACATGATTTAGGTCATGTTCGTAGGAAAATTAAGCATATTGAGAATTATCACATACGCTGAATATATCGTGCACCTCTAACCGCTCTGTTGGTTCAGCGGCACTTGGATGAACTGAATAACCAATGACACTTCCGGTGTTTACCGCAGATTTTAAAATAAAAGTCGCGACTTTAGGTCAGTGTTGACAGGTTTTCGGATGGAGAAATATTATTTTTAATTTTAGCGAAATAAATTTTTACCGACATCAATGAAATTTTTTAATTGTATCTTTTTGTATCTGTTAACTTCATTTACGATGCATATTTAATTGTTGTTTTGTTAACTGATTTTGCACTGAGAGATACATTTTGCACATCTCCATTTCATCAGCTCTTAACGTTAATAATGTTTTCAATTTGGGGTTTTATTTAAGCAGTGTGTTCCGTGTGCTTGTGGTCTTTAAGGTTGCCTTTTTTAACATTTTATTTAAGCTTTTTTGTGTGTGTTTTAATATAAAAAACGAATTATATAAACATGGTTACCCTGAACAGTAGAGCAAAATGAATAATAATAAAAAAAATAATAATAAATAAATAAATAAATAGAATATATTCAGTTGCTGAATGTGTTGACAAGGGTTGCCTTTGTTAAATTGATTGCTTTTAATTGGACATCCAGTAATTTAGCCAAAAATAAGAGTCCTTCATCAAAGTCATTATTGCTTTTAAGTTAGTTAATTCCTCACACTATCTTTTAATTTTATTTTAATTTTAAATCTTGATTTTGTTTTACATTTAAAAAAAATGACGTTTGTGAATATAAAAATAGCCAATTAATTGTCCAGGGTTTTTAAGTAACATTAATTTAGCCAATAAAAAGTCCTCATTGTTTTTAAGTTAGTTAATTCCTCATATAGACTCACAATATCTTTTTATTTTAATTATACATCCTGAAAAAGGCTTATATTTACACAATGTACGTTTGTGAATGAAAATTAGCAAACAAAAAGAGTTATGAAATACGCTACTTTCATTTTAAAATTAATATTAATCAAAGATAACACTCTATATGTAAATTCACAATCGGGATTTGCATAATATTTGATAAAATCAAGCATGTTACGGTGAAATGTCAATGTGTGAGGGCGTCTTTAAGGTTGCCCAGGGTTACAGCTTCCATGTATTGACGTCAATGGCAGGCTTTGATTGGTGTTTTACCGTTTCCGGTAGGCAGAAGACAGTGCGCCTGTGAAGAAGAGAGTCGTTGTGCGTCTGTGAATAACGGAATAACACAGAACCCGAGTCGCGTTATAAAGGCTCGGTAAGTAGTAATAATACTTTACATGTCATGTTTTGTCGAGTACACGTCGCTTTAGACATCTGTAGCGATCGCTAAACGCCACAAATGACGTTTGTTTATGCTACAGATAAAGATGGCGACCACTTAACGGCCTTCAGTTCGATATTTAAATGTCATCTCATTTTCAAATATGATTTATTTCACGTTTTATATTAGATGTTCTTGTATATTTTATATTAGATATTCTATATTAGAACATCTTTAACGTTCTCGTTGTCTTTAGACTACGTTTTTAGATAAAAACGAATTATACTGTAACTCAAAGGGGTAGTTCACCCCAAAATTGAAAATTTACTCATTATTTACCTACCCTCAAGGTGGTTTCAAACCTTATTAAGTTTCTTTTTTCATAAACACAAATGAAGATATTTTGAAAAAGCTGAAAACCTGTAACCATTGACTTCCATAGTAGGAAAAACAAACACTTATGGACGTAAATGGTTACAGGATTTCAACATTCTTCAAAATATCTTCTTTTTATTTCAACGGAAAGAAAGTCATAAAGGTGTGAATAGGGCTGCACAATGTAGCATCAATATCACAATGTGCGAATCCGCAATAGATGCATTACAGGATCTGCAATGTCAAGTTAGTTCAGAGCACATGAAGTGATTGCAAAGTTTCACCGTAATATAATGGTGTGAAAGAATGTATTTTCAAGACCTGTGATTAAGATTTCAAGTGAACTTAAACTATTTGGGCACAAGAAATGATAAAGTCTGCCCCTTTAACAAAGAATGAATGTGTTTATTTATACAATGAAGACTCCATGCAGAGTTATTTTACATTTGATTATTGAATTTCTGTACCTCAATACACCATCAAAAACCATAAAGTGCTGTTTATTTAATTTTCTTTCACTGTGCTATTGCACTAATTATTTTTTTTGGGGAAATTTTGTAAGTTTTATGCAGATGAGCTTACCTACAAAATCCAAATCAAAGGAGAATGATGAGTTATCTTGTGAAATTATGTCCATAATGCAATATAAATTGCAGAAAAAGGAAATTTTGCATAGTCCGTTTTCCTAATATCTTGCAGCCCCACTGAAAAACATTATTCAAAGATGATTCCTTGGATTTACTCAATTTTTATACGTTAAGTGGTTGTAAACAATCTAACTGTGTTGAATTTAAACAAACAAATTAAGTTGAACAATATTTAATTAAATTTGTTTGTTTAAATTCGACACAAATAAATTGTTTGCAACAGTTCTGCATGCAACACTTTTTTTCAGTGATGGTTGACGTAAAATGATGACAGAATATTGTTTTTTAGGTGAACTTTACCTTTAAGGCAGGGGTGTCAAACTCAATTCCTGGAGGGCCGAAGCCCTGTACAGTTTAGATCCAACCCTGCTCCAACACACTTACCTGTAGGTTTCAAACAAGCCTGAAGGACTCAATTAGTTTGATCAGGTGTGTTTAATTAGGGTTGGAACTAAACTGTGCAGAGCTGCGGCCCTTTTGGAACTGAGTTTGACACCTGTGCTTTAAGGTGTTTCAGTATTCTGAGTTGTTTTTTGCTAAATGTGTCAAACGTAACATTAAAGCGAACGTGCGCAATATGTCTATTCGCAATAGTAAACAGAAAACAGAAATGTGCGCACATCTAAAAAATCTCGAAGGCAGGTGCTCGATCAAAAATAAACATTGTAGCTAAAGATCAAAAGAAAATCAATCGGTCGAAACGTTGAGTGATATTATAAGAGCTAACGTGGCACTGTGTCTATCCGCAATAGTCACATGGCAAGATATGCAATGCTGAGTTAGCATTATAGTTTATCATACCAGCAAGCACAGGTCAAAACACATGACATTTCTGGAGTCGCTGCAGAATTGAGCCACAATAAAGTAAAAGTTTGTCATTTGTATGTGTTTTTAAGGCTCGTGACTGTGTCTTTAATAAAGTTTAAGAGCACAAGAAATTATCATTTTAATACAGATTAATTTTATTGGATTAATTATGAAAACTATGCAGTGTTTTGCATTTAATTGATCTACCTGAAAGCCATTAGTTATCCCAAAGATAATAAATTGCTGTTTATTTCACTTTAATCTTCACTCCATTGTGTTTTTATCAGTAATCTACAATCATAAATAAATACAATGGAGCAAAGATTAAAGATTAAATTATATGTGTATAATTAATTGTGTAAAAATATATTTATACAACATAATATATAAGCTTATAGGTGATTCACTCCCTTACAGAATCATCACAATCTATCTAAATTAATGAGTAGAGCTATTCAATAGAGCTGGTGAAATTGAATTCATATCGCAATATATATTGCATAGAAACAAAATATTGCAATGTCAGGTTTGTCCAATATCCTGCAGCCCTAATTACCATCATTTTTAATATTCTGTAACATGAATTTAAATTTGGGATTGTTGTACTTTAGTCTTCATTCTAAGTCTATACATTCTATGTATAGTAGCATTTTCATATATGATGATGATAATACATATACAAGCTGTAGTATAAACTTGTTTTACTGTAAACATTGGGTCATAGTAAACGCATATAGTCTGCGCAGTTCATAAAACTGTCCAGGTGTGTCGAAACAATAATCTCCAGATTATTTCTGGCATCAATCTCATTACTAAAATGATGCTGTAATCCTGTTCCTGTCCTCTCGGGGAATCCAGTATGTTCAGAACATCAGATCTGCTCTGAGTTTTTAAAATATTTATCATTATGTGCGAACGTTTCTATTTTTAAGTTAGTATTAACAAAAATAATTTTTAGACTGAGAGGTTTCATATTAATGTAGGCTCAATATAATAAAAAGTCACTCATATCGCTTTTACATTTACATAATTAAAACAAAAGGAACTTTATTATGGCTTAAGACATGGGTTTGTTTATTGAGATATTTCTTTAATTTGTCATATAAATAAACACACTTAACACTTGTTATATATGCAGTAGTGCCCACAAGTGATGTATGGATGGACCTACAAGTTAATTAAATAATAAAAAATAAATAAAACAATATATTTCATTGAGAAAATCGCTAACGTTTCTTTAAGATTATTTTTTTTCCCTATATATCTTTATATATCTTTTTCTATATCTTTATTTATTTGGCAAAAAAGACAATCTGCATCATTTGGGTCTTATTTTTCTATTTATATAATAATTAATTGATTGTCCATTATATTTTATTCTTTAATAAGCATGTTTTTCTGCATTATTTAAAAAAAAATACTTACAAAATATCTACAAAATCACATATTATTTGAGAAATTTTATTAGTGTATTATTGTTATTATTTATGTATTACTCAATATTTTATTATAGTGGGATTTTTATTATAAATAAATAAATAATTAATAATGAATATTACAATAAATATCATTGATATTTTAAAAAAAATGTTTTATAAGACTTTTGCTAGTTTTATTTGTGGATATTCATTTTCAAATTATTTTAGTGCTTCAGCCTAAACTAATAAAAAAACTAATTATTTTATATATTTATATATATATATAAATAATGACTTTGTCTTTTCCCAACTATATTAATATTTATTATCTAACAATTGCATTTGTAATAAATTTATATAATGATTAATTGATTGTTTATTTTATTTTATTCTTTAATAAGCAGCCATTTTTCCAGCAATATTAAAATGATCACATATTATTTGAGACATTTTATTAGTGTATTATTATTATTATTTAAATATTACTGTATTGTATATTAGTGGCATTTTTAATTTAAATAAAAAAAACAATTAAAAAAATAATGAATATTAAATATCAATACGATTTGTATTTTTTTATGTATTAATTTTCAAATAATTTAAGTGCTTCAGCCTAAACTAATAAAAAAAACATACTAATAGTTTCTTTATTATGTTTTTTCCCCAGCTGTGTTAATATATATGTTATATATAATATATATATATTATTTAATAATTAAATTAAATATAATAGATATAATTATTAATATAATAATTAAATTTATATAAGAATTTAATTTGTAATATATTTATTTAATCATTAATTGATTGTTCATTTTATTTTATTCTTTAATAAGCATGTTTTTCTGGCAATATTACCAAAATAATCTACAATATCAGTAAAGTGTTTCTATAAAGGCAGAAAAAAAGTATTTTTTTCAAGGCTAGACAATGCTTTTGGTTGTTCATGTTTTAAATTAATAATTAAATCTAAAATTATTTCAATATAATTTATATTCTGCAGTTTGTGCTACAGTTTTTAACTTAAGAAATATCGACACTGATTTCTGTCGATCAACATCTGAGTTAAAATGTAAAATGTGTATTCGCCCTGCAGGTCAGAGGTCAGCTCTAGCGGTCATCATGGCATCAGGCAGTGTGAGCAGCGAGGAGGAGAAGAGTCTGAGGGAATGTGAGGTATATGTGCAGAAACACAACGTTCAGCAGCTGCTGAAGGACTGCATCGTGCAGCTGTGCACCTCACGGCCCGACAGACCCATGGCCTTCCTCAGAGAATACTTCGAGAGGCTGGAGAAGGTACACTATCATTATTCTGACTTGCATGCAGTCAGTCTTACATATAGAAGGCAGTCCTGGATGACATTACCTGGTCTAAATAAAACTGAAGACACAACAGCAACGTCACTAAATGAGAAGATATGAGTTCAGTAATTTGCTAAATTTATGAACACTAATGTGAATATACTGGTCAGTAGATTAGGGCTTGATTTATTAAATATGAAAAGTTATATAAATTGTATAAATAAATTATGTAAATTTATTTATTACTCTATATATATATATTTTTTTTTACTCTATATAAATATATTTTTTTTTGATAAATTTGATTAATTATCTATATTATCTGTATATATACATATACATACATATATATATATATATATATATATATATATATATATATATATATATACACACACACACACATACACATATATATGTATATATGTATACATATGTATACATATATATATATATATATATATATATATATATATATATATATATATATATATATGTGTGTGTATATATATATATATGTGTGTGTGTGTGTGTGTGTGTGTGTGTGTGTGTGTGTGTGTGTGTGTATATATATATATATATATATATACAGATAATATAGATAATTAATCAAATTTATCAAAATAATTGGCATGGATTAAGCAATTTTTTAGCACTTATAAAAATGAACAAAAGCAGAATGTTCGGGGGAAAATACATCAAATTAACATTAGCTTTTTTTGTCTGTGTGTGTTTGTTTACATTAAATGGAAAATGAAGCACTCAGTCAAGTATTTTTATCCTTCATACATGTTGAGAGATCGAGTTGATCGACTTGATAAGGGAATATGTCTTGACATAATCCACACAGACGTGACTTAGTAAAGCGCAAAGTCATTTATGACTTTAATTGTTGCATTAGTCTGAATGTAAATGCCTCGTCTGGCAGAGCTGGAGCAGCGCGATAGGATCACAGCGCATCACACGAACAGTATTAACAAAAGAAAAAGACACAACTGAAGACATCTAAATGCTTGTATTTGTTGTATTTGCAGCAGCTCTGTGATGCTCGTCCACAACTTCATGCATTGGGTTAAATTAGGCTGTCCAGTCTCTGAACAGGTCAGATTTAAACGTTAAATTCCACCAAAGCCCTCTAAATGAATCCGCTTTTTCCCCCACACATGCACAGGAGGAATCGAAGCAGCTCCTGAACCAGCAGAAGGCCAGCTCTCGCTCCGACTCTCGTGAAGATGAGGTTTCTCCTCCCATGAACCCTGTGGTGAAGGGCCGTCGGCGGAGAGGCGCCATCAGCGCTGAGGTCTACACCGAAGAGGACGCCGCTTCCTACGTCAGAAAGGTCTGCATCTGTCAGTGTGTGTGGAGTCAGCAGGACTGTAAATGTTGCTGAATCGCTCATGTGTTCTGTCGTCTCTGTGAAGGTCATTCCTAAAGACTACAAAACCATGGCGGCTCTTGCCAAAGCCATCGAAAAGAACGTGCTCTTCTCACATCTGGATGACAATGAAAGAAGGTGACTGAGTTTTAATTTATTTAAATTCATTCTGGGCATTTAATTGCATCCGAAATAAAGGTTTCTGGTGTACTGTGTATATTTAATGTTTATATAAATACATATACATGCATTAATTTTAGAAAATGTTTGTTTATATTTAAAAATAAACTCTATATATATGATAAAAATTATGTTTAATTTAAATATCCCCAGTAAAAAAAAAAAAAAAAAAAAAAAAAAAAAAAATATATATATATATATATATATATATATATATATATATATATATATATGTATGTATTGTATATATGTATATATGTGTATATATATATATATATATATATATATATGTATATATATATATATATGTGTGTGTGTATGTATATATATATATATATATATATATATATATATATATATATATATATATGTTTTTATGCATATGTGTGTGTGCATCACTTATACATAATAAGTATAAATAATATCCACACATTTTTTGATGCAATTAGTCATGATTAACCTTTGCCATCATCACTATTTTTATTTATTTTTAATAACTTTCTTTATTATTTTTTTTAACCTTTAATACAACAACTTACAACTTTGGTCCAACAAACATTCACACCATAATTGACAATAAAGCATGCAATATACAAACAGTCCATATATAAGTATAGTGATAACAGATTAATACAAATAATACAAAGATAATTTATCTAAATAAAATCTAAATAAGTAAATAAAATAAAAAATAATAACTATAATAAAATTAAATAAAAATTACAAAAAGGAAACAAATAATAAAATAAATATAATAATAATGAAAAATAAATAAAATTAAAAAAAAGTTAAAATAAAACAATAATAATCTTCAGTTTTAAACTAAATTGGTCTAATCCTCTTCAATTTAACTATTTCTTGCCGATATTATGTCTTTAAAGTAAGCCATGAAGAGTTGCCAGATTTTATAGAATTTGTCTTCTTTCTTTTTTTTAGGGAGAATCTGATTTTCTCCAGTTCCAAATGTTTCATTACATCGCTCATAAGATGTATATATGTAGGAGCGGCTTTCTGTTTCCAGTTTAATAATGTTAACCTTGGTGCTAGTAGACAGACATATGGAACTATATTTTGTTCAGTACTGTTTTTAGCCATCTCGAAATCAGTAATGCCTAGAACTGCTATACAAGGATCTGGATCTATCAGCTTTTGACCTATTTTTGAAAATGTTAGAAATATATTTTCTCAGTATGATGATAATTTTGGGCAGCTCCAAAACATCTGGTTCTAGCCCACACGGATTACATGCAGGGTCCACTTCTGGAAATATCTTATTTAGTTTTTGTTTGGACCAATGTAACGATGTATTACCCATCATCACTAATTTAAATGCTTTTTTTGAGGTGAAAAGGAAACATACAAAAAATTACTTTTAATAGTTTTATTTTTGCGCTTTTTATTGCATCTATAGATTTTATATAGATTATATATATATATATATATATATTAGGGATGTAACGGTATCAGAATTTCACGGTACGGTAATACCTCGGTATGAATGTCACGGTACGGTATTTATTGAATCATTTACAGGAAAAAACTAAACTTATGAAAATACTCCAAAAAAGTGCCAAAAGTGTCAATAACATACAAATTAGCCATCTATCTGTAAGCTTTGAAACAGGAACTTCAATTTTAATAACAAAAAATTATTAAACCATGTAAAAAATAAAGTTTCAATTTAGTATTGTTGAAAACTCATCACAATCAACATTTAATCACACTCAGCCCATCTACCCAGATCAGAGCTCTGCTTGTCGGACTTCTCATCAAGCATCTCCCGCTGGATCTAATCTCACTATATTTATACGGGATATTTCATTCATCTTGTTGTCTTTATCTAACGACATATTCCCTGACTTTGGGCATTGTAATCTATTACTTGTTCTCAGGTAACGTGTTTTGGCTGAGCGCAAAGATAAGTTAATGATTAATGTAACCACGTACATTCTGTATATTGACTGATCGCTTGCCTTTATTTCCTATAATGTATAAACTTATTGTATGTTATACTTTTAAAATGGCCATTATCGATTATTAAAACTGATACTCAGCAAAAGAGAGGCTGTGTTTCGTTTTTTCACTGAAATTGAAAGGAGGCAGTTGTTATCGGCTCCGTTTTGTTATAAATATCCATACAGTGAAGATGACGCTCATATATGCAGCACGACGCCTCAACATGTCTGCTGTCTAAGTTGCTAATATTAAAAATGAAAATAGGCAGTTCCTTAAATCATGTTTACATTTTATTGTTGAGAAAGTGAAACAACGAAGCCAGGGTGATGTGAATGAAGTTATAAAGTACACTGTTCCCTTTGAAGATTTACCCCTGTCATCGGTATAATCTGCTTTTCCATATCAAACTGAGAAGAAGAGACTGCAGCCTTGATCAAACTTGCGAAGTCTGAACTTACACGGAGATAATGCAGGACTGAACTGTGCGTGTAAAGCAGGTCGCACACCAGAAGCGACGCTCGGCGGCGCGCCACGCAGCGCCATGTATTTTAGAATTCTAAACATAGGTTTCTATCAGGATACACACACCGGCGCCGCAAGTCGGCGGCTGTCGGCGGCGCCCGGCGACGGCTCAGGACGCAGTTCATTTTTCAGCCGCGCCACAGAGCGCCATCTGATTAGTTTCATGTTAAATATCATTCGAATGTGTGCGTCTGGTGTGCGATACTTTAATCTGTCATGTACGCGCCATGTCGCGGCGCCGAGCGGCGCTTCTGGTGTGCGACCTGCTTTAGAGTTTTCCAGCTCTTTTCATCCCCGCTTCTAGCAGCACACTCCATTTCCGCATTACTGGATCTGTAGCAACAACAGACCGCAAGGGATGATGGTCAAGCATGGGCTGATGGCAATTGTAGTTCCCGTTCGCTTCATTCGCCTGAGCAAATTTTCTCAGAAGACCTATAGTTTTACCGAGTCATGCGACTTCGGTAATATCGAAAAAAATTAATATTGCGGTATGACGGTATTTACAATACCGTTACATCCCTAATATATATATATATATATATATATATATATATATATATTTTTTTTTTTTTATTTATTTTTTTTTTTTCAAATTTAGAACAAGCATAGCAAAATAAAATACAGCTACAAAATATTATAATAATTTCATTATATTAATTTTATGTCTTTATACTTTGTGAATATACCTCAAACCACTATAAAATCGACTAAAATATAGTACGATTATTTTTTATAGTCATTCATTCGTTCGATAATTTTCATTCGGCTTTGTCGCCTTATGCATCAGGGGTCACCACAGCAGAATGAACCGCCAACTTATCCAGCATATGTTTTACACAGCAGATGCCCTTCCAGCTGCAACCCAGTACTGGGAAACATCCATACACAATCATTTACACACACATACTTAAGCACTACGGCCAATTTAGTTTATTCAATTCACCTATAGTGCATGTGTTTGAATTGTGGAGGAAGCCGGGACTTAAACCAGTGACCTTGCTGAGAGGTGACAGTGCTAACCACTAAGCCACCTTGTCGCCTATTTATATATTTATACATTTTAATAAGTATAGATTAAGTATGTTCTATCATTGTTGTTCTATCATAAAATAAAAATGATTTCCATGTGTTTTAAGATTTTTATTTTGGCTAAATTAATTGAATTGAATGTGATGCAAACACCAACATGCCTTTGCTCATACAATGTAAAAATTGCTGGGTTCCACACAATTCCTTCATGTTTCCCCAACACAAATCTATTGAGTTAGCATAGTCATTTTTACAAATTAAGTTGCCCCCAAAAAAGCTTAAGAATTTTGTTGTTTCAACTCTGAACAAGCAGCAAAAGTCATTTTTTGACTGTATTTTAGTCAGTTCAGCTGTAGTATCTTGCTTTAAAATGTTGAAATCATTTACTGACTTAATTTGTGCACTTTGTTTTATCCTACAGTGACATATTTGATGCCATGTTTCCAGTCACCTACATTGCTGGAGAGATCGTCATCCAGCAGGGTAAAGCTTTCAGTATGCTCATGTGAAATCATACCATGTTATCAACACATCAATTTACCCACATTTTTTTTCTCCCCCCAGGCGACGAGGGAGATAACTTCTATGTCATTGACCAGGGTGAAATGGATGTAAGTTGCACACCCCCAGACACACTCTTCTCAAATCCCAACCCATATTAACACTCAACCAAAGTCCAGTTTCACTCAGGATTAAGTCAGATTACACCAGTGAGAGATGATGTTTGTGCACAGGTGTATGTGAACAATGAGTGGGCGACCAGCATTGGCGAGGGCGGCAGTTTTGGAGAGCTGGCGTTAATCTACGGCACCCCGAGAGCCGCCACCGTCAGAGCCAAGACCAACGTGAAGCTGTGGGGCATCGACAGAGACAGCTATAGGAGAATACTGATGGTACAACATCACCTCAACACACACACACGCACACTACACTTTAATGCTGTGTTCACACCAGACGCGGAACGCGCGGATAAATCGCGCTATTCGTAAATAGTCGCGTGAACATTTGAGGTTACTCGCTTCATTCGCGTGTCAAACCCCGCTTCATTCGCATGTCAAATTCACTTCAGAACAGACGCGGATTCGCGTGATGGGCAGGGCTTCTGTCTGCCCCGTGACTCTAGCTTCATAGCTAAACGGCTAACATGGATTTTATGAAGAAATTAACAGTGTTTATGTGCTTTATGAAGGATGATAAACAGCGTCGATACGTTTAGAGCCGTGTCTGAGTCCACTACATCCTTTCAGAGGTGCATCCAGCTCTTTAAGCTCATAAACTCCTCCAGAAACTGAACCTGGATGACGGAGGTTTTCAGCGGTGCTTCTGACTGAGCCCAGCCCAGTTTGATGAACTTCTTGTCGGTGTCTGCTGGGGGATTTTCCCTGGGACACCGACAACAGGCGATACGTCACAATCACGGCCCCACAAGAACAAGCTCCTAAATGGTTAACGCGGCGCGAATGTCCGCTGAAGTTCAGATTTTCGAACGCAAGTGATTTGCACGAAACGCGCATTAAGTGCGTCAAACGCGCAAAACGCTCAATTCGCGCCACGCCATTCGCGCCATGCGCACCGCGCTATTCTCGTCATTCTCGCCGCGCCATTCGCACGTATCGCGCCGCAGGATGTCTATTCGCGCGTTTGCATTGACTTAAAATGTAAATCACTCGCGCTTGATGCGCGTTCCGCGTCTGGTGTAAACGCAGCAAAAGAGATTGTTCACCCCAAAATTCTGCCATCATTAGCTGTATTTCCATCCACCTATTTTGGAATATCGCATTTAAAAAAAAACCTTGATGGAAACGCCAAGATGATGATAATGATGACACCTTTATTTGTCACATACACTGTTACATGTAGCGAAATTGGACCCCTCCGACCATACACAAACGTCAAACATTTCAGGGGAAGACAGGTCAGACGAGAGCTTTAGAAAGAGGAAATAAGAAACATAAGAGGGAAAGGGAGGTGAAAAAATGCCCCTCCTAGACTGTCCTTAAAGTAGGGCAGCGTGAGATCAAGGGAAAAAAAGACCCAGCAACATGCACATAAACACCTAGACATAACATCGCAACAGGGGATGTAAAGATAGACCCATATAGGCTGTGACTGTGCATTTAGTTTACGCGTTCTAAGACACAAGTAAGTTATGATATACGAAAAAGGGCTTTCTCCTAACTCAGCAACTTCCATTTTTCTTTTGATATTTGGCACTAGTTTATCAGGACGTGACGATACTGTTTTCTTGGATTGCATGCTTAATTCGCAAATGTTTTAATGCAACATTCCAGTTATGCGCATACGTTTAATTCACGTCTTTGGATGGAGACATGGCTAATGAATGTTGTTCCAGCCCTGTTGAGGTTTCTTTCTTCTGTTGAACACAGAAGCAGATGTTTTGTAGAATGTTGGAAACCTGTAACCATTGACAGTATTTGTTTTTTCCTGCATTGTGTGGCAGTGGATATATGTTTTTATTGTGTTCAAAAGATGAAAGAAGCTCATAAAGGTTTGGAACAAGTGAGTAAATGTTTATTTTTGGGTGAACTATCCCTTTAACATATTTCGTTCTCTAATGTTTAATAACAGGGAAGCACTTTGAGGAAAAGGAAGATGTACGAGGAGTTCTTGAGCAAAGTATCTATTTTAGGTAAGTCCATCTGTGTGTCAATCACTTCAATTTCACTTCAATTTTTTATTTTATATTTCTGTTCTCATCATTAACTGATGAACAACACTTTCTGCTACATTTGATGATACAGAATAAACAAAATTACTTTTAACATTTCCCAAAAGGTGCATAATTCCAAACATAACAATACCAAAAAAACACTTTCCAACAATTACATCAAAATCCAGACTAATACGTCTTTTCACACACACACACACACACACACACACACATATATATATATATATATGAGCAATATCACATGAGTAGCAGTGCTATATGGCTGGATATCGGCACTGGTGGGAGGCGTGCACTGCTACGAGTGTGATATTGCGTTTATACAACAGTTTGACGGCATAATTGTGTATATAAAAACAAAATAAACATAGAGAGTCTCAAAAACCCTTTTGTATGAGGAACTACTTTCTTCCGCCTTGGATTCAAATCATAAGCTGACAGTTAAACAGTTGAGTGTGCATCTTTTTAAACTTCAGATCTGTAGTGTCTGCTTTTTGCTGGCTGTATGTGGGCGGAGTAATACACAAAGGGTAAAGAGGCTGTACGGCTGATATTACTTCAATATATCACGGCTATCAGCCAATCAGATTCAGTGTGTGTGTGTGTGCGTGCGTGCGTGCGTGCGTGCGTGCGTGCGTGCGTGCGTGCGTGCGTGCGTATGTATGTATGTATGTATGTATGTATATATATATATATATATATATATATATATATATATATATATATTGTTACGTCCTTTTAGATGTTAATATTAAACTAGAACCTAAAGTTCGTTGACGAACTTTGATGTTGGCTTGAGAAAGCCAACGTGACTGCGCCGGGGACTCAAAGGCAGTTGGCAGGAAGCACAGCGGTTGAGAAGTGGTTGCTAGGCGGTTGCTAAGGTGTAGCTAAGGCATTCCTAGGTAGTTGCTAGGGTGTTCTGAGTGGTTTCTAGGCTGTTGCTAGGGTCCACTGGACTGTTAATCGGAAGGCCTCATTTACATTTTTGATCAAATCGAGAGAGAGAGAGGACTGATTTGTTCAGGTTGTTTAATGCAGATCACTATAGTATAGTTAGTATTTATAGTATATATTATAATCTGAACAAAATTACATTATAATAAATATCATATGAAGAAAAATATTACATTAAAATACTAATGAAACAATAGCACATGCATTTAGTTAATTTGTCTTTTATTTAATCAGTCTTATAATTTTTGCAGTTAATATAGAGTACAGTCAATTTACAGTAATTTGCAGCATTATATATATCGTTATAGTTATATAGTTATATACAGTTTACAGGAAGAAAATCGCATTAAATACAATATTATAGGACGTCTTCATCACATGGTTAATTCTGACCAATGACGTTGTTCCGTCCCACTGGCCACTAACACAATGTTATAATCGTTATATTTAATTGTCATCACCTGGGTGATTTTATTTATTTTTTTGGTACAGCATAGGCCAAAAGCTTGGCTTTCATTGTCATTATCACAAGTGAGGAGAAGGCTCTTTTGCGGCACAGAATATTGTTTTGAAAGAAATATCTGAAGTAAACTTATGTTTTTGCTAACATAAAAGGGGAATTAAGAAATAATCCTTATAACCCTAACCATAAATGTGTGTATGTGTTATATATGTATATATGTATATATGTATGTATATATATACATACATATATACAGTTGAAGTCAGAATTATTAACCCCCTTTTGATTTTTTTTCCCCTTTTTAATATTTCCCAAATTTTGTTTAACTGTGCAAGGACATTTTCACTGTATGTCTGATAATATTTTTTCTTCTTGAGAAAGTCTTATTTGTTTTATTTCGGCTAGAATAAAAGCAGTTATTAATTATTTAAAAACTATTTTTGGGACACAATTATTTGCCCCTTTAAGCAAATTTTTTTGATAGTCTACAGAACAAACCATCGTTATACAATAACTTGCCTAATTACCCTAACCTGCCTAGTTCACCTTATTAACCTAGTTAAGGCTTTAAATGTCACTTTAAGCTGTATAGAAGTGTCTTGAAAAATATCAAGTCAAATATTATTTACTGTCATCATGGCAAAGATAAAATAAAGAAGTTATTAGAAATGAGTTATTAAAACTATTATGCTTAGAAATGTGCTGAAACAATCTTCCCTCCATTAAACAGAAATTGGGGAAAAAATAAACAGGGGAGCTAATAATTCTGACTTCAACTGTATGAATATATATATATACAGGGCTCGAAATTAACTTTTTTACTTGGTAGCACCGGTGCTCCCAACTTCAAATATTCAGGGGCACCAAAATAAATTTAGGAGCACCAGAATAAATTTAGGAGCACCCACCAAAAATGAATGAGCACCGCTGCAAATTGCTTTTTAAGGGATTTATTGTATTTTAAAACAACATCAATAGGACTGACAAAAACCAGAAACAACTATCTAACTAATGCTGTGAAGACATTGATATTTGTGTGCAATAATTCTAAAATGAATGTCTAATAATTAGGCCATAGAATATTAGTGATGATGGAAATGACAATAATAGTAACAATGAATTCCATTTCTCATTATGATACTGCCTTGAATGTGCATGAATGTAGGTTATCTGCTATAAAATGTCTGTTACTTTATATAAAATAATTGTATAGTTTGCATCAAACAAAAATGAAGCATTGCAGTAAGAAATATTTATTTTGTACTGCTGTTTTTATATGCATGTCAATTTAATAAATAATATTTCTGCTACAAAACAAACAAAAGATTATAATAAATAATTCAATTCAATGATGAAAGCTGCAAAGCAGTCATCAGTAAATAAATAAAAAAATAATATACACCTCAAAAAAGAATAGACAAAAGAAAGAAAGTAAAGTCTCACTTCTATCACTCTTTAAAAGTTTTGGTTTCAGTTTGTGTCAATTTAAAGGTTCAGTCTGAGATGATCTTCATTTTTCTGTGTTTGTGGAAAAGCTGGCGAGTCAGCCGACCCAATTTATGAGCAGGCAGAGCATTCTTGCACTAACCATCGGCGCAATACTGGTCTTTGTTATGAGCCGCAGTTTCAGTGATCTCAGCTGGTGGATCATTATTTACCACGTGACGTGTCACGATCTCTCTCATCTACACCTCAATTTTAGGTGGGGTTTGCAAACCTGTGTGCTTTAAGTTTTTACTCTTCAGCCGTTTGCATTTCCCGTGGTCATAAAAGCTCCTTCCCTGTCATCTGACAGCGGAATACCTTGAGTGATTGACAGCTAATATGAACCAATATAGCGGCAAGGAAGAGCGATTCAGCACGTTTTTACAAAAAATCAAAACAGGTCGCACTACAACCATTATCAGCAGTTGCACTAATGCGCCCAAATATGTTATGAGGTCGCATAGATTAAATTTCATTTTCACCAAAATGGTCGCAATTTCAGCTTCAAATGTTGTAACAAGCACGTCTGAAATGAGCCCGAATTTCTGTAGATTCAAAACAGTCAGTCCGGATATCCCCGCCTCTTAAAGGGCCAGTACTAAATTACAAAGGGCTCAAAAATAGTCTTCTGGCGCCATCTCGTGGACACTCTGACACGCTTTGAGTCTGAATTTTACAAATTTAATATAAAAAAAATATTTATAGGAAAACTGTTATTTAAAATTACACCAAATAAATATGATAATTATCTGTAATTTCAAACACATCTTTTGGCCAAATTTGAGGATTGTATACTTTTTTATATGCCCCAAATACTCGATACAATTTTTTAATTAATAAATTTTTAATTCAAAAACTACAAATCTTATCAGGATGAGGACATACAGCAACCATCTCATGAGCAGTAGGCAGCTTTTGACCAAATTTGGGGCTTGTAGCATCTAAGCCCTGGGAGGAGAAGCGATTGCTTTTTTTTGGTCAGAAGCCGGAATAATAATAATAATAAGAATAATAATAAGAACTAGAACCTAAAGTTCGTAGACAAACTTTGATGTTGGCTTGAGAAAGCCAACGTGACTGCGCCGGGGACTCAAAGGCAGTTGGCAGGAAGCACAGCGGTTGAGAAGTGGTTGCTAGGCGGTTGCTAAGATGTTGCTAAGGCATTCCTAGGTAGTTGCTAGCGTGTTCTGAGTGGTTTCTAGGCTGTTGCTAGGGTCCACTGGACTGTTAATCGGAAGGCCTCATTTACATTTTTGATTAAATCGAGAGAGAGAGAGAGAGAGAGAGAGAGAGGACTGATTTGTTCAGGTTGTTTAATGCAGATCACTATAGTATAGTTAGTATTTATAGTATATATTATAATCTGAACAAAATTACATTATAATAAATATCATATAAAGAAAAATATTAAATTAAAATACTAATGAAACAATAGCACATACATTTAGTTAATATGTCTTTTATTTAATCAGTCTTATAATTTTTGCAGTTAATATATAGTACAGTCAATTTACAGTAATTTGCAGCATTATATATATAGTTATATAGTTATATACAGTTTACAGGAAGAAAATCGCATTAAAACAATATTATAGGACGTCTTCATCACGTGGTTAATTCTGACCAATGACGTTGTTCCACCCCACTGGCCACTAACACAATGTTATAATCGTAATATTTAGTTGTCATCACCTGGGTGATTTTATTTTATTTTTTGGTACAGCATAGGCCAAAAGCTTGGCTTTCATTGTCATTATCACAAGTGAGGAGAAGGCTCTTTTGCGGCACAGAATATTGTTTTGAAAGAAATATCTGAAGTAAACTTATGTTTTTGCCAACATAAAAGGGGGATTAAGAAATAATCCTTATAACCCTAACCATAAATGTGTGTATGTGTTATATATGTATATATGTATATATGTATGTATATATATACATATATACAGTTGAAGTCAGAATTATTAACCCCCTTTTGATTTTTTTTCCCCTTTTTTAAATATTTCCCAAATTATGTTTAACAGAGCAAGGAAATTTTCACTGTATGTCTGATAGTATTTTTTCTTCTTGAGAAAGTCTTATTTGTTTTATTTCGGCTAGAATAAAAGCAGTTATTAATCATTTAAAAACCATTTTTGGGACACAATTATTATCCCCTTTAAGCATTTTTTTTTTTTTTTGATAATCTACAGAACAAACCATCGTTATAAAATAACTTGCCTAATTACCCTAACCTGCCTAGTTACCCTTATTAACCTAGTTAAGCCTTTAAATGTGACTTTAAGCTGTATAGAAGTGTCTTGAAAAATATCAAGTCAAACATTATTTAATGTCATCATGGCAAAGATAAAATAAATCAGTAATTAGAAATAGGTTTTTAAAACTATTATGCTTAGAAATGTGCTGAAACAATCTTCCCTCCATTAAACAGAAATTGGGGAAAAAATAAACAGGGGAGCTAATAATTCTGACATCAACTGTATGAATATATATATATATATATATATATATACACAGGGCTCGAAATTAACTTTTTTACTTGGTAGCACCGGTGCTCCCAACTTCAAATATTCAGGGGCACCAAAATAAATTTAGGAGCACCAGAAAAAATTTAGGAGCACCCACCAAAAATGAATGAGCACCGCTGCAAATTGCTTTTTAAGGGATTTATTGTATTTTAAAACAACATCAATAGGACTGACAAAAACCAGAAACAACTATCTAACTAATGCTGCGAAGACATTGATATTTGTGTGCAATAATTCTAAAATGAATGTCTAATAATATAGAATATTAATGATGATGAAAATAACAATAATAGTAAAAATGAATTACATTTCTCATTATGATACTGCCTTGAATGTGCATGAATGTAGGTTATCTGCTATAAAATGTCTGTTACTTTATATAAAATAATTGTATAGTTTGCATCAAACAAAAATGAAGCATTGCAGTAAGAAATATTTATTTTGTACTGCTGTTTTTATATGCATGTCAATTTAATAAATAATATTTCTGCTACAAAACAAACAAAAGATTATAATAAATAATTCAATTCAATGATGAAAGCTGCAAAGCAGTCATCAGTAAATAAATAAAAAAATAATATACACCTCAAAACAGAATAGACAAAAGAAAGAAAGTAAAGTCTCACTTCTATCCCTCTTTAAAAGTTTTGGTTTCAGTTTGTGTCAATTTAAAGGTTCAGTCTGAGATGATCTTCATTTTTCTGTGTTTGTGGAAAAGCTGGCGAGTCAGCCGACCCAATTTATGAGCAGGCAGAGCATTCTTGCGCTAACCATCGGCGCAATACTGGTCTTTGTTATGAGCCGCAGTTTCAGTGATCTCAGCTGGTGGATTATTATTCACCACGTGACGTGTCACGATCTCTCTCATCTACACCTCAACTTTAGGTGGGGTTTGCAAACCTGTGTGCTTTAAGTTTTTACTCTTCAGCCGTTTGCATTTCCCGTGGTCATAAAAGCTCATTCCCTGTCATCTGACAGCGGAATACCTTGAGTGATTGACAGCTAATATGAACCAATATAGCGGCAGGGAAGAGCGATTCAGCACGTTTTTACATAAAATCAAAACAGGTCGCACTACAACCATTATCAGCAGTCGCACTAATGCGCCCAAATATGTTATGAGGTCGCATAGATTAATTTTCAGGCGCATATGCGACCAAAATGGTCGCAATTTCAGCTTCAAATGTTGTAACAAGCACGTCTGAAATGAGCCCGAATTTCTGTAGATTCAAAACAGTCAGTCCGGATATCCCCGCCTCTTAAAGGGCCAGTACTAAATTACAAAGGGCTCAAAAATAGTCTTCTGGCGCCATCTCGTGGACACTCTGACACGCTTTGAGTCTGAATTTTACAAATTTAATATAAAAAAATATTTATAGGAAAACTGTTATTTATAATTACACCAAATAAATATGATAATTATCAGTAATTTCAAACACATCTTTTGGCCAAATTTGAGGATTGTATACTTTTTTATATGCCCCAAATACTCGATACAATTTTTTAATTAAAAAATTTTTAATTCAAAAACTACAAATCTTATCGGCATGAGGACATACAGCAACCATCTCATGGGCAGTAGGCAGCTTTTGACCAAATTTGGGGCTTGTAGCATCTAAGCCCTGGGAGGAGAAGCGATTGCTTTTTTAAGTCAGAAGCCGGAATAATAATAAGAATAATAATAAGAATAAGTTTAAGTAGCATTACAGTATGTTGGCTTTCTCAAGCCAACATAATAAGTTTAAGTAGCATTACAGTATGTTGGCTTTCTCAAGCCAACATAACTAGGAGTAGATGACAATAACATACATCAGTTTAATGTGTGTGACAAGCGGATGGAGAAAGAAATAAACTGAATCAAATAATCACTGCAATTATTTATTGCCCATATATCCCATGAAAACCAGTGAAAATATATTATACAGTGAAAGAAAAATATTTACAATGATTAAATAATGAATTACCTGGGGGGAGAGGAAGTAGTTGAATGTGCTTAAATCAAAGAAATAAATATAACAAAACTCAGTAACTGTTTTCACCAAACTAAACTAAATATGAAAAGAAAAGCATGAAAAGAAACATCTTCAACGTACCAAACGTCTTAACTAAACTGCTCTAACTAAAAACAAAACATACAGAAAACAGCACATTCTCCTGAACCTAATGAACTAATACAAAATATCAATCTGAGTGTTGTATATGTATATCGCGCGACTTACTCACTCCTACACCTCTCCGAGGCATCACTCAAACATGTCAGTTAACTGGACAATTTCACAAACATTGTTAATCGCAAACTTTAGACAAGAGCATTAAACAAGCAAAACACATTCTCTCAGACTAGCCCTCGCAAGAGAGACTGTCCTCACAGAGACCCACAGAAAGAATAAGAGCGAGAAGGAAAGAGACAGAGAGAGAGAGAGATCGAGAGATCGCCATTGCAGTTTGGGCTCGGCTTTTAAACGCTACGCCAACCAGCGATTGGTGGCGCAAACCCAGCGTCAGCGGCCAACGTCATCAGCACGAAATGCGGATCCTCCAATGCCGTTCGTACCTGTAACACATGCATGAAACGACACACCCACATACAAACGAACGCACACACTTATCCAAAATACGTTCTGCAAGGGAACGTTACATATATATATATATATATATATATATATATATATATATAAACACACACACACACATTTATTTACTAATTAAATAAAACAAATTATTTTGCTGTGGAAAACGCAATAACTTTTGTTTTGGGCTGAACATTAGATGTTAATTTTTTGGGGGTTTTCAGTACCTCCTTTATCACATGGCTATATATCTACTGTATATACAGTATACAGTTGAAGTCAGAATTATTAGCCCCCTTTTGATTTATTTTTTTCTTTTTTAAATATTTCCCAAATTTTCACAGTATGTCTGATAATATTTTTTTCTTCTGGAGAAAGTCTTTTGTTTTATTTTGGCTAGAATAAAAGCAGTTTTAATTTTTTTACGAACCATTAAGGTCAATATTATTAGCTTCTTTAAGCTATATATTTTTTTTGATAGTCTACAGAGCAAACCATCGTTATACAATAACTTGCCTAATTACCCTAACCTGCCTAGTTACCCTAATTAACCCTCTAAGCCTTTAAAAATCTCTTTAAGCTTTATAGAAGTGTCTTGAAAAATATCTAGTCTAATATTATTTACTGTCATCATGACAAAGATAAAATAAATCAGTGATTAGAAATTAGTTATTAAAACTATTATGTTTAAAAATGTGTTGAAATATCTGCTCTCCGTTAAACAGAAATTGGGAAAATAAAATAAACAGGGAGGCTAATAATTCTGACTCCAACAGTAAAATGAAAGGAGGAAACCAAGGCTGAAAACCAAATAAATTATGCCAATTATTACTACCATTGCATGTGTGGCTATAAATGTGTAGGCCTACTAACCTTACTAAAATCAATGCATTGCAGTTGCATAAATTAATATTAACGTTTCAAATAATAAATTAAATACAAAGTATGAAAATATTTTTAGCACTTTGTAACAATGGGTTATTATTATTATTATTATTATTATTATTATTAATAAATTATTTATTATTATTATTATTTTTTTATCATTACTAGTATTTTTATTATTATTTATTATTATTGTTGTTGTTATTATATTAATATTTATTATTATTATATTATTATTATTATATTTATTATTATTATTATATTCATTATTATTATTATTATTATTATTATTATATTAATATTATTTATTATTATTATTATTATTATTACTTCTGGCGATGGGGACTGATAACAATAAAAAGTAACAATTTTATTTTACCCAATAAATGCATTAGATTTTAAATAGTCAATCAAATGGATTAAAAACGATGAAAAAATGCACTCTTGGGTCATTTTCGCCTAAAGATTTTTGGTGGCTAAATATTCAGTGCATCCCTATATATAAACAATATTGGCTCAAGATATATACATTTATTTATATATATATATATATATATGCCAGGTTTCCATTGTCCTTACCTCAATTGATTTGGCTGGAATTGTTTCATTAATTACTTGCACTAAATAGCCTTATGAATAAGTTTTCAGTATAATGAATTGTAAAATGAGTGATATAATGAACCGTTTTATATTCAGAGAGCTCTATTAAATTGAAGCTTTTATGTTTGCTTATTTAGGTAAATATAATCCAATTTAGCTTTTTTGAAATTACATTTATTTTTAATTTGCGTTTTTAGTTTCATTATTGCATTTTATTAAATCATTTTAAGCAGCAGGTGTGAATAATGTCTCTGTTGTCCACTTGTGATCTGATCAACCAGAATACATGGTAATATCGAGGCCTGTCTGTATGTCTGTCTGATTAGATAAGTGTAACTGTAACCCCAGAGAGATGTGTGTGTGCATGTGCTGTAACTGTATTGTGTGTGTGTGTGTGTGTGTTGTGTTTGTAGAGTCTCTGGATAAGTGGGAGCGTCTGACGGTGGCTGACGCTCTAGAACCGGTTCAGTTTGAGGACAGTCAGAAGATCGTGGTTCAGGGAGAACCGGGAGACGAGTTCTTCATCATCCTGGAGGTCTGATGTCCAGCTCACACTGCTCTGCTCAGCGTGTGTTTATCTGAGTGTTTTCTCAAGGTTTTTCTTTGTGCTCTCCTCCTTCAGGGATGCGCGGCCGTTCTGCAGCGCAGGTCAGAGAATGAGGAGTTTGTGGAGGTGGGCAGGTTAGGACCCTCAGACTACTTCGGTAAGAGCCATAAAAACATGGAGGTTTAAGTGGAAATTCTTAATAGGAGAGTTAAACCTAAAACCAAGTTTCATGAAATAAAAAAAAAGCTATAGAAAAAAGTCAACAAAAAAGATTATATATATATATATATGCATACAGTGCTCAGCATAAGTAAGTGCTGAAGCTAAATCTGAAGCTTATCTAATAAAATAATAACTTAAAATAATGGTCCAAAAACTAGTACACTCACATTTATATGTTATAGAAAATATTAATTACAAATTTAAAAAGAGGAAAAATCAAGAAAAGCAAAACAATTGAAAAAATTAGTTTGTAATTTAGTTTTGCAATATTTTGCTTAAATTTAATTGTAGTATCTTTTAAATTTCTAAACATGTTTGGTGACCAAAATATTATTTTAATAAATATTTTGGTTTGAATAAATCTGATTACACAAGTTTTGTAAATCTCAAAATTTACAAAAAAAAATTTCTTGCATTTTCAAGAATAAGATTAAGAAATATACATTCAGAATTGGGAGATATAGTATGATCACTTATTATTATTATTATTATTATTATTATTGTTGTTGTTGTTGTTGTTTTTGTTGTTTAAAAAGTGTTTAATATTAAATTTAAAAATACAGTAGGTCTAAACATGATTTGTTGACTGATATAATTAATCATTTATATATGTATATTATTCATGTATATGTGTGTGTGTTTATATATATATATATATATATATATATACATCTTGTGTTTAAATATTAAGCATGTTTTTTCCAATACTATAGGCAGAGTATTATCTGTAATAAATACAATTCATAATTTATTATGTTGAGGAGTTAATTGTAATATAGGGTATATGCAGAACTATGCGGAAGGACTTTTAATGTGTCAGTAAACTGAGTTAAGCGCTTCCAGTAAACTGTATGCCATTACAAAATCTGCACATTTAAAGTCTGTTTTCTTTAAAAGTCAGCGATCTCCACTGGCTGAGTGATATCCGATATAAAGATAAGACAAAAGATAAAGCACTGCATTACATTACATTTTTCCACACCATGTCTTTAAAATGTGAACATTTATTGTATCTCAGTAATTTCAATGCAGCTTCTGCACAAGCCTGTTAATTCTGACCGGCGCGTGCGAGTAAACATCTCTTGAGCAGCTTAATGAATGCCAAACTAATTATATTTCAATTACATTACAACATCAATGCTGTAAGGAGCTGTATAAAATGGAAAAAAGTCACAATAACCGTTCACCAGAAGTATATCAGTATGGGAAGAAGCACTAGCTCTGCACACTCTCTATTAGTAATAAAAATGCAAATATGCATATACTTCAATATAACAAAAATGCCTAAACAGAATATAGTATAGCAAACATAATGCCTAAATATTAATACAATAGGTCTTTAATACATTTCATTATATTATACAACTAGTTATATTGGAAACTTATTACTCAAGAAGCTATTAAGTGCAATCAATTAGAAATTTAAATCTGAATACTCTCCTGCAAAGGAGAATGGACAGAGAAAAATGATTTGAAACATTCTATTTTTCAGCAAAATTCATTATATTTTATTATTCTTGATGTTATATTATAAATTATGGAATGATAAAAAACAGAACAATATTGCTCAAGACAAAAAAGAGGCCCTAAATATAAAAAAATATCCCTATAACTCATTTTAATCCAAAACAAAGTCATTGCCTTTGCACAGCAGAATAGATAAGAATTGAAATAACATTAAGAAATGTGAATAACTATACTGAGCTGCACTTCTTTTTGTTTGGTGTTATCAGGTGAGATTGCTCTGCTGATGAACCGGCCCAGAGCAGCAACAGTTGTGGCTCGCGGGCCGCTCAAATGTGTCAAGCTGGACCGGCCGCGCTTTGAGCGAGTTTTGGGCCCGTGCTCAGACATCCTGAAACGCAACATCCAGCAGTACAACAGCTTCGTGTCGCTCTCCGTCTGAACTGCCAGTAAAAACCTCCACCTCGGCAGGGTCCACGGTTTCGCTTCTCATTTACACACACATGCTTCATTCAGAGCTTTAACATTGGACATTTAGAGCCAAACGAAACACAGACAATCAAACTAGGGCTGCACCATATTTGGAAAATATGCCATATACAGTTGAAGTTAGAATTATTAGCCCTCCTGAATATTTCTGTTTAACGGGAAGAACACATTTCTGAACATAATAGTTTGAATTGCTCATTTCTAATAACTGATTTATTTGATCTTTGCCATGATGACTACATAATATTTGACTAGATATTCTTCAAGATGCTAGTATTCAGCTTAAAGTGACTTTTAAAGGCTTAACTTGGTTAATTAGGCAATTCATTGTATAACTGTGGTTTGTTATGTAGACAATCGAAACAAATATTGCCTTTTGAATTTTATATTTTTATTTTCTTAAAGCAACAAAGAGCGATAAAAAAGCAACAGCAATTATAAAGACAAAACAAAAAAAGCAACAACAAAAATAATAATAATAAAATAAAAATAAAAAGGACATAAGACAGAAAAAAAGAAGGTTTTAAAACCATTAATACATCAGTTCCTCTAATATTATACATGGGTCAACAATGTTACACCTATATATCTAGGCCGGTGGGCGCAGGCAATATGGTGATCTTGCAGATGATAACAGGGTTATACCATTAAACTGTTATTCTGGGCATTTGACAAATAATTAAAAAAGGGTTTCCAGGTGGCTTCGAAGCCGGCAATGTTGTCAGAAAGATTGTGTCTTAATCTCTCTAAATGTAAAGTGGTGGAAAATTCTGAAAGCCAGGACTTAAAAAGTGGTTTTGATGAGCTTTTCCATAAATAAAGAATAACTTTTTCAGCTAACACCATTCTATATTGAACAGCTTTTGTAATTGTTGACTGAACCCACGAAGTGAGTCAGACCAACCAAAAACAGCGATTGCTGGATCAGGGACGAGGTCACAAGTATAAGCCTCAGAGTAGAAGTTGAAAATTTCGCTCCAAAACTCAAAAAGTCTTGGGCATGACCGAAAAAGATGTCCTAAAGAGCCTTCTGCAGATTCACATCTGTTACATTTAGAGGAGATAGAGGGGTAGAATTTTTTAAGCTTAACCCTGGAATAATGAAGCCGATGTACTACTTTATATTGGATTAGTTGATGTCTGGAGTTAATAGAACATGTATTTATGACCTTGATAGACTTTTCCCAGTCCTCATTGGTGATTTGAATGCCTAAATCTTTCTCCCAGGAGTCTTTCAAATACCTGGTAGATATATCAAACTGATTATTAAAAACGTCTATAAAGTGGGAAATCAAATTAGAGGCATCAGGAGAGGCAGAAAGTAATTTATATACATCATGTTCATCTGCTAATAGTTCAAAGTGGGAGATGGATGTACGAACATAGTTTCTCAGCTGTAGATATCTAAAAAATGGGATGAAACAAATATTGCTTGATGGGGATAATAATATTGACCTTAAAATGTTTTTTAAAAATTAAAAGCTGCTTGTATTCTAGCCCAAATAAAACTTTCTCCAGAAGAAAAAATATTATCGGAAATACTGTGAAAAATTCCTGAATCTGTTAAACATCATTAGTGGAATATTTGCAAAAGAAATTTACAGGAGGGCAAATAATTTTGACTTCAACTGTACATGTATAGGGTAATTTGATTTATTTATTTATTTTTACAAAATTATGTATTTATGTACTGATCCTACTAAAATAAACAGGTAATAATTGATATTTCTCCAATCTAACAAACATTCCTATCTAAAAAACTGTCAAAGTGCAAACTTTTCAACACTATGAATCAATGAAAACCTGGCCAGACATTCTGACATATCAGTGATGTATGGAAAACTGTTTCCGGGTCCAAGCCGCTACTCGTTTGATTTGAAAAAATATTCATTTATGACCACTTTTAAGTCCTAGCACACATTAAAGTGAAATATACAATCATGGCGTACACGACAGTCTCTGGACTTGCTGCATCACAGACATCAATGTTTGAACTATGTATAAAAAATGAATCACATTCTGGCCATCGGATATTAGGCATGGATAAATATATATATATACAGTTGACGTCAGAATTATTAGCCCCCTTGTTTATTTTTTTCCCCAATTTCTGTTTAATGGAGGGCAGATTTTTTTTCAAAAGATTTGTAATAGCTAATTTAATAATAGCATTTAATAACTCATCTCTAATAACTGATTTATTTTATCTTTGCCATGATGACAGTAAATTATATTTGACCGGATATTCTTCAAGACACTTCTATACAGCTTAAAGTGACATTTAAAGGCTTAACTAGGTTAATTATGTTAACTAGGCAGGTTAGGGTAATTAGGCAAGTTATTGTATAATGATGGTTTGTTCTGTAGACTATCGAAAAATAGTTGGGTTAAAGGGGCTAATAATATTGACCTTAAAATGGCATTTAGAAAATTAAAAACTGCTTTTATTCTAGCCGAAATAAAACAAATAAGACTTTCTCCAGAAGAAAAAATATTATCAGACATACTGTGAAAATTTCCTTGCTCTCTTAAACATACTTTGGGAAATATTTAAAAAGAGGAAAACAATCAAAGGGGGCTAATAATTCTGACTTTAACTGTATATATTGTGATCGTGATTTTCAAAAGTATTGCATCATTTTGTTAACGTTTATTATTATCATTTGTCGAGTCTCCCCGTAGAGTATGATAGAGCACTTGGACCCGGAAGCTGCTTCACATGACGTCACACTTAACAAGCAAATTGGCTATCTATTATTAATTTTAGCTGTACATTTGCCTTCTGGCCAATAGCAGAACAGCACCTACTGGGTAGGCGGATTTAAAGATGTTCAGTTTTGGCCTAGAGTTTTAATTTCCGCATATACACTACCTGACAAAAGTCTTGTCGTCGATCCTGGTTGTAAGAGCAACAAGTAATAGTTGATCATTTGGAAAAGTGAATCATCTGTTGAGCTGCATCCCAATCATCACAAACATTGCAGAAGACCTACTGGAACCCACATGGAGCCAAGATTCTCATAGAAATCAGTCAAGTTTGGTGAAGGAAAAAATCGTGGTTTGCGGTTTATTCAGTTTGGGGGTGTGCGAGAGATCTGCAACATCCGCAGCCTGAGGTATCAAGACATTTGTGCTGCCCGTTACATTACAAACCACAGGAGAGGGCAAATTCTCCAGCAGGATAGCGCTGCTCATACTTCAGCCTCCACATCAAAGCTCCTGAAAGCAAAGAAGGTCAAGATGCTCCAGGATTGGCCAGCCCAGTCACCAGACATGAACATTATTGAGCATGTCTGGGGTAAGATGAAGGAGGAGGCATTGCAGATGAATCTAAAGGATCTTGATGAGCTCTGGGATGCAGTCCTCCAAGCTCATGATGGAGTCAGACACAATATTCATTCTGTCTCCACTGCAGCAGGACTTTATATACTATACTGGACATTATTTCTGTTCGTTGACAAGACTTTTGTCTAAGCAAAGTCAGACCTTACCATCATTCAAAATCAAGACATGATCATATTTTATTGTGGTAAAATAAGCATAATCTAGAGGCCTTTACCTTTCATATAAGCCACTTCTGACACCAAATGATCAACAAGAAGTCAAGTTATTATATGTGGTTTCTAAAACTTGGATAGCCGACAGGATTTTGTCAGGTAGTGTGAACTATTATCACGATAACTATATTTTTTCGATATATTGTGCAGCTCTAAATCAAACCGCAGCCTGCAGAGAACGAAAACTATATAGGAGTGCAAATATATTTATAGGAAATCTGTCCCGAAGTCCTTCCCCCTCGCAGTGCAGGTTAGTTTTTTAAGACTAGTTTTCTAAGATGATCTGCCTACACGGATAAACGGAGAACGAGCGCGTGATCCTGATTCTATTCTTCAAGCCTTACTGCCTCGTTTTCCCCTTTTCTGACGTTACGCAGAGGAAACGTAAACATGGAGCTTTTCCTTCTTATCATTCCAGCACAATCTTTAGCTGTTTGCGTTCGGTTGCTTCTTGTTGTGAACCAGCGAAGGCCGTACATGTGCAGTGTCCACACTTTTAGGTTTACTTGTAAGAGATCGGTTTTGGAGACCAGACACTGCAGGAGTAAAGAAATAACAGCTTATATTTTCCCCTGTAATGAGCTTGTTCTGCAAGTAAACTCGTTTTGGCGATTGTTTTAAAACTTCCGATTCATTTTTCTATAGGAGAAATTACTAGAAATTTTAATAAACTGCAGAAAATGGTCAAACTACCCGCTCTACAAACTAGTGTGTTCATGACTATACATGAAAAGTAGATTAATATAATACGTAAAGATCAGTTTGCAACATTAAGCAGCTTAATGAGCTGTTTTTAACGACTAAATATCAAAAGAAGTGAATGAGAGTGGAAATCTTGAGCCAAAAGGATTCCAATGTCTGCGCCGGCTCATACGTAAAGAGTTGAATCAATAATTCGGCTGTTGATTTAGTACATTAACAATTAGGGATTCAGTGAAACTAAAATTCTGGACCAGATCGGAAATTTCAGCATGCAGTTAGCTTGAAGGTGAAACCAAAAATGCTTTATTGCTTATTATTTTACTACAAATTAATAATATAAAGTAATTTTGTAGGATTTTTTTCAATAACTTAAATTGTTATTAAGAGCCAGTAAATAGGCACATTTATTAAGAGTAAAATTGTATTAACAGTGAATGCGTCAGCGTTGCCATGACAACACAGAAGCGCAATTGCAAGCAGCAGGAACAAGTATACTACATAGAAAATCAGCGCTTTATTTGAGGAAGAATCTCTTTACTGTTTTAGAAAATACTGCAAAGATTTTTGAAATTTGTGTAGAATAAAATGCTGTATACAATCAGACATATTATGTACACTGTAAAAAGAGATCAGTTGACTTAAAAAAAGTGAATACCCCCCCCCCAAAAAAAATATACATGTACAATTATTTTATGTTTAATTGCAAAAAATTAAGTTGTCAACTTTACAATTTAAAGTTACAATGGGTTTACTCGTGTCTTTAGTCAACTTGCTGATTTTAAGAATACGCTAAGTACTTTTATAGAAAGTGATGCGTTACGTTACTTTGGAGTTACTTTTGCGTTACTTTTGCGTTACTTTTAATGAACAACAATAACGAAGTGTGCTCAAAAACCTGAGTTGTATCCTAAAACACATGCTGTGCCCCATATGGTCTAAAACCTGACAGGTGGGCAAATCTAAACTTGTTTTTAGTAAAACAAATATAAATATGATTATAATAAATATTACTGCTGATAATAATAACATTATACAAAAGCAAGTTGTTATGAATGAACTGAAAAAGCCTCTCGAGATGAAGAAGACATAAAAGCAGTGATTTTTCATATTTATGTAGGCTAGAAAATAATGTTTTGTAATATTTTAATCCTTTATATTTATATCCTATATCTTTATATTCTATATCTATCCTATATATATTCCCTTAATATTTAATTTTTTTCATATGTAAAGATATTTGCCTATTGCTCTCTTGTGTGTATTAAGCAGTGTGTAAGCGAGGCGCAACTCTGCGCTGGAGTTTAGACCGGGTTAGTTTTGGTCTAATGAAAAATCTATTATAGTTTCTCAAAATAGCAACGCGCCAGCGGCCCACCTCAGAACGCCTTCCTTTTTAGACCAGAACACCTATGGGCGCACAAATGAGCGCTAATGCATTTGCTATTTAAACAGCGTAGCGCAACGCCTCAAAACGACTCTTGCGCCAAGCTGAAACTACCAAAAGACTATTGCGCCGCGCCTTGTGCCACACTGCGCCGGGTGTATGATAGGGCCCATACAGTTAAAAGCTGTAGTTGACTCAAAAATAAAAATTGTCTTGTCATCATTCACTCTCCCTTCACCTTGTTAAAAACCTATTTGACTTTCTTTCTTATGTTAAACGCAAAAGAAGATATTTTGAACAACGTTAGAAACCGGTAACCATTGACCTCCATAGTAATTGTTTTTAATACTATGAAAAGTCAATGGTTACAGGTTTTCGACTTCAAAATATCTTCTTTAGTGTTCAACAACAACAAACAAAGCCACATGAGGCAGAGTAAACAGTGTAAATTTTCATTTTTAGGTGAACTACCCCTTTAAAAAGTCTATTTTGGATGTTTTCCTGCCAAAAAATATGAATAAATACATTATTGTATCATACAAGTAAACAGGTTTTTCCTGCAGTGTCTCGCCTTTAAACCAAAAGAAAAGTCAACAGTCTGTCTGTTCCAGTGCCAAACGTCTCAGATCTGGAATCAGTGTGTTTCTGCATGTGCGCTGCCGCCGCCGGACCTTTCAGTATTTACCGTCTTCGTCAGTATACGCCGACTAAATACCAGTTTTATTTTTTAATGAGCTTATTTTTCCACAGAGGCGCACAATGGTGTATATTTAGTCGCATGTCATCATTTCAAGTGGCTATTTTTAAACAGGCTTGTGTTTGCGGATTTGCAATAATCAATGACGTTTAACCTCAATGGTTTCTAATCGGTACTCTTTGAAAAACTCGCGATGATGACGTAAGCCAGAAAAAGTGAAACTCATTCACGAACGACGCCGATATTTTTATTTATATTTTCATAAAAACTCCACAGAGGTCAAATTAAAAACTATTGATGTTTACATGTTTTACTGCTAAACAAATTGCGAAGAGATCATCGCGTACATCTCTTTATTTACGTCACGTTTCCTTGTTTTAGTCTTTGAGAAATGCAGATTTTAAAAAAAAGCTGAAACACAAAGGTTTTCTTAATTATTTCACACATTCGTTTGTGCTGAAATGATGTGTTCAGAAGCAAACACACACACTCATAACGATGGCAGTGATGTTTGCTGTGCTTTCTCCATCTGAGATGCTCCTTCAAACCCAGACGTTATCTGCTGTTTATTTGTCAATGTTTGCCACGCGTGTAGTTTGGTTTCCAGTGATTTCTTTATTGTTTTGCGCAGTTTTTTTATTTTAATTGTATAGATCATCCAAACGTCAGCAATAAAAGGTTGTATTATTGATCCATCAGCTGCGGTGAACGCTTTATTTCCTGACAAACACTGGTGTTCGAGTTTATTCAGTTGTAGTTGTCATACAGATGAACAACTGTAGGTGGCAGTGTTCAGCTGTGAGAAAATTTACTGTCACAATACGATTACATAGTATTTTTATTAAGTTATTTGATTATTTTATTAGTAAATCAAAATGTTACCATTATGCAAAAAAAAGAAAGCTTATATTAGAATATATATCCAGTTTATATTGAAAATGGCTACTTTTATTTTGCATTAAATCATACCTGTCAACATTGGGATGTGAAAATAAGGGATATGCCCACCTCAATAAGGGATTAAAAAATTCCCAAATTATTAAATATGTTCATTTGGAGCGATTTCATAGTAAATAAACATTTAAATGTTAAGTGTTATGCTTTATTATTATTATTATTTACTAAAGAAAAAATAAATAGTATATAATAGCAGCCAATACATTAGCAAACAGTTCAGCTTATTAAAATTAATAGCTGTTATAATGAAATAGAATCAAATCTCATTAGCCGTTTCTACATTGTATAACTCACACATCTGATTAAAGAGCAACAGATGAATCTTATTTATTTAGATTTTTTATTTTTATTTGATTACATTAAATAACAGAGGTGTCACTTTAAAAAAAAATGCACACATCTAACACTATAATGAAAGCATTCAATTGCTTTGCTAACTGTTTATGCTCATTTAGGATGAAATTAGTTGTGTTTGAAAAAAAAAAAACCCACCAAGATCGACATCTTTATCTATTTAGATGTTGTTATTATTATTAGTTATGTGTATATCTGTTAAATGCACCCAAAGCCCAGACTTTCGCTCCGCTTCAAATAGCATGTACAGAATCTCTTAGGGAAACAGCGTCTATTTATCACTATGGAGCGCGTCAGCTGACAGTCACGCACAGCTACATTACTGTATCGAGGATTGCACATGAAGGGGAGACGGCACCTGTAATGAAAAGCAAAGGGAATCCCGCAGTTTTTATATTTATTTCAAAGTGTTTTCATGCCTAAATAAAGCAAAAGCACAGAACAGACTCGCATTTAAGAGTAAGGGGCGGCCCCTGGTGGTTCGGTGGTATTGGTTGTGTATATTTAATGTTTATTTGTCACCCTTCAGAGAAAGACTGAAAATACGGATGAAATACGGTGAAAATACCCTTCCAGGATGATAGAGGGGTAGAACTGTAAAATACGAGAGAATCCCGAGAAAAACAGCAGGGTGGACAGGTATGCATTAAATGTATTGACATGTGAAAGTTTATTTGTAGCCATATTTACTTATAAAAGAAGTTTAATTTTGAATAATTGTTATTAGATCTTATTGATAAAATAAACTAATAATGAGGAATGCATTAAATTGGTCAAAAGTGACGGTACTTTATGATGTTACAAAAGTTTTCTATTTAAAATAGGAGATGGTGTTCTTTTGCACTGTAGAAAATATGGTTTCCACAATTTATGACAGATCCTTTATAGCGTAGACTCAACAAGATACTGGAAATAATCCTCAGAGATTTTGCTCCATATTGTCATGATAGCATCACGCAGTTGCTGCAGATTTGTCGGCTGCACATCCATGATGCCAATCTCCCGTTCCACCACATCCCAATGGTGCTCTATTGGATTGAGATCTGGTGACTGTGGAGGCCATTTGAGTACAGTGAACTCATTGTCATGTTCAAAAAACCAGTCTGAGATGATTCGTGCTTTATGACATGGTGCGTTATCCTGCTGGAAGTAGCCATCAGATGATGGGGACACTGTGGTCATTAAAATGGAGCATTTGTATCATAAATTGTGAGCCAAAAGTCATTAGTGACAAAAGATAAATTTTTAAAATGGACTTTTTATTGAATTTTGACACTTTTAAATTAATTATTGATCATTTGTATAATATTTAGTGAGGCAAAATTTAAAAAAATGATGCCATGTTATCTTATTTTGACAAATTAATTTTTGACCACTGGTCAAAATGAGCCAAAATTATGGCAAGTCAATGGTGACAAAAGTTCACTTTTTAAAATTGACTTTTTATTGAATTTTGACAATTTTAAATTAATTATTGATCATTTGTATCATAATTAGTCAGGCAAAATGATGCCATGTTATCTTATTTTGACAAATTAATTTTTGACCACTGGTCAAAATGAGCCAAAAATATGGCAAGTCAATAGTGACAAAAATTTTACTTTCTAGAATTGACTTTAAATTAAACTTTAACCATTTGCATCATTATTTGTGAGACAAAATGAGCCAAAATTATGACAAGTTATCTCAGTTTGTCAATTTTAAATTTAAAACTTTTGACTATGTGTATGATAAATTATGAGCCAAAATGATGGCAAGTCAATCGTGACAAAAGTTATACTATTTGGAATTAAATTTGATCTAATTATGACAAAGTTAAAATTAATCTTTGACCATTCATATCATCATTTCACAATCCTATTATTTAGTTTTTTGAACCATTTCACTTCAAAATAGAATGCATCATTAAAATGATCTTTACTCACAGCACATTCCTCTTTATAATTTGAGAAACGCAGATTGAAGCGGTTTCAGAAATTGAATTTAATGTGTGTATTTCTGCTATCTCAGTCTCCACTGTCGACGTGTTCAAACTGGCTTTCAAAACAACATGGCAATCATCTGAACCACAAATTACGACAAAGCTGAGAGACGTCGAATCTTTAGCTTTTATTGATTTTGCAAGACTGCAGTCTGTGAAGTTGGAGCTGATTACAGGCTTCTGTGGAGGAAGAGTGTTTGTTTGTCTGCTGATGTGGCCTGTTTGTGCGCTTCACTAATGTGTGTTTGTGTAAAGAAGAGCAGAAATGTTTGGGTTTTTTGCTGATGTCAGGAGATCTTCTGTCTGACTCGGGGATTTAAAGCTGCCGGCAGCTTCTCAAAGTGTCTGCGCCGATAATTATCAACTTTACTAAACCAGCCTAGATGCTGGATTACGTAACCTGTGTGCTGTATTACAGCTTATGTAATGCAGTAAGTCATAATTACCAGACACAACATGATAAATATGAGATTTAAAAACAAAAGGCATAATTGTGAGACAAAAAGTTGAATTTATGAGAGCATAAATGTGTCAAAATTTTGGCAAATCAATTGTGACAAAAAAACTTTAGAATTTACTTTTATCACATTTTGACAATTAAATTTTTTTGACCATTTTTATCAATTTGTGAGACAAAATGAACCAAAATTATGCCAATTTATCATATTTTGACCATTTTGAATACATTTTTGGCTATTGACATCATCGTTTGTATCATAATTTATGAGACTAAATTAACCAAAATTATGGCAAGTCAATCATGACAAAAGTTCAAGCGTTTTAGAATTGACTTTTTATCTTATTTTGACAATTTCTTACATTTTAAAATCATGGGTCAAAATTATGGCAAGTCAATCGTGACAAAAATTCTACTTCTTTAGAATTTATTTTATCTAATTTTGACAATTTAAAATAAAATTGACCATTTGTATCAATTAATTAGACACAATGAGCCACATTTATGGCAAGTTAGCTCATTTTGACAATTTGAAAAACATTTCCGACCATTGGTATGGCATGTCATTTGTGACAAAAGATTAACTTTCTAAGTCATTTTGACAGAATGTTACATATTAAAGCCATCGGTCAAAATCATGGCAAATCAGTCGTGACAAAAGTTCTATGTTGTAGAAATGACTTTTTTAATTTCATTTTGACAATTTTAAATTATTTTTTGACCATTTGTTTAATAATTTGTGAGCCAAAATGAACCAAAATCATCCATTTTCTTGTCGGCTTAGTCCCTTTATTAATCCGGGGTCGCCACAGCGGAATGAACCGCCAACTTATCCAGCAAGTTTTTATGCAGCGGATGCCAATGGCAATTTATCTCATTTTGAATTTTTGACCGTTTGTTTTTACCATTTTTTACCATAATTTGCAAGACAAAACGAGCCAAAATTATGGGAAGTCAGTCATGACAAAAGTTAAAATTTTTAGAATAAACTTTTTATCTTATTTTGACAAAATTTGACATTAAAGGAACATATTCCTTTAAGGGGGCTAATAATATTGACCTTAAAATAAAAAAAATTAAAAACTACTTTTATTCCAGCCAAATTAAAATAAACATTTTCAGAAGAAAAAATATTTTAGGAAATACTACGAAAATGTCCTTGATCCATTAAACATCTCTTGGGAAATATTTAAAAAAAAGTTTTACAATTTCACAGGATAACAGTATATTTCTCTCCATGGATTTGTTCAGGGGTATTGTGCACATATATCCTCAGTTGTGTGTTTGTGTTTGTGTGTGTGTGTGTGTGTGTGTGTGTAATCCGCTCTGCTCCCGCTGTCACCTCTGCTGTCCTGCAGTAACTCTGTCTGCTTCCTCAAAGTCAGTAAAGACCACCTGAGCTTCTCCGTGTTTGTCCACACACGTGTCCACGGCGAGGAGTGTGTGTTTGAGCCGACGGTCCAGGGCCTGCAGGTGCTCCTCCGTCAGCACTGGACTCAGAGCGTCCCGGGACAGAGACTCCCTCATCACGTCACTCAGCAGGTACTCAGAGCTCGACAGCAGCTTCAGTCGGAACAGAGTCGAGCGCTTGATCCTGGACGAACACATTATTACTCCATCTGCAGATCTTTCAGAAGTGTAAACACGTGTAGAATAAGGATATTTTAGCATCTTATTAGAGGTTGCTTACATGCAGCATTGGGTCAGCGGTGCGAGAATGGACAGCTCATCATGGGAATGGCGTCCAAATCTGCAGAATATTTGATGAAGGAAAAAAAACAGGGGAAAATATGTCTGATGTTTTTGTCTCATCATTGTATCTCAGTCATGATCATGAATTTGACAGTTTTGACTTGCCAAAAAGTTCAACTTTCATCTCATTTGGACATTTTAGCTTTTGTTTTAAAATCATGGGTCAAAATTATGGCAAGCCGATCGTGACAAAAGTAGTTTTTTTTTTTTTTTTTTTAAAAAGGTGAAAATATGTTTTTTTTTTGTCTTATTATTGTAACTTTGTTGTAATTATGAATTTGACAGTTTTGACTTGCCATAAAGTTCAACTTTCATCTCATTTGGACAAAATATCATAAAATCATTTTAAATGTAAAAATCATCATCTTAAAATCATGGGTCAAAATTATGGCAAGTCAATTGTGACAAAAGTTCAACAAAAAAAAAAAGGAAAATATTTCATGTTATGTTTTTGTCTAATTATTGTAACTGTCATAATTATGAATTTGACAGTTTTGACTTCCCAATAAGTTCATCAATAAGTTCAATCTCATTTGGACAAAAGCTTTTGTTTTAAAATCATGGGTCAAAATTATGGCAAGCCGATCGTGACATAAGTAGTTTTTTTTTTTTTTTTTTTTTTAAAAGGTGAAAATATGTTTTTTTTTTGTCTTATTATTGTAACTTTGTTGTAATTATGAATTTGACAGTTTTGACTTGCCATAAAGTTCAACTTTCATCTCATTTGGACAAAATTTTACGTTTTAAAATCATGGGTCAAAATTATGGCAAGTCAATTGTGACAAAAGTTCAACAAAAAAAAAAAAGGAAAATATTTCATGTTATGTTTTTGTCTAATTATTGTAACTGTCATAATTATGAATTTGACAGTTTTGACTTCCCATAAAGATCACCTTTCATGTAATTTGGACAAAAGTTTACGTTTTAAAATCATGGGTCAAAATTATGGCAAGCCAATCGTGACAAAAGTTTTTTTTTTTTTTAAAGGTGAAAATATGTATTTTTTTGTCTAATTATTGTAACTTTGTCATAATTATGAATTTGACAGTTTTGACTTCCCAATAAGTTCATCAATAAGTTCAATAAGTTCAATCTCATTTGGACAAAAGTTTATGTTTTAAAATCCAAATTATGGCAAGCCAATTGTGACTGTGATTGTGAAGGAAAAATGTGTCATGTTATGTTTTTGTTAATCGTTCTAATTTTTAATGTCATATTTATGAATTTTTGACCGTTTTGACTTTTTACAACTTTAATTATGAATTTGACACTTTTGACTTGCCATAAATACAAATGACTTGTAATTGTCACTTTTTTGTACATAATTTTGTCATTTTTTTCTTGTTTTCTTGTTTGTTTTTCTCTAATCCTTGTAACTTTTTTACATCATAATTATGAACTTTTGACAGTTTTGACTTGCCATAAATAAGTCCAAATTTTTTACTTAAACAATTTTGACTTTTTGATGACTGTGATTATGGATCACAAGTTTTGGTCTTAAAGATTAATTTTGAATCTTGATTTTACTAAAATTCAGCTTATCACATCTGAATTTCATCTTAATTATGAACATAATTTGACTTTTTCTGGTATAACTGTGACATTATTCTGCGTAATTTTGTATAGTTTTTTCTCACAAAAAATACCAACCCATTTTGCATTTATCAAAGTATAAAATGAAAAACTGTGCACAGAAAAACTACTGAGAATTAGTGCACTTTAATTCATAAACCCACATGTACAGTAAAAGAAGTGTACAGTAGAGATGTGCACATACCCTCTGGCGTTGTCTAAGTGGAGCAGGAAACCTTCATCTCCAAACTTTGTGAAAATTTCATAATGGTGTCTGTCCATGTTTCCTAAAACATGAAGAAAAATCACATGTTCTCTGGCTTTAAGATTCTCATTGATAGCAATGAAAATGAAACCACACTGAACTGAACTAAACCGATCTTCAACTCTGAAAACTGGACTGACACACTAGAACTTCTATATTAAGCTGCTTTGACACAATCTACATTGTAAAAGCGCTATAGTAATAAAGATGAATTGAATTGACCCTTCGCTAAGCCACACTCGAAAACCGCCACCCACCAATCGTGGCTTAGCAACAACAGCTACGCGCAGGAGCTGAGTCAAGCTTTCGAGTGAGGGAAACAGGCCAAAGCGTTGTGCATATGGATTGTACAAATCTGATACCCGGTATCCTAAAAGTTTGGACAGTGTGGTGGAATTTTTTTTCCCTTTCCAAAACCAAAAACCCAGGAGGAGAAATGCCACCGTGGATCAAGCTGTGTGAGGGGAGCTAAAGGAGTGGAGCTAAGTTGCTATTATTTTTGATATTCTGTGATATCACATTCAGTGATAGACGGCGATAACTCACACACCTCTGACCCTAAACACATCTAAACTGTGTTTCCTACAAAAATATAAAGCAGGTTGTTTCCCTGCTGTCTTTTTCTCTTTTTTCACTCGATATTATGAGCACTGCTCTGTTTACTAAGCCTTCGCCATAGTAGTCATACTAACAGCAGTCATATTTCCATCTGTTTTAAGCTACGAATATTTGAAATTACACATCAGCAGAACAAAACAGAGATGTGATCACAAAATAAGCACTTGCGATCAATATACTTCACCCGCAGCTGTTTTTCAGTCATTTATATCCTTCATGTCCATGTCAGAGCTACTGTACAATTCACTGATGTTTTCGGCAGTTTTTTGGAGATTTAGTCATTGGTGACGATGTTATAGCGGGTTAAGGCTCCTACACACCGTTTTTTGTTTGCGTTTATCGTCAGCGTTTTTCAGTGTTCAAACCCAAGCGCTTTTCACTGGCGTCAAGCAGACGAGTATGCTAAATCACTCTTTTGACGTTAGATGGCGCTGCACAACTATAAGCTTCTGGCACCCGCTTATAACACAGAAGAAGAGGAGAGGAAGTTCACAGTCACACGCATGTTGTTAAATTTACTGGTGACTCGAACAAGCATGGATGGTTCAAGCAGCAGCTCCAGCTCTAGCGATGAAGACATGATTATTGTTTACCAGTGCAATAAGCAGCTGCACGTTCATATCGCCTTTGGGCATCTTCTTCAATGTGCGCTCGCTTTGACAGCTTTGCGCTTGAGCGCCTCCAAGTGCTGTTTACGGTAACTTCAGCAGCTCCGTGCACGTGAACAAAGGTCCCGATCTGATTGGTGGAGAAGGTTTTGACGCCGTACGTCAAAACAAAAAAACGAGCATGAGGCATTTTTGAAAAATGACACTTTTGCGCCTGGCGTTTTGCGCGTTGGTGTGCACGATGACATTGACGCCCTTTATTTAGTTACGAGGCGTTAAACGTAGACGGAAAACGCGAGCAAAAAACGTCTCGGTGTGCACAGGCCTTTAGTGTCTGCTTTTATATTTGGTGTCTGATTAATATTTGCTGGTAGGGAAAATCTGTCTGTTCACTTCTGCTATTTATACTTTGATTTGCATTTCAATTTATTTATTTATTCCACTCAACTGCAAATCAGAATAGAAACTCTATAAAGAGCACACAGACATGCTGACAGTTATAGCTACTGTACATTATAGGTCAATGATGCTAATATTCGGCACAAATCCATCAATTTCCCCTTTCTGGCTGCTCTTTCTATGAATGAATTATGTAGAAGCAGTGTTCATGCATGTTTCCTCGTCGGTTAGTAACGCTATATTTCATTGCACAACAATAGTTTATCATGCTTTTTGGCTAAAAAAAAGAGAAATCACAGTTCAATTAGTTATTATTAGGTTATATTTAAATTTCACCTCTCCTGCTAAGTATGAACTGAGCTGTTGAAGGTTCAGCGTATGAGGTGGCTAGGCTAAACTAGCTTCAATTTTGATAAAAAAAAATTTCTAATCAATTCAATTCAGCTTTATTTGTATAGCGCTTTTACAATGTAGATTGTGTCAAAGCAGCTTCACATAAATGGTCATAGCAACTGGATCAGGGTAGTTCAGTTTTTAGTGTTTAAGTTCAGTTCAGTTTAGCTCAGTTCGGTGTGGTTTAAGGTCATTACTGAGAGTCCAAACACTGAAGAGCAAATTCATCAATGCGTAGCTTTACAGATCCTGAACCATGCAAGCCAGTGGCGACAGCGGAGAGGGAAAAAAACTTCACCGATAGGAGAGTGAAGAAAAAAAACCTTGAGAGAACCAGACTAATTTAATTTCTCGGCTGGCCAAAAGTCTTGAGCAGAGCTGCTCGTTGGCTATTATGTCGTGAAAATATCCCTGTCATGCATACTGCAGTCTTTTTTGTCTGGCTTTCTCGGATATCTCACCTCTTCGCCAAAAATGACTAATTATATCCCTGGCAATGTCTGACACCGGTGCATACATACTGTAATTGATGAAAGTTTGACAGGCGTAGCAACAGAAACTAAGGAGGGCGGGGCTTAGCGAAGGGTCAATTGAATCTGCTAAATGACTAAATGTCAAGTGAATGTTTAGTCTACATGCCTGTGAGGAAGTCAAAAACTGCCATGTCGATCATATTGAGCAGTCTGTTTCCAGAGTTGTAGGGATAATGCTTCCTGACCGTGTCGCAGTATGAAGGATTGACCTCCCACCTGAGCAGAAAAAAAAGACAGAAGCATTAATGCTTTCAAGCTGTTGGACTCGTCTGAACATTACTGAACTTTACACCCTTTGCTGAGTGTGACGCACATGGATCTCTCAAAAACCCTAATAAGGAGATTGGACACTAGATAAAACAGCTAACAGTGCTGGAACATGGCTTTATTTTCTTTGCAAATCAAGTTAAACTCAGTCTAAATCAACCCTTTCTGCTTGTGTAAGACACATTCCTGTCCTTATTAAACACGATCCGTCAGTTCAAGATGAGAGTAGAAGCGTTCTGTGTGATGAATTGCGTGTCGTCCGTATCTGCAGCATATCATCAGACAAAAGTGAATAAATAAATAAATAAATAAAAATAATAATTGACTTTTTTTTATCATTGTAACTCTTTATATCAATGATATAATATTGATATTTGATAATACAACATGTTATTTAACTATTTAAATCATAATGTTCAATTTTGACATTATTATTATAGCCGTATATTTCAATTTTGCTTGTTTTTTTTGACATTTTATACAATATTTATTACAGCAATGATTAAATGTATCTCAATTAAGGCTTTTCAAAATGTTGCTGTTTTGTTATACATTTAAAACAATTTCAAGTTTGTCCCATAAGGATTATGTAATAAAAAAAGAATAATATATATATATATATATAGGTATATTTTTAGGGGTTTTCCCCTTTAATTGATAGGACAGTGGAGTTGAGACAGGAATACATGAGGAGAATCGAACTCACTCAGTACTATATATCGGCGCACTTTACCACTAGGCTATTGGCACCGACATGACTTTATAATTTAGTCATTTTAAACAATAATTAAAATTTTTGATCAATTTTGACGTATTGACTTCTCAATTGCGACACCCTTAATTCTGACTAACAATTATCACTTGTCGTCTCATAGTTTTAGCTTTATCTCATAATTATGACCGTCAATTTGAGCATAATCTCACAATTTCAAATGACCTTAATTACTAATAATTTTGACAGAATTATAAATTGATCTCATTATTCTGAGTTTTTGTTATAATTACGACTTTTTATCTCATAGCTTTAGCATAGAATAGAATTATAGAATTATAAATTGATCTTTTCAAATTGTACTTTATCTCATAATCGTGACTTTTTGTAAATTTTTGGCTTTTCATAATTGTTTAATTATCTATTATTAATTACTACATAATTACGAAGATCACATAATTGAAAGCTTCTGTCATTATTACATCTTTTTATCTCAAAGTTTTTACTTCATCTCATAATTAAGACTTTTTGTCAATTTTGGCCTTTCATTATTTTAAATATGCCTCAATTACTAATCATTTTGGCACATAATTATGACCTAATTTCATAAATCTGAGTTTTTGTCAATTATGACATCTACATTTTGACTTTATCTCATAATTATGACTTTTTGTCAATTTCGGCTTCTCATAATTTTAAATTCTTTCAATTACTAATAATTTTGGCACATAATCGTGATTTTCATAATCTGTTTTTGTCATAATTTTGACGTATCTCAATTTTTACTTTATCTCAATAGTTTTTTTTTTTTGTCAATTTCGACTAATTTCGACAAACATAATTATGATTTGACCTTATAATTTAAAGTATTAGTCATACTTATAACGTTTTAGTCATGTAAAATGTATATCTTACTCTTCTGTCCCGGTGAAGCTGTAGGAACGAATCCAAGGGTTGGGGATGGAGATTCGGGGCGCGATGCTCAAACCTGGCAAATACGCAGACATGGAGCCCTCCAGCAGGTCAGGGTGACCACACACCGCATACTCCGACTTACAGACGTACAAACACTTGGCAAAGAAACACGTGTTGTTGGCTGCACAGAGAAAAGCATGTAAAGCAGCTCATACTCTCTGATAGAAAACAAGCAAATCCTTTTCAGAACTAGGGCAACTAATATTATTAATCAAGGCTGTGAGTATTTGATATGTACATATTGTGAAATTACTGCAAAAATAGCTATTTTCTCATTTTAAAATGTAATTTATTTCTGTTGAAGTCATGCACATGAATTGTCAGCATCATTAATCCAGTGTCACATGATGATTAATATGCAGATTTGAACCCAAAGAAACAATCCAGTACATTTTTTTTCTCTAATATATTTTCAGGATTCTTTAGGTATTGAAAAATACAGAATTCATTCAAGGTTTTGTGACATTATAAATGTGTTTACTGGCATTTTTGACCAATTTAACGCATCCATGCTGAATAAATGAATGAATTTACTTAATTATTAGCCTTAATAAGAATGCACTGCTTTATTACTAAATAAATGCTTTATAATTGAATAGAAAAGTCAACAGAACAGCATTTATTTTTAAAATAGAAATCTTTCGAAATATTATAAATGACTTCCCATGAGTACTGTTTCATTGCATGTAACTAAAATTCATAATGACCCCCCCAAAATTGTGAATGTTATTATACAACAAAGCAGACCTCATGCAATATTATTCATGCACTAAAAAAAGAGCATAATTCATTTAAAATATAGTATTTAACATAACATTACAGCTCTGAAAAAAATAATAGATCTAATTGATGACATTCTTAATGTGAATAATGAAAACTCAAATTAATATTTTACTCAAAACACAGAACTATGCTTGGCAAATTCAGAGAACCAAGCACGGTTAATAAAAGTCTAATAAAAGTGATTTCTGAATTTCTTCCAGAGTTTTAAATAAACAAGTTAAATAAAAGCATTATTTTCATCCATCTTATATAGTTTTTTATTTAATCGAAAATCTTTTAGTGTTTGACTAGTAATGCCAACCTGGCGAGGTGAAGAAAACGCTGCGCAGCTCCTCATTGTGGGTGATGTGCAAGATCTCACTCGTCACGTTGACAAATCGTCCTGCTACTGGAGGAACTCTCCGGAAATCCAGCACTCTGAACACACACACATAACCACATCACACATACACTGAATTCATCAGCTTTCACATCAATACTATTCTGGACAACAGTGACTGATTTCAGTATATCTCTAATCCAAATATTCCACAGGTTTGCTGATTTCAGACATAATCTGGAGCCAGTGCACTCTCCACATATTTAACTACACCAAATGTGTTTTATTCCTTGCATTTTAAACAAAAAAGCCCTTCTATGACTTTTCAAAATACGAAAAAATAACGAGCGATTGATTATGTTTTCAAGTTTGTCAGTACATACAGTAGATGTTTGTAAAATATTTTCTTGATTCATAAAAACTAAGAAGTTAATCCAGAAAACAACCATTAATATATCAATAAAGACAATACAGGACAATTTTTTTAATGAGGGAATAAAAACATGGCTAAATGAGAAAACAAGCAGGACGCAGGTGAACACAATCAGTTACCAAATTAGTAATCAGAGAAACAAACTAGCTACAGAACAATCTGTCCGCATTCACATCAGTCCTATGAACAAATGTGTGGGAGATTGATTTGTGTATATCTCTAATCCAAATATTCCACAGGTTTGCTGATTTCAATCATAATCTGGAGCCAGTGCACTCTCGACATATTTAACTATACCAAATGAGTTTTATTCCTTGCATTTTAAACAAAAAATCCACAAAAGCCCTTCTGTGACTTTTCAAAATAAGAAAAAATAACAAGCGATTGATTATGTTTTCAATTTCGTCACTTCATACAGTAGATGTTTGTAAAATATTTACTTAAGTTATAAGAACTAAGAAGATAATCCAGAAAACAACCATCAATATATCAATGAAGACAATACAAGACAATTTTTTAATGAGGGAAGAAATACATGGCTAAACGAGAAAACAAGCAAGACACAGGTGAACACAATCAGTTACCAAATTAGTAATCAGAGAAACAAACTAGCTACAGAACAATCTGTCCGCATTCACATCAGTCCTATGAACAAATGTGTGGGAGATTGATTTGTGTATATCTCTAATCCAAATATTCCACAGGTTTGCTGATTTCAATCATAATCTGGAGCCAGTGCACTCTCGACATATTTAACTACACTAAATGAGTTTTTCCCGTGTTTTATTCCTTGCATTTTAAAACAAATAATCCACAAAAGCCCTTCTGTGACTTTTCAAAATAAGAAAAAATAACAAGCGATTGATTATGTTTTCAATTTCGTCACTTCATACAGTAGATGTTTGTAAAATATTTACTTAAGTTATAAGAACTAAGAAGATAATCCAGAAAACAACCATCAATATATCAATGAAGACAATACAAGACAATTTTTTAATGAGGGAATAAATACATGGCTAAACGAGAAAACAAACAAGACACAGGTGAACACAATCAGTTACCCAATTCTCCACATATTTCTGGGGTCTTCAGGGTTGGTACCTACACCAAATATGTTTTTTTATTTGCAATAAAAAAAACTAAATAAATAAAAGCTCTTCTGTGACTTTTCAAAATACGAAAAAAAAAAAAAACAAGTGATTGGTTGTTTTCAATTTTGTCAGTACATACATTAGATATTTGTAAAAATAAATTACTTAATTCATAAGAACTAAGAAGATAATTCAGAAAACAACCATCAATATATCAATAAAGACAATACAGGACACTTTTTTAATGAGGGAATAAATACATGGCTAAATGAGAAAACAAGCAAGACACAGGTGAACACAATCAGTTACCAAATTAGTAATCAGAGAAACAAACTAGCTACAGAACAATCTGTCCGCATTCACATCAGTCCTAAATAAATGTGTGGGAGATTGATTTGTGTATATCTCTAATCCAAATCTTCCACAGGTTTGCTGATTTCAATCATAATCTGGAGCCAGTGGACTCTCGACATATTTAACTACACTAAATGAGTTTTTCCTGTTTTTTTTTTTTACATTTTAAAACAAATAATCCATGAAAGCCCTTCTGTGACTTTTCAAAATAAGAAAAAATAACGAGCGATTGATTATGTTTTCAATTTTGTCAGTACATACAGTAGATGTTTTTTTTTAAAATACTTAATTCATAAGAACTAAGAAGATAATCCAGAAAACAACCATCAATATATCAATAAAGACAATACAAGACAATTTTTTTAATGAGGGAATAAATACATGGCTAAATGAGAAAACAAGCAAGAAACAGGTGAACACAATCAGTTACTCAATTCTCCACATATTTCTGGGGTATTCAGGGTTGGTAACTACTCCAAATATGTTTTTTACTTGCACTATAAAAAACTAAATTAATAAAAACTTTTCTGTGACTTTTCAAAATCAGAAAAAATACAGAAGTTGTTTTTTTTTGTACAAATTTCCTAAATTAAAGAACTAAGAAGATAATCCAGAAAGCAAGCAAATATAGGGGGGAAATGAGGGCATAAATGTGGTAATAGACTGTGGTAATAACTAATCTCTGAAGAGAACCCATTGTAAATGATTCAAAGAAAAAAAATAGAGAGATGAAGAGAAACAATCGGCTCATAAAATAGGATTGTGGGATGGGCACCAAACTATGACAGAAATCCCATAAGCTCTTTTCCCAGGAGTTTTTATTTACTTTTATTTTATTTTATTTGACAAGTGATTCTTCGTCCTCAAAAGAGGTTTACTCTTTGTTTGAGCTCTGTGTTTAATTAAGCTCAGTTAAGGAATAACCTGCAGGAAAACACCCTCCTCTCGAGTGTCTTTGCCCACACCACTAATGACAGGGTGGGACTCTGGGGGAATTTTTTGGCTTGCCACTGTCGACAGGCTTCTTTTCTGGGGGTTTGCTCTCTGGGAATCATATGCATTGTGAAATGCACTGCACAAGTGAACTGAATTAAACTCTAATCCCTGAATTAGGCTAAAAAAAAAAAAAAAAAAGTCATCAGGAACATTCTCACATGCTTAATGGGAAAATTGAGACTCGTCAACACTTCAATATCAATCCAATAATGACACTCTCTGCTTCCAAAAATCCAGATTTTCAAATAATATGCGAGCAGTGTAGCATGTCTCAATAACTACGACTTACTATTGAACTCGAAAATTGGCATATGCTGTTTGTTTAAACTACTTATTTAAAATGAGCTGAAACACACAACCCTTTGTGCTTAACTGTAAGTTCAATCCACTTCAATTTGTTAAATCTAGCGAGTTCACTTAATTCCTTCATGCTGTCCCAATATAAATAGATTGTGTGGAACTAAGTATTTTTGACAGTGTGTAATTCCTCCAAGTGCACATTATTCAATACGTACTAAAAACTATGCCATCAGGCCACGGCAGGCACAATTATAATTAATGCATTAATGCATATTTTAATAATCGAAATAGAAACTTTCATGAAACCAACATGTAAACCGACAAACTGATAATCCATGACTTGGACAAAAATGACAAAATTCCCTGATTTTCAATGTATAATAGACCTTTTAAAATTCAATAATATACCAGAAACACAGAACACAACACAAGATAGAATCGAGGGCCCACATCAAATCCATTATATATATATATATACTGTATAAAACTGCATTATACTACATTATATGCTGTATTTATTAAATGTCGTTCCACCCACCTTTTTAGCAGCTTTAGTTCTTAAAGGATTTATCCCATAAAGATTTTTAAAAGGGTTTGGTGCGGAGTTACGGCCCATTCACACAGGGCGTCAGCGTCAACGCTTCCCATTTACTTTGAATGGGTGACGTCAGGCGTTGCCGAACTGCATTGTGGATCCGTCTGCGCTTCGTCAGAGGCGTTGCTCGCTGCAGAAGTTGGGACTAGCTCAACTTTTCAAGTGCCGACGGAAGCGTCAGCAAATCAGATCGCTGTATGCAAATACACCAGCTAGACAGTGGCCTATTGCTGACTGAATTTCATTGGCTGACGCTGCTATAACGATCACTTCAGCCCCAACTTCAGACACGCCTTCAGTCAAGCGTTGACGCTGAAGCCCTGTGTGAATGGGGTGTTATGTCAAAACTAAGTAGGTACACTACTTTACAAAAGTCTTGTGACTGAACAGAAATAATGTCCAGTATAGAATATAAAGTCCTGCTGCAGTGGAGACAGAATGAATATTGTGTCTAACTCCATCATGAGCTTGGAGGACTGCATCCATACATCTCTGACTCAAATTACTGATTAATAAAGTCATCTGGAATGACAAAGAAAGCGTTCTTGCAGGACTCCCAGAGTTCATCAAGATCCTTTAGATTCATCGTCAATGCCTCCTCCTTCATCTTACCCCAGACATGCTCAATAATGTTCATGTCTGGTGACTGGGCTGGCCAATCCTGGAGCAGCTTGACCTTCTTTGCTTTCAGGAGCTTTGATGTGGAGGCTGAAGTATGAGAAGGAGCGCTATCCTGCTGGAGAATTTGCCCTCTCCTGTGGTTTGTAATGTAATGGGCAGCACAAATGTCTTGATGATGTTGCCGTCCACTCTGCAGATCTCTTGTACGCCCACATACTGAATGTTACCCCAAACCATGACTTTTCCTTCACCAAACTTGACTGATTTCTGTGAGAATCTTGGATCCATGCGGGCTCCTGTATGTCTTCTGCAGTATTGTGATGATTGGGATGCAGCACAGCAGATGATTCATCAGGAAAATCCACCTTCTAACATTTTTCCAAATGATCAACTAGAAATCAGGTTATTATTTGCTGTTCTTACACCCGGGATTGACGACAAGACTTTTGTTAGGTAGTGTCCAGGGAAAGTTCCACATTACAAACGCTGATTTAAAGCAATAAAAAATGTCCAAAGTGCACTTAAAAAACACTATCAAATTAAAAATGACAGATAAATATAAATACTTTTGATTGCATAAATAAGCACACGAGTTATTAGGAATAGACGGAGCTAAAAAGTCTTTTGCCGCAATGAAAGAAACTAAACACAAATGCATGAATGCGTCTTTTGTCTGTGCAGTTAAATCTATCGGATCTTTCCTGATTCATCGTGTGTGAGGCTTTAGCCTTTGATGTGTTTCAGTTTGCTGTAGAGTTTCATCATCATTTAATCACCCACCAAACATCAAGCTGAAGCTCATTGTCTGAACAGGCCTTTACAATAATGTACAGTATCACTCAGCCTGAGGGATTTCATCTGTTTACTCATATCAGATCCTGCACACCATCATTCATTCCTGCCTGTCTGTCTCTTCATATTCACTCTTTGTTTTGCTCTGAAATCATCCCCTATACCCTCTGTGCTGACAGTGAAAGCTGATGGTGTTTTGCTGTTGATGTCATCACGGAATTTCATTTGGTGTGGGAACTCTCACAGTGCATTATGGGTATTTTCTAGCTGTTGAGTGTGCATGGGTATTGTGGGACTGATTGAGTGCACTATATGATGTCCATAGTTTCGGACACCACTAGAAATGGCTGCTCTCTCTAATAGTGCACTATTTAGGGGTATAAGGGGCAATTTTTCGCATGAAGTCTCACCTGTCGAGATGGAAAGCTGCGATCTCGGCATTATGTCTCTGAAAGTCCACAAAGTAAAAGAAGTTCTCTGGTGTCTCTTCGTGCCGCTCCTGTCTGAAATCAAGATCACACGGTTACACCTAAAGTAATGCTGACATTTGAATGAGTAAATCTAAAGTCTTACCTCATTGGTTTAAACATAGCTTTGCCAAAGTCTTGGAGCTTCAGGGCCAATTTCAGGTGAAGGCCGCTCGGTTTGACCACTGATTGAAGAGTCAGACAAAATGAAAACAGTCATATTTCTTTATTAATGTGAACATAATGCTGATAAAATATTAAGCCAAACTGTCTTAATAACACAAACAGTATCAGCAAAAATGTAGTTAGCATGTTCATATTGAGTCATATTTTAAGTAAGTCAGTAACTTGGAATTTGTAGGCTTTGTTTGCAAATGTACATAATCAGTTTAATAGCCTAGTGGGCTTAAGAGTCTTCTTTCGTGTGTGTGATGAGGTATACAATTTTATCCAACCCGGGCTCATTCTGGAAACGTAGCCCCGCAGACGTTTCTGGAGACCGCGAAATACGTCCTGGGAGGTACGTATTTGTGCAGTTTTTGTTTTTGCGAATCCGCGAGCGAGCTGTTTTTCGCATAAAAAGTCGACGGAGGCTGCTGTCGAGCGACCGTCTGTCCGACTGACCAACTGGCTGAATGACTGAACGATTGACTGGGCGGCCGGCCAATCGCCCACTTGAAAAAACCAAATGCGGCCATACGTACCTCCGGCCAAGTAAATCGCGGTCTTCAGAAATGTCCGCGGGGCTACGTTTTCAGAATGAGCTTGGGCTGATTTTATCAAATAAAATTTACTATTTTAAGTATTTTTACATGAACTTTTAAGCAAAAGCATATTAATTTTAATATTAAATTAAATAGAAATAATATTATTAATATTATAAAATATAAAATTAAATGCAAAAATTGTTTGCAAAAATATATATTTTTTATTTAGGATTTTATATATATATACATATAGATACAGTTGAAGTCAGAATTATTAGCGCCCCTGTTTATTTCTTTCCCCAATTTCTGTTCAATGGAGGGAAGATTGTTTCAGCACATTTCTAAACATGATAGTTTTAATAACTCATCTCTAATAACTGATTTATTTTATCTTTCCCATGATGACAGTAAATAATATTTAACTAGATATTCTTTAAGACACTTCTATACAGCTTAAAGTGACATTTAAAGGCTTAACTAGGTTAATAAGGTTAACTAGGCAGGTTAGGGTAATTAGGCAAGTTATTATATAATGATGGTTTGTTCTGTAGACTATCGAAAAAAATTTGATTTAAGGGGCTAATAATATTGTCCCAAAAATGTTTTTAAAAAAAATTCATAACTGCTTTAATTCTAGCCGAAATAAAACAAATAAGACTTTCTCCAGAAGAAAAAATATTAACATACATACTGTGAAAATGTCCTTGCTCTGTTAAAAATCATTTGGGAAATATTTAAAAGAGAAAAAAAAATCAAAAGGGGGCTAATAATTCTGACTTCAACTGTATGTATGTATGTATATATATATATATATATATATATATATATATATATATATATATATATATATATATATATATATATATATATATATATTTATATATAGTATTTTAAGTATATATTGTATTGCAATTGATTATAAAAATAATAATAATAATAATAATAAACATTATTTTAACTTTATTGTATTAACTTATTAATAAAGTCATCTGGAATGGCAAAGAAAGCGTTCTTGCAGGACTTCCAGAGTTCATCAAGATTCTTTGGATTCATCTTCAATGCGTCCTTCTCCATCTTAACTCAGACATGCTCAATAATGTTCATGTCTAGTGACTGGGCTGGCCAATCCTGGAGCACATTGACCTTCTTTGCTTTCAGTAGCTTTGATGTGGAGGCTGAAGTATAAGGAGCACTATCCTGCTGGAGAATTTGCCCTCTCCAAATGGTTTCTTCTTTATTTTTATTTTAAAAGACTTGAAATGATAGTTGATTAGTAAATCGTGAAGACTTACTGTCATTTTAGTGGTTGATAATTCAAAATTTACAACAAAATTATTTGTATATGATGTACAGTAGGTGAGAGTTCAAAGTGACTATTACCGCCGCGTCATATACCGCCGCCGTTTGAAATAGGAGCCGCTTTGTTTTTAGTGTATGACCGCAGTTTGTGAATGAGCCGCCAGGGGGCGCAAAGGGACGGGATGCGAACCGACAGAAATAGCCCACACAGCAGCCTTAAATATGCTATTGTGCTTGTAAATGAGATTAAACAATAAGTCAAAGCATTATAATTCCTTTATTAATCATTTAAAATTTGTTAACACGAATTATTGTTATTCTAAACTTTTTAAGTGCAAAGAGGATTCTTTTTGAAAAATAGAATTGAAGAAGTTAAAGACAACTAATATGAAAGCACAAACATTCAGTACAAATATTCTAAGTATGCCTAAATTAAAAAATTAAAGCAGTCTTTTAGCCTAAATGTAAAGAGATTTTCAGTGTTTGCTATTTTGGTAGGACTAACACAAGACCTTTTCATTTATGTTTTAATTTACCTTTTTATTTACATTTTCGTTGTTGATTATATTTTACTATTTAATTTTATGTCACAATTATTGTACATAATAATAAACAAATAATGAAAAATAATAAAAATAGGCCTTATGTATTTAAGGACATGTGGTGAAACACTAAGAAACGGTCAGGCGCATGGTCTAAAGAGCTTAAGTTGAATACTGCTTCATAAAATAATTTTGCCGCAGGACATATCTCGCAGGTTTATTTTTAATAGTTTTCAGTTATTTTTTTTGTTTCAAAACAACAATGTTCTCTTTAAAGTTCTCTTTAAAGTATAACTGTTGTTTTGTTTTTTTACTTAATGGCCCAGTATGTTTTGTATTTTAATTTCAATTTCAGTCACCTTGCATATGCATTTGAAATATAATGCGCGCATAACCGCGGAAAGAAAAAAAAACTGTCAAAGGTTAGAGCTAATTCATCAAAAGGTCTCATTCTGCTTTCACTCTCCCCAAAAAATGCTCTGTTTGAACGATTTAATTATTATCATCGTAACCACTATATAATTATTTAAACTTTCTCTGGTGTTTATTGTTTTTAGAAAATATCTAAAATCTTTAAAAAAAAAAAAAATCTTGTAAAATGAAAGTTTAATTTGACTTTAACGGTTTCATTTATGTAGGCTACATAGACCTATACCTAAACTGTTTAGTTTAGCTTGCTTTTTTTTTGCTTTTGCTTGTTTTATATTGGTTTATTTATTTAATGCGGTTTTATCCGATAATAATTCTTTAAATTATATTTTAATATGGCTCAGGCAATTTTTTCAAGATTTGACACTTGTTTTGAGTCTACAAAAGGGGACAGGTAATTTGTAAAGATTTATGTCTTTCTGTTGTCTTTAATATGGTGTATAGATTATTGTGCGTTATTGAAACATCAAGGGGACGCAACAAAGTCACTTATAAATTAAAATTGTATTATGCAACAGCCTTTAAAACGGAAACATAAGGGCGATTATAAGCAAAAAGACCTCAGCATATAAGGTTAGATGTTTTCTTTCCCTTATTTAATTATTTATTTATTTATTTATTTATTTATTTATTTATGTGTTTGACGTTTATGTATCTTTCCCAGACTCGGGGCAAAAAAAAAAGTGTTATAAAAATAAAGTTGCCGCAGGACATAAACGAAGTCCTGCAAGTTTAGTTTTAATAATTTAGTTCCAGTTCTGTTCAGTTTTTTTTCTCAAAACGTCTGTTCTTCTTTAAAGTAAATTTTAGTAAAATTTTAGTTTTTTGTTGTTGTTTTTTTTACTTGTAATGGCTCAGTATCTCAATATATATATATATATATATATATATATATATATATATATATATATATATATATATATATATATATATATATATATATATATATATATTAATAAACTTCACAGCCACAAATATAAATAACACAACTTGCGGGTGCAACCAACAAGGGTTGTGCATTTTAGTTTAACTTTTTGAGCGTTATAAGCAGTTCGGTGTTAGTTTTTATATCAAACCGAAACTAAACAGCGCATTCTCTCCGCCTCCTCGTTCATAACCAGCTGGACACACGCTGCTGAGGCAAGCAGGAGAGATAGCCTACTCCGTCATTCATAATCTTAGCTGATGTATCTGAGTCGAAAGAATATATTAAAGAGGAATGTTCTTTTAACAGTCCCGATACGTTTAATCTTTTTATTTTTTTTATTACTTTTTTTCCTGTCATTTCTCTTCATCAAATTATTTTTTAAGCTGCTTGATTATGTTAAAACAGAAAGCAGAGCCCATCAATTGAGAGCGATGCATGTCATGTGTTGCATAATTGCCTTTTTTCCTGTGCGTGCGTGATCAATTTCTGATCCTTTTTTGCTCGGGCTCTCACACACAACCTTTATGTCTGCTGTGTCTTTAATATGGTGTGTAGATTATTATGCGTTATTGAAACATCAAGGGGGACGCAGCAAAGTAACTTATAAATTAAAATTGTATTATTTTATGCAACAGCCTTACATTTAAAACGGAAACATAAGGGCGATTATAAGCAAAAAGACCTCAAGGCTAGATGTTTTCTTTCCCTTTTTTATTTATTTGTTTATGTGTTTGGCACATGTGTGCGATAGGAAAACTAGTGTAATTACGGCAAGCCATCTTTCCCAGACTCGGGGCAAATTCCGCCTTTCCTTTCACTCCGTCCCGAAGCCATCCACTGCGTAAAACATATGCTGGATAAGTTAACGGTTCAATCCGCTGTGGCGATCACAGACTAATAAAGGGACTAAACCGAAAAGAAAATGAATGAAGAATGAATGAATAAATTAATAATAATAAAATAAAAATAAGGTAATAATCTTTAAACACAAATTCCGCGTAAGCGACCTTTTTATTTTTAGAGATGGTACATTTGAATTGCCTCTTCCCACTTCCCCCACCTCAAAATTGAAAGTTGCAAAGAGAACTATAGCTCATTTACACCTTCATTTCTTAGCCTCAATAGCAAAGAGCATAGCCCATTCACACCTCAACACAGAGCAAGTTTAGCGGAAGAATGTCAAATCAGAATCACGCAGATGAAGCACACCAGCTACTACTTTCATGAAACTATTAAATGTGTATTGTCATAAATTTGCTTATTTGCAGCAGCTTTTTTTC